TATTAATTTCGGTTTAAAATCGTATATTTTTATAATTTTATAAATAATTAGCTTTTATTTAAAGGAATAATTTGCTAAACGGATAATAATATAATTTATAATATTATTTAGGGGGAGCTGGGATTTCCGCTTTATAAATTTTTACCCTTTAACGAAAAGAGCGTTTTAGCTTCGCTTTATCGTTTTAATTATTGCTTTATCCTGCTTTAGGAACGGCTTTATAACTAGCTAAGAAAGTTGTTTGCTATAAGATTATTTTAGGTCCTTTTTTTAATAGCGCCGTATCCTTAATTGTGATACAGTTAGAGGAGCATATAAAGTAGGTTTGAGAGAGTCACAATATTGAAGTAAGCTAAGAGCGTTGAAAGGTATAGGTATGGTTATAAGGTGTATTATATCTGTCTAAGTTCTAATTAAAGAGGGAGCATATAGTCCCATTTATACACTTATTCATCAGAAAGATTTGTTAATTTCCCTGGAGCGTACGGACCTTATCCGTAAGCTCCTTGCTTTTGATAGGGACATCCATATGCTCCTTGTATCTGGTATCTTGAGGACCCTCAAGGTTTAACTGACTGCCATATTAATCGTAATCGCCTTTATATTATATATTAATAAAGCTAATAAAGGTATTTATAATAAAGTTTAAAAGGCAAATTTCGTTATAATAAAGGGGTATTATTTATCCCTTTTATTTAGCGTTGCTTCCTTATTTTTTTAATTACTATTTTTTTTTTAATTATTTTAATTATCGCCTAATAGGATATCTTTTGCGGCGGTATTTTTATTTTTTAATTTTTATAAAATTTTATTTTTAAATATTGCGTAATTAGTTACGAAATCGGCGATAAGTTGGGTATTAATATTTAGGAGCTTATTTTTAAATATATCCTATTTTCCGTCGCATAATTTTTTTTCGTTTATAATTATATTTTTCGTATTAATTAATTTATTTTAATTAAAAATCTAAATTTTATAAATATTAAATAACTTATATCCGATTAAATATCCTATTTATATTTTAAATATTAATCGCTATAAATGGCCGAATTTTTATTATGCCGTTAGCGTTATTGCGTACGTTTTATATCCGAATGCTTTAAAATAGGTTTAATTAAATTTATAATTTAGATTTAGAACTTTTTTTATTTTTATAACTGCTTTATAGAATTTTATATATAATATGCGCTATCGGGAATTATAATTCGGCGTGCGATTATATAAATATATTGCGGTTTTGCCGATTTCGGGCTAAAATTAATAAAGGAGTTTTACGCTAATGCGTATTACCCGTTTTTTTTTTTAATTATACCCCTTAAACGTTTAATAGCTCTATTTTAGGCTTATATATATAATGCTAAAGGCTCGAATTTAATATATTTATTTTCGAGGTATTTTCCTATTATTTATTTAACTTTTATAATTTTGTTATCGTATTCGATAACTTTAATTTTAATATTATATTAGGTTTTTATTATACTTAAAAACGATCGGAAAACGTTAATTAATATAACCGCAATCCTTTTTATAAAATAATAATTTTATATATATCCCGTTTGCCGATAAATAATTAGTATTTAGGATATATAATTTTCGATCCCTTTAATATAATTATAAAAATTTATAGCTAATCGTTCGCTATAATTTTCGTTAATTAGCCGTAACGCTCGCCGTAATTAGCGCGTAATTTTTGTAAATACGCAGGCTTTATATTTTATTATAATTAATCCTTTAATTTTTACCCCCTAAAATAAATAAATAAGGTATTCGAAAGCTACCGGGCCTAAATATCCTATTTTATAATGCTATTGTATAGCTTTCCTAATTAATAGTGGCCTTTTTATTTATATTATATATTTTTTCCGGTAAATAGCAAATAACGCTAAAAGTAATTTATAAAATTTATATTTAAGGATATATTATTTGTATCGGTTTTGGAGTATGCTAATTAAAAATCTATTTCTTTTATATAATATTATAAAGTCGTTTTTATTATCCTAATAATATCTTTGTCCTTATAGTTAATAAAATAATACTAATATAATTAGTAATTTAGGATAATAGGCTATATTATTTAATAATAATATTTTAAATCCGAGTTATATAGTTATTATGCTATATCCGTAAATAGGTAATTTCCGGTCGCTTAACTAAATAAAGTCGTAATTAGGAGTTTGCCTATAATTAATAAGTTTTATTTTTATATTTATAATTAAAATCGTTATTACTAAATTTAGGATAACTAAATAGCGTAAAAGGTAGTTTTTTATAAATATTATAAAATTGCTTTATACGTTTGTTACTAATCGTTTATTTTATTAATTTATATTAATCGGGAGTAATTTTTTTTTAGTTATTCGTAGTATATTAATTCGGCTAATTTTAATCCTTTTTATATTGCAAACCTATTTTTATAGGTTAGGGTCTTTTTTAAAAATTTTATTTATTCGTATTTGTATTTTATTTTTAAAAACGAAACCTAAATAGGCTTTTTTTAGGAATACGTAAAAACACAAATTAAAGGTATAAAAAAAGTGGCAAATAGGGTATCTAATATCTTTTTACCTTTTATTATAGGTAGTTTATTTATTTTTTTTTTTATATAAACCAGCCGTATTTAATCGGGGAAGCATTTAATTTTTAATAAAATAAGCGTCTTTATTTTATCCGTTTTAAGGCTATTTTTTAGTTTTATTAGCGTAAATTGCAAAAGCGCTTTTTTTAATTTTTAACTTAATCGGCTATTAAATATTTAAGCTTTTACGGAAATCGTTATTTATTACCCGATATTTTAAATTTTTATTTAAAATGCTTTATTTTTTGTAAATTTAATAAAAGGCGGCCTATTATAATATAATTAAAATAATTGCATTTAGAAAATCTATAGCCTAAACCGAATTATCTTATATTTTAATTATTTATTTTACCTAGGCTTTCGTTATAATTATCTTTTATTTATTAACCTAATTAATAGCTTTTTTTAATATTTTCGGAGGCTTAAAAGCTTTTAAATATTATTTTTTTATTTTTTTTTTATTATTTATAGCCAATTTGCTATAGCGAGCCTTTAGATTTTCGTACTATTTATGCAAAGGCTCGTTAATTAAGCAGCACGTAAAAAAAAAATCTAGAGAAATCGTGGTAGTTATCTATTTTGTAATCTTTTTAATCGCTATATATTATTTAGCGTATATAACCTTTTTTATTTTATAATAATTATAATCGAGGTTAAACGATTTTTAACCTTTTTTAGTAAAATCCGTTATTATTTATTCCCTGTTTTCTTTATTTTAAATACTCGGATTATCGCCTTTGTCTATAGCTTTAAAAGTTGCTGCCGCGGTTTTTATATATTTGGTTTTTTTTATATCCGGTTTAATTAAAGTTTTAATTAAAATCGTTTTATTTTTAAGGTAATTAATTAGTCCGGCAATTTATACCTGGATCCAAAACGCATATTCCTAATTATTCTAATCGGAGATTATTTTTAATAATGCCGTTAGGCCGATTCCGGCTTTTTTCGTAATTATTATTTTCGTAGCTTCGGCGGAGGCACTAAGATTTTTAATTATTAATTAAGGTAGTGCTTTCCTATTAAAATTTAAACTAATTTAATATAAATATTAATTATATAATATATTAATTTATATTTTGCGCTTTTTAGTTTTAATAAAATATACGCTTATTTAGGTGGCCCCGGCTAATTCCCGGGAGGTCCCGTATATCTATCTAAACACTATAGGGTTGATCCGTGTGCTTAAGCACACCCCAGTATATGGGAACCATAATCCACCATCTAACAATAATCTTACGCGTTTATTTATCGCATTAAGAAAATTAATAATATAAAAGTAATTATACGCGAAAAAACGCGGTAAACTACTTTATTTATATTACTAAATACAAAAAGCAATATGTGCTGTTATAAACGAAATTGACTAATTAGCCGGATGTGGTGCGATTTTCGGTACGTATCAAAAAGGGACTGCAACCCGTGCTTAAAGGGATACGCACTTAGTGCGGAAAAATTAATAGAAGCCGAAAGATTCCCAAAATCCACTAGCATGCATGAAGCATTCCCAAATACCATGTTATAGCTGCTTATTTTTTTTTTCTCTCTCTCGACAAGGCCAGTGAAAGTACGCAGTCACTGCTATCCATGTTTATAGGAGAGTTCTGCAACGGCGGTAGTTGCAGCGCTTCTTTGACGTTATTGGGTCAACTTGTTATACAACGACCAAACTCCATGGATTGCAATTCAATAAGTTTTTTCTTCTTCTTCTTTTTGTTTCATTATCTGAAGTCGAAAAACCTGTAGCATCCGGAGATCTCAAGATGGCAAAAGAGAATATGGCACGGAACAGCTCTCTTCCATGGGGAAAAAAAAAAGCCCTTTTTTTTTTCTCCACTTTTTTCCCCTCCACCTTTTCAGAAGGTTGGCATCCTTCTTCGGGAAAATCTGCGGGAAGATGAAACGACTTGGACATCTCTTGAAGAGATTCTTCCCAACGACTCGGTCTCTAGACTCAACTTAAGAACTGACTGCTAAACTGCTGCCAAAGGTTGAAGCGACATATTGTGACGGTTGAGCCGCCGGTTTCTTGCTTTTCCCCAGACTATTGCTATGATAGTATTTCCGGCAGAACCGCACCAGCAAGCAATCACAAGCTGGATAGCCGGGAAAATTCTCTGTCAAAAAGGTTCGGATTTGCCGCATTGCCCATATCAGCTACCGAGCAAGGGCGGATAGCAGATTACACTGGGAAAAGCTTGTGACAAAAGATCGGGAGATGACTACATGATCAATTCAAGTCGAGATATAATGCAAACAAAATACAATGATGCCCTTGAAATTTTCTCGATTGGATGCCGACATCCTCTTCATCCAAATATTCCCCTTAATGTCTTTCTAGGTTCTAGAGTATGAGATCTTAGATCTTGCTTTCACTCTTTTCTTCAACTTATCAAGGGGTCTTCAGCCCCTAATTTTGATTTCTATCATGGCAGATATAGAATCGCTCACAATTCTCGGAGCGGTGACTAATCCATGCAGTCTGCCTTATTACTCGAGTCTCAGCTCCCTGATCGCGACTGACCCATTAACTCAATACCTTTGTACGGAGAAGTTCGACATCAGTGTCCCTACTACGACGACTAGTAAGTATTCGTTTCTTTGAATCTTGTGAATAATCAACGCTGAGATATACAAACTCAATAGCTATTGGCTTCGGTGCAACAACTACCGTAACAATTATCACCACTGCTACAACTACAAGCACCCCAGTCTCTACGAGCACCGGTAGGTATTCATTACTTTTTATTCATGACAAATAGGATGATCAGGTACCGAAATCCAGGTTTGAATAATGTCAATCATATATTCCGACTGCTTAGTGCAGCTAATGCTCATTAACCTGCACAAATTTAGACCGAGAGTCAGAAACCGTGACTGAGACTGCCGATCCGACCACGTCGACCGTAACCACCTACTCAAGCATCACCTCAACGGTAAGTAAAGCATATATCAATCTTTTCGGTCATTAAGCCGCGTTTCAAAACCCTAGCCAAGGTAATTTGTCACGTATCGACCGTGATGGAGGCAGATGCAGTATGGACGATCAGAACTGAGCACAATTCAATTTATCTCACAAAAGGACATCAGATCAAATGACTAATTGCTTTTCTTTTCAAACCAGGAAACCGACTTCGCTGTAGAAACGGATTCAACAACAACAACACTAGTTGAAAATACTGCCGTGTCTGTTTGTGCATCCACTGCCTCCACAGCTGCCGCCGCAACTGAAAAGAAAAGGCGCGATCATACTCGTGGCGGGTGTGATGGCGACAAAAAGGCCTCGCGCTCTCGCCCGGTAGCTGGTCTCAAGCCGACCCCGTACGTTCAAGATGGCTCTGGCTCTGATAGTGGCTTTCCCTCCGGCCCTTCGTACGGCAGCGATGGTGGTAGTGATGCACACGGTGGCCAGCTTCCTGCATATGCTGGGGGCAGTGGAGGCGGTCATGGTTTTGAAGACTCCTACAATGGCAAAGCTAGTCACCAAGGAAGCTATGATGAGAGTTCTGGGGGTGATAGGGGTGGCAGCGGATATGATGGTCACGAAAGCGGCCAAGGGGCCAGCCACAATGGTAACAATGGCGACTACGATCTTGGTGGTAGCAACTCGAACTACAAGGGGAATGGTGGTAACGAACCTGTTCAAGCGTCTCCATACTATGGAGATAGTTGGCCTGAGACGACTCTTGACCCTTTCTACACTGACTCCGGCGGCCTGAGCCCATACGAGCCGTGGTATAGCACTGAGACTACCGCATTCACCAATCCAACGGAGACGAGCGTTCCGACCTTCGGGTCGACGACACCAACCAGTACTCCTACAGGTACCAGCAAAAGCACGGACGAGCCAACCTTGGACTCAATTATATGCAGCTGCATTGCCACTACCGTGACCTCCACTGTTACGTCGACGGGTCTAACCTCGACGGAGACTGATACAGATACTGCCATCATAACTGCGCCGACTTCCACTACGACGACGACGCAGACGGTAAAGAGCACAACGACTGAGACCCCCACCACGACACAGACCCTTACGAGTAGCACGATAGTCGCTAGCACAACAATCACACAATTCACCTCAACGACCACGAGTACAGCCATAACAACAAGCACTAACACGGGAACTGTCACCGTATCTCAGTAAAGACTCCCCCCCTTTTTCTTTTCGGAACAAGAAAATTGATGTGCTAATTCTTGCTTAACAGGGGCATCTATACAAGCCCTGCACCTGTGAGTACTTTATTTCCTTGAATCTTGCTCTTACTTTCTCTATCTGCCTTTTTTTTTTCATTTTTATGTTGGACTGGATAATTTTCTATATCCACATGGACAAGGAAGTAAGAAGGGAAAGGAGAATACTAAACACGTTTTCTGCAAAACCCACTTCTCAATTAAAAAAAAAAAAAATTATATTAAAAAAAAGAGAAAGCCCAAATCACTGACAGTAACTGACTTTGGTTGGATAGGGAGGCGACGGCTGTGGTTGTACCTATGAGGTGACCTGTGGACAAGGGTATGAGGGCCCCGAGACCAGCGACCTCGTGACGTCCGATTACCAGGACTGCATCGACTACTGCAACAAGTCCATATATTGCGAATCCTTTGCATTCGATCTCGTCAGCGGAACATGTTACCTGTATATTGGTGACGGCGGGTTCGGCGGTACCACCACCGTTTCCTTTCCGTACGCAGTCCAGGGAACCAGTGTGGCTTGCTCCGACCCGACTAGTCCTGATTGTAATTCATGAGGCAATCTTGAATTTTACCATTGGTTTTGAATCTGTCGTTGCCAGCTCTTCAGCTCGAGTGGGTATTATATTTCCTTTTCTGTATCTTTAGCCCCCTCCTTCCGCCCATTGATGAACCAAAAGACATCACAAAGAACCGGAATAGAAACTTACTGGTGGGTCGCTAGTCTTGGGTTCTTCGGGTCTTTCGGGGCAGAGATTTTATACTTGTTGTTTATGGGACTATATAATACACACTACAGTAATATATATACGACGAGGCCTATGGATCCTAATTCGAGAAGTCATCCGAAACCCCAGAGATTAACCTAAGTATGAGGCCAAAACCACTTCGAGGACGTTCATGATGGAAATAACTTCTTAGCAAATTCCTGTAGACAGGTGTTGGCTCGGATTACATGAATTAAGCTCAATAGATCAGGGCAAATTCGATGCTTCACGTCTCACAACAATGAGTCATATTTTCTACATGTCGAGTAAAGAGAAAAGAAGCATTCCTGACATCAACGTGGCCAACAAAACCGTTATAACCACCTCGAGGGATCCGACAATGACGAATCCATGGCCCCCTTTTCGTCCATCCACCTCTCCAGACGCTCCTCGCCAAAATGTACGCCCAGGAGCGCAAGTCCAAAATCATCGACATCACCAGGTCCCGCCCCTTCGAGCGCGTCGTCGAGGCGCGTAGTCAAGAGTCCCAGCAGCGGGTCTCGTGTGTTCATTGTCGCCGCGGTCGTGGCCAAGGAAGGCGGAGGAGCCGCCAGGGCCAACCGCTTCTTCCACGCATACGCACTCCTGGCCGACCAGACGCCGCGCCGCATTGTCAAGACGACGCCGCCGGCACATGACGACCAGCCAGTTTTTTGCATCAGGTAGATATTCTGCACGATTTGCGCCGTGAGTAAGGCGCGGCGAACCGATTCGACGTGGATAAAAGTGTGCCATAGACTATTATCGTCGTAGTCGTCGTCGAGATTGCCGTGTGCCTCTTGATCTTGGTCTTGGTCCGGATGATCATGACGATGACAACAGAGTCCCGGCGGAGAAGAAGAAGAAGAAGAAGAGGAAGAAGAAGCAAAGTCATGACGACAACCACAACAGCGACCCTTCTTGATCTTGTTCTCCTGGTCCGCCTTTGCGCTCGTCCACATGGCATCGCACCAGGCGAACAACGTATCCACGAGGCCGTCGGCGCGGGCGCGGGCGCGCACGTTGCCGTCAAAGAGGCCGAGGACCTGGTACGCCAGCAGGGCGTGGACGCGGGCCAGGTGCTCGAGGGTGCCGCGGGGCGGGTCGCCCATGGCCTCGCGCACGGCTTGCTCCTGGATCAGCTGATCGGTGCGGGCCTCGAGGATGCGCAGCGCCGTCTCCGTGTTGGCTGGCGTGCGGTACTGATACGTTGTGATGGCGGTGTAGGCGTCCTGTATTATGCGTGGCATCTCGCGCCGGTATAGTTCTGGGTGGATTAAGGGGTTTGTGGCGGGTGAATCTGTGGAAGTGGAAGACGATGAAGAGAGGACAGGTGCGGGTGAGGACCCCGAAACCCAGTCGAATAACCAGTTACGTATCGTGTCTACGTATAACTGTTGGCTTGATGCCAGCATTTCTTCATGCTGCTCTAGTAAGCGCTCGCGCTTCCAGCTTGAAGGATGGAGGAACCATGGCAATACTGATGACTCGGGCTTTCGAGCCGGCGTTATGTCTACGAGGGTCTGTTGACCACGACCCAAGTCATCCGAGACCAAGTTCGGGATAGTAGAGTCCAGATCTGGCAAGTTGCAAGAAAAACTGATGTCTTCATCCAGTAGTGATGCTGCCAGTAATTCGCCAGTGTCGGTTGCGTCGGCCACAAGCGCGGAAGAAGACAAGGACTGCGGCAATAGCAGCGGGGCCGGACGCCGCGGCGGTGGATAATGACAATCCGCTCCGCGCTGTATACATCTCCGACATGCCGGCGTCTGCTTTGTGCATTGACGTTTTGCCTTTGTACAAGCGGTACATGCTCGTCGCCATGGTGTATGCATGTTTGTCTTCAGTTGACAAGGTCACCAGCCGCGAGTGATCCCTCTGTAGCTGTTCAAGTCAAAATCTGAGAGAAACTATGACCCCTACGTCGTACGCCCACGGTACATCTGATTCTCGCGATGGCAGTCAAAGTCTTACGTGAGGCCCCTTGCAAACTGCGGCTCCGAGTGGAAAATGTCAGCATAATTGCGGAAGACTGGCGGACAATTGTGGAGACATACGGGCCTGAGTCAACGGCACCGCTAGTATAGGCGCGGACACTGCTGACGGGTTTCCGCTGATCTATCATCGACACACTATTTTCCGCAGGCAAATTGACAAACAGTCATGTTTTGAAATGCTTGGAAGTATTGCAAAACCAGGCAGAAATCTCAAATTTCCGCTCAGCGCCCGCCAATGGACTCGAGGCTCGGAGCAGAGCCAATGCTCATGGGCAAGATGTATATAAAGTATGGCCACCGTGTCTGATCCTGATCTGGACCATCATCATCTCTTCATACAGCATCACCAATCATACAATTACACAGTGTAACAACTTTCAGCTTGAAAAATGTCTTCCAAAGTAGAACAACTACTTTCCTCCGCAGAGAGTCAAGATATCTTCAAGTCTCCAGACTTGGTTAAAGTCACCCATAAAAAGCCCTACGGGGAGGTCTCGCCGACACGGCCAGAGCTATCTCAAGCCGGTCGTACCGTGCTCATCACTGGCGGCAACAGCGGCATAGGCTACGCCGCCGCCCTCGCCTTTGGCCAAGCCGGTGCCTCGCGCGTCATCATCACCGGCCGCCGAGCCGAGGCCACGACTGAAGCTGCCGCCATGCTCAGCTCGCAAGTCTCTAGTGACGGGAACAATAACACCCAGTTCATCGGTGTTACAAACGATATTGCCGATCCCGCCGCCATCGAAAGTCTATGGAATGACCTTGAAGCCCGGAGCATTTCGGTCGATGTCCTAGTCCTCAATGCGGCGCGGTTTTCCGAAGCTCAAGGCCTCCTTGAGCGTGGCATCGAGGCTGTCTGGGGCGACTACAACGTAAACGTCCGCGCGCAGCTGCACATGGCGGAGAAGTTCTATAAACAGAGAGCTGTGGCAACCACCGGGAAAACGCAAAAGGTACGAGGTTAACCAAGCAACCCCTTGATTAGCAGAACCAAAGTTGCAAACCGTCTCTGACAACATGTTTTTAGTTTCTTGTCATGGTCTCTTCTGCTGCCATCCACCTATGGGCAGCCAATGATCCATACCCATCCTATGGTCTCACCAAAAACGCTGGCTCACTAGCCATGCAACTCATTGCAAGAGAGGCCGACCCAGAGCAGATGCAGATCGTGAGCTATCATCCAGGAGCCGTATTCACAGACGCAGCCAAAAGGGCAGGGGCGAAAGAGGATACCTTGGACTATACCGACGGTAAGACTTTTCTGTACTCAATCGCACTTTCAGAAAACGTCAATATCATGAAAGCTATAAGCAACAAATGCTGACTCGAGAATCTATGTTGCATTAGTCAATTTGTCAGGACAGTTTGCTGTGTGGGCAGCCTCGAAGCAGGCGAACTTTCTCCATGGAAGATATGTCTGGGCCGAATGGGATGTGAATGAGCTAAAGAACTTGCGGGAAAGGCTCGAAAAGGACGATAATCTCCTGCGCATTGGTGTCCACGGTTTCGAGTAAGGGAACCTTGAGGAGAAGTGGTGTCGGGTATGTTCGGTGGCTCTGTCAAGTATGTATGGAGGCAGTTGTAGAGTGTCCTTGTTTACTTGTTTACTAGACTAGAACCGGTATTAGGAAAACAAATCACTGGGTGTAGGACATAAATTAAACACTGCTCTTTGTGAAAACGAGAATGGGTCATACACAGATGATGATCGAGTGGTGCATGTATTTCGATACGTGTATTACGTACCCTTTAGTCAAAACCAATCCAATAAACAATGAACACCTTAACCATGCCGAGTGCTTGTCCTACAAGCGTCCATCCTCTACTCAATCATGTCGACATCGTCGCCGCCAGCCGGAGCCTCAGTAGCCGGAGCAGCAGCCGGTGCGTCGTTTGCAGCACCGCCAGGACCGAAATAGTCTGCCATTTCAGCGTCCAGCTCCTCTTGGGTCTTCTTAGGTCGCCCTCCACGTCCCTTGCGTTCACCGCCATCCCGCTGAGTCTGGCCTCCTTCCTCGCGTCTTTGGCCGGGCCGTCTTCCTCCTTGTCCTCGTCTGCGAGGAATGGGACTGCGCGATCGTCGGCCACCAGAAGGCACATAACGGTCAATACCGCGATCCATGTCGGGAGAGTAGGATCTGGATCGGTCAGACGGCTGAGTGATTCTGTCGGCCAAGGACCGTCCAGGCATTTGAGCAGAATCGAATGGATTACGTCGGGGGCCGGACGGAAGGATAGTCAGTCGGATCGGCTGGCCCTTTGCGTTGGCTCCGTCAAACTCTCGAACGGCTTCCTTTGCATCCTGGTGCTCTTCGTAGGTGACGTAAGCCAAACCTTCAGAGCGCCCAGCGCGGTCATAGACCATGTCAATCTTCAGAAGCGGACCGATTCTGTTGAAAAGCCCCTGTGGTGATGATTGTTAGCCATCACTTGGTAAATTGAATTGTGCCTGAAGCGGTTGGCTCACCTCCAAGTCCGACTTGCTGAGGTCGTAGTGCAGGTTTTCGACCTTGATCTTGGTGCCCCGGGTTTCCTCGCTACGTGGTATGCGTTAGCACATATAACCTGAAATCCATTGTGCATGGAACGAACCGTGACGAAGGGCCGGGTGATCGTCGTCGAGAGTTTCGAGATCGGCTATAGGAATGGCTATCCTCAAACTTATCGTGAACCCATTCCCTAGAGCACGGTTAGCCCATTGTCTTCTCGAGACTTATGGCTTCGCCTGGGAACATACGAATCCATGTTTCTCGAATCATCTCTGGTGGACTGTCTCGCAGAAACGAGGTCGCTACGTTAGCCGTGACATTCCTCAATGGTATTGGCGACCCAGCACCCGAACCCAAGCCATCGAGAATCGCAAGTGTTGGGGTTATATCGCTTTCTGGAGGATCGCGCGCGTGAAACTTGTTTTCGATACATCGTTGGGAGGGGTTCGTGGGCTCTGGTCTTTAGGTGTGGACATATTTCAAGTGGTAGGAGAGTGAGCAACCTGCAAGGTGCCGCACTGGTCAGCTTTTCGAGGTCTGCACTGAGGGGATTGTGCATGAACACCAATGGAAGGGTGCTAGAGTATTTGGTCTTCTTGCCTTTCTTACGCCATCTCGCGGGAACGAGTCTCGCTCTCGAGGTCGTGAGCCACCACCACCTCCTCCTCCACCAGAGCGGCCGCCGCCATTGCCGCCTCTGCGTCGAGGGCCGCCTTTCTTCTGCTGCAGAGGCCATGTACGTTAGCGAACCTGGGTCCGAGTGCGCAGCAATGCTGCTGCTGTGGCTGCAATTTCGATCTGATTACGATGGACATACCTGATTCTCAGCGACGATCTCGTCCAAGCTGCGGTCCATATTGCCGGTGGTTATCTCAGTATCGTGAGAAAAAAAAAAAAGGATAAATGAGGAGGACGAACTGCAATTGAGAGTCAGATCCTCCGACGCGGCTGATGTACCTAACCTAGGTGACCTAGCTTGGTGTGGATGGTGGTTCATCCATTGGTCCCAGTTTGTCTGGACAGCGGCGGCGGATTGTGGAGCCCGCCGAAAGAGAGTGGGGCCGCTTACAGAGTACATAGTACCTGCGTGCAAGACATTGACATATGCATTGTACATGGAGCGTACTTTGGTACCTACACATCAGATTGGTTAAACGCCATTTCTCGACGCAACTACTATTCACTTATGTGCTGCGTTAGGTACATATATTTTTTATGAGAGCTTATAATATTTACTTCGAGATTCCTGTGTGACTTTCTTCCGTTACTGTCAAGTTCAAAAGCTGTGAGTGCTACCGAATATAAAGTGCCACTTAGCAAGACTGCTTGACAAATATCATCGACCCTAATATGAAGCACTGTGATGAGAGATTCTGGCTCATCTTTCGTTTTCCTGTCCTCATATTTTTTTTTTCTAGACGGTAGTAAGAACTCTCTAAACTGACAATACAGTCTTACTTGAAGCTGTTTGCTTTACCGATTCCGTAGCCGCCTTTTATGATGCAACACATACCTTGTAATATACATATCACCCTGCTCCTGATTTTCCTTTCATCGTCTATCAATGACTTATTATCGCATGCGGGACGTCAATCTTGGTCGTGTACGGGAATGTGGAGATCGCAGCATGCTCCTTGGCCTCGCCTGGAGTCCCCAGGTTCAGATAAACGCCCTCGGCAGACATGGCCGTGAATGCCTCCGGCACAGCCGACACCGCAGGGCCAGCATCTTCCTCCACGACCTCCTCGACTTGCCGGTCCCACGCATCCTCGTGTCTCTCTGCCACACCGAAATTCCAGCCGCGGCTCTCGCTCGTGCTGACGCCGTCTAGGTCCTCTCCAGCAACATCGGCCTGCGCGCAAAAGATGAGGTACGAACCTGGCGACACAATATCAGATGATGAAGACGATGTTGTCGTCGTGGTTTGATCCTGGTCTGCGAGAGCTTTATTGCTGTCTAGCTTCATCTCATACTGGGCCTCGAACGCCCTGATGAAATCGTCAATGCCCTCTTGCTCAGGAGCGCTGTAGCTTGTTTCCGGGTCAAGGGACAGCAGTCCCTGTTTTACTCCCCACCCACCGCCACCGCTCACTAATAAATTTAGAATTAGTCAAAATAGCGACAGCATGATAGACTTTGGGGGTTTGAACTTACAAATCTTGTGAATCCGCAGGCCATGCTTTCCTATCCGGGACAAACACTCCCAGTTCATCTCGACCATCTTCTTTTCCGATTCAAAATTCTCATAGTGTTCACTGTAAGGCTGGATAGACGCAAATGCATTGTCTCTCTTCACGACGTGCGGTGGGACCACGACGGCCCATACACCAACGGCATGGCTCTTCTGGCGTTGCGCCAGGAATCGCGGGATCAAGTCCTCGAGCTCCTTGGACGCGGGCTGTGGCCGGCCGTCCACCAAGACCTGGCGCACAATGTTGCCCAGGCCCGCGACAATCTCCCGGGGCGGCGTCAGCGGGATCAGCGGGAGCTGAGGCGTGAACCGCGGGCCGCCGTCCGTGACCACCTCAATGTCCTGGTGCGCCTTGTCTTGCATCAGGGTAGCCTCGAAGCGGCCCGAGGAGGCGCTTCTCTCGTAGCGCGTGGCAAACAGCGTCGACCGCCGCCCGTTTTGAAAAATGGTGTTGGCCATGGGGATCGTGATGTGCGAATTGAAGGGTTGGTCAGGGTAGGCGGCAGACACGGATATTGAGGCTGCGCGGTCCACATCACGGCCATCCGCGTCGCCATTCTGCTCCCAAATGCGAGGCAAAATACTCTCGGGCCCGTACAGGACTGACAACCCCGACTGTTGCCGGGCTCCCAGTTCGTTTGGCTGGAGACCGTCTGTCAAACCGGCCAAGACGTCTATGGTGGCACTTCTGTGGGACTCCTCTGCAGGCGCAACGGTTTCCAAGAAAGTCGACATGAATTCATGACTCTCTAGGCATTTTGCCATGTCCTTGGAGGCGAGCAGGACCAAGGCGCTCCTCGACTTCCCTGAACCAGCAATCCATGCTTGTTTCCAGTGCCCTGATTGGGTCCTGGTCTTGACAAATTTGCGCAGCTCTTCAGTCACAATTGCCTATTGTTCCATCAGTACTATTGTTCTTTGCATTACCAAGAATCGTTATCAGACATGACCCAAGTACATACCGGGTCGGTTTTCTTGCCTTTGACAATCAAGCTGAAGTACTCTAGAGGTGTGGTATGTGGCTGTTGGCCACTGCTGGCTTGGCTGTAGCGACGCACGAAGCCCAATGGGGCCACGAGACATCGTCGCATCTCTCAAAAGTCCGAATAGTTGCAGCTAATGGAGTTGCAGCACATACGAATGATGTTACAATGGACTGTGTTGCGATATCGTAGACGTCAATAAACTCGGCCGGATTACCAAAGCTGAGGACGAGAACACGCTAATTGGTTAATGTGGGGCCCGGACCACATCTGGGGATCGATCCAGGGAGGTGAACATGCGTCTAGATACTGAATGTTGAAGTTATTACAAATCATGCATCAATTGTTTCAAGCATGTGCCCAGTAAGAAATGCCATGTCAGATTAACTATTTGTATTAAACAAGTCATTGGATGCCTAGTTCCCGGATGTAGAACATTTTGTCGTGGTATTCATGTGACTTTTCGTGGCAGTTCCATCCAGAAGTCGAATTGAATAAATGTTTGAATATATGTTTCTGTATTGTTGATATTACACCATGCCTATCTACACAATACCCGTTTCTGCACCATATGTTAGTAAGATAAGGCGAGTCTGTATCTCAGCCAGCTTTATACAGTTTTTAGCCCCGTATCCCAAATATATATATATAAATCCCAAAGAATACTGATTGACTATGCTGCATCACATTCGTTGCTACAGTGGTCAAATCCACTCGCTCCCGGTGGCCCTATTTAGATTAATAGCCGCCGGGTCGCCGGTAACCACCATAGCCCCCGACATTGGGTACCGTCGGTTCTCGTCCCATTGGCGCTGCACTGCCCAGAAGCTGTTCGTGGCTCTGGTCGGCCGCATATGGTTGACCGGACGTCAGTGGCCGGTTGTACGAAGAGAGGGAGTAGGGGTTGGCCGGCTCTGCGCCCATGTATCGCTCAGGAGACTGTCCTCTAGTCAGAGGTTGCTTGCTCTCGTGAACGTGATCGCCCAGAGAGAACGTTGTCGCGCCAGGCTCATCCTTTCTGATGGGGTCAAGAAGGAGCGAGTTGCGCGCGTCAAGAGGTGTGAGTGTATCCATGTCACGCTGCATTTTTTCTGTTTCAGGAAGCACACGGGTTAGTATGCCAACACCATCTGATGGAACTTTTGGATAGCTTCTTGTTCGGACTTACCCATTTCCTTTCTTCGCTTGCGGTGCGGGTTCGCCTTGACACAGACAACAATGGCATTGTAAATGATCAGGATGGCCAGGATACCGGCGAGTGCGGCTTGTACGGCGATGAGAGCCACACCGGCCACCGTCTGTGTTGTCTCTGCAATGGCGAATTCCTCCACAAAGATCAAGATACAGGCTACTGAAAGGACCCGCACGACTTGAATCATGATGTTGACGACATTGCCGGATTTGCGCTCGAATGGCCGACTCCACAGAAGGAGACCAAGCATGAGTGCCTCAATGACGAGCGACGTGACTGTCTGCGCCATGCCGCGGCCGTCAAGGAGGGTTGTTGAGGCTCCTTTGGCGAACAGGTAAACGATGACCGGGATGAATATCCACCAATAATCCTTCTTGTACGAATCATAGAACAGACTGTACTTCATCCAAAGACTCTTGTTCTCGTAAAGACCGGAAAAGTCACCCTCGGCATTCTTCAGCTTTCGGGCGGTACTCCAGATTTTGTAAGCAAAGAAACTCAAAGTGGCGGTAAATATAGCAAGCGTGACACCGGCCAACACCTTTGCCGCCCATGAATCGCCCTCGGTGAACTGGTACAAGCTAATCAACACCCAAATTCCGTACAAGAGGAGTATTAGGTGCGTCACGGTACGCGCAATGGACTGCCAGTAGTGCTTTCGGAATCCGGTCCAACTCTTGGGGAAGCTTCCGAACAGAGCCCAAGCTTCGAGGATGACCTTGACGAGTAGGATACCAACGATAATGACGGCAATCAAAATAGCGACAATGAGAAGAACGGTCATGTATGTGTTAGCCTTGGGAACCGCGAGTTCCTCGTAGTAGCCAGCAATACCAGAGACGGCTTGACGGAAACTCGACTCCGTGCTGGTGGAAGTCTCGTTGCTTGTGCTGGTCGCGTTGACAGAAGTTTCGAGGGCACGCATAGAAAGCGCAAATTCGTCAAGGGCGCGCCTGAAGAGAGTCGAGTCTGCGGTGCCCGTGCTTCCATCCGAGTATACGAGTGTGGCATTTTGCAGGTAGTCAAAATTGGCTTCGGTCAGGTTGCCACCAGTCACGTTGCGGAAGCTGTCGATCGACCTTTCCATCGAAGCCCAGGGAATAACTCCGGTGGAGAAAGCAAAATTCTTGGCAAAAGACTTGTAGACTTTCGGGTAGTTGACCGAAAGCATAGCGTTGGTCGCAAATCCCTGAAAAACACCAATGACCTCACCAAAGCTGGGACTCGGTGCGGCGGCAGCACCACCGGCGCCGGCTCCGGCTCCTGACATTGCGGCACCGACTGCTGAGACACCTCCGGCAACAAGGGCCACTCCTGCCACTCCGGCCATGATGTAGGAGACGGCCGCCACGCTTGCTGTCTTGCCATTGGTAACCTCGGATTGCACACAACCCACCTCCGTTCCGTCATCCAGTGATGTCAAAGACATCTGTGCCATGGCTGCGATATCAGGAACCGAAAAGGCAATTGCTGGAATCTTGTTGGCATATTCGGAGGGAATTGCCTGGTCACCCTTGGCAGAGAAGGTTCCTGCGGGAACGGGGCACAGCTGTTCCACATAATTCGCAGCGTCGCAGGGGTTGAAGCTGTTTGTGTATACATCCTGGCCATAGGCAGTGACCTTCAAAGTTGCTGTAACATTCTGCACCTTGTTGCTGGTTCCCGACACGTCAAACGTGACAGACTTTTGGTCCTGGTTGTAGGAAATATCCACGTTGTTCACCACAATGTCTGATGATGCATTGCAATTAGTGAAACTGCTGGTTGTCAGAATTTGGTCGCCGAGTGCGCCAACTGCAAACATCGAGGCCAAGGCGGCCGCCCGCCATGTTGTCCAACCTGAGCGTGGCATGCTGGATCGTTTTGTCGATATCTATACTGATGGAAAATAGAAATGCAATCGCTATGCTTCTATTCGGGGAATCAAATCCAAGGAAATTGAAGAAAAAAGTTTGGAGGTGATCGTATAGTCGTAATAGTAGACTTTCCGGTCTCAATGCATCCGGGTTTCCTTCTTGCTGCGAATAAGGACTTGGGTATATCTGCTTCTTCTTTCTTCGTTTATCTCTGCTCCGGGTAGGAAAAAAAATTGGACGGGAGATCGATTTGCGCGGTAGTTGTCGGTGAAATCAAATGTATGGTATGTATATAGACGAATACAAAGGTCGACAACTCTCAGAGCGGACAAAGAACAATGGGCCAAAGAAGATGTCCAATAATGGAACTGTTAATACGAATGCAATGAGGGCCGAGGATCAACCTGGAACGAAAAATAAAGAGAAAAGGCGAATTGTTTCGTCAGAGTGGTGGTTGTAGTGGTGGTTAAGGTCGAGCCCGTATAGGGGTAAAGACGAATTTCCACGGACTGTGGTGTTGATATTCTATCCTTCGTCGCAAGCGCCCTGGGTATGGTCCTGGTTGGCCTTTGGTCCAGGAAGAGTTGGGCGTCAAGCAAGACGAGACTGACAAGAAGGTCGACGATGGTCGAGGACTAGGGGTCAGGAGGAAGAGAGGAAAATAGACAAGATATGAGAGAGAGAGACGGGCGCATATATGAAACGAGGGGACGCAGCATGTACGATAAGGTTTTCTTGGTCAGCTCTCTTTCTCGGTTGGGATTTCGCGAGGCAAAAAGCTGCAACCAATGGACCAATATCTAGGACAGAGGCCAGAACAGGGAAAGAAGGACAAAAAAAGAGGAAAAGGAAAGAGTGTGGTGTCAGTTCAAGTCCGATTTGGCTTGCAGGTCCGTAGATGGTGAAGAAGCAAAGAGTCTAGAAGGTCGACCAAGAAACGATTCCCTCTCTCGCTCTTTTTGCCTAGCAAAAAAGCACAAGGAGGGTCAAAGGGTACAAATCGACTGGAGTCTGAGCTGTCCCAGAAACTGCAAAAGCGCTGCAATATCCCTGTACCCCTGGCCTTAGCGGCTAGATCCAGGAACGCGGGCCCTCTTTGCTCAGTGGTTTAAAAGTGCTTGAGTGGTTCGCTAGGCCTTGGTATTGGGGTTGCGCTCTTCTCGTTCGAGACCGCTTCGCTCGACATGGATAGACAATACCAACTCGCCAAACCCAGCCAAGGGGGGGCCCCCCGTTGTCGATTCGTCCCAACCCCAGCCTAGGGTGTACGGAATGGCGCTCAACCTACGGTAATGGCTTGATCCCCCGGGGGTCCCTTGTTGCCATGGCCATGCCATGCTATTTCATGTCTGGGCGGAGAGAGGTGGGCGGGCGGTCTCAAATAGTGGCAAGTCCAAAGACTGACGGCGGCTCAAGCAAGACAAGATGGACAGATCCAGAAGCACTGAAGCCCAAAGAGATAGACGCCGCGCCCACACGAAACTGGACACCACTTTGCACCTCCATCTCTGGGGCAGGCGACAAGACAGACAAAGACATTGGCAAAGAGAAAAAAAAAGGTAGTCAGGGGTTGAACTTGGCTGTCTCCTTCTGTGCTGCATTCTGGAAACGATTGGCTGTTGGAGCGGGCGGACATGCTTTTTGGTGGGGTAGGTGCCTCCACCCGGCCTAGCTTTGTTACTTTCCCAACTAGCGGCGGGGACCGGCTGCTATTTTGAAACGAGCCACTATCTTGTCGAGCAAGGAGATGGGCAGCACCTGGCAAATGAGGGAGCAATCAAGCATTACGAACTCAATGCCACTCGCGCGCCTACCTTGGGTCACTGTCAAATTATCTGGACAAGCTTGGGAAATGAGTGTCATTATTACTACTATTTTCTGCATTTTATTTCTTTGCATCTCCCTTGTGTCTCGGGACTGGGAACAGGAAGAAGAAGAGTCTGATTGATTATGCTTGGGGCACGCAGCAAGGCGACTATTTGGGAAATCCTCGCTCTCTTGGTCTTCTTCTCCCTGAAAACAAAGTTGGTCGTGATCTTGTTTGTTCGTCAATGCTTCGATTAGGCGGGGTGGTTTTGGAACCAATGTTCGTTAAAATGGCTGGCCTATCACTAGTCGGGCGGTGGTACGCTGATTAGGTGGTATTGGTAGTGGTCGGTGACATTGCTCAGCCATGATCTAGGGCTACTAGAACGCTCATCGTCATTAAGTCGGGACCCCCCAGCTAAACATGTGCAAAGCATCGATGTACAGAACTGAATTGCCCATAATAAGGAATGCAATTATTGTTACCAGTTACCGTGTATGCACCCCGATCAATATTCTCCAGATATTATCGGTACATGGACTACAGATGGGATTTTGCACACTCACTTTGATTGCCGCGACAAGAAAGAAGAAAAGAAAAGAGGCTGAGACAGCCGTTGCAAAAGCCAAGCCAAGGTCGGTGTCGACGCCCAAAGACATCATGTTTCTCCCGCTTCTGCAGCGTGGCGCAGTACTCTTTGTTTGACACTATGCGTCAGAGGGTTGCAATACTGCAGTCTAAGCCGCAACTGAATCAAGGCACAAAGATATGCAACACCCCGCAACTTTGACCAGATAGGCTGCATAAATGTCAATCACTATTGCTACCTATAGACGACCTCCATCGCCAGCACGCAGACAACCCATCTTTTGCCAGTTTTGGGGGAGACGACCGAGCTCGATAGATATTATTAGGTCAGCCGGCATGAGAACGTATAGTGGAACAGACGTCACAGTGCATGTAAACTCTAAAGTCCCAACGATAACTGAGGCCCCCGAGGGACAAACTTTATAGTGATCCGTGCAATATGAGACGACGACCGACGACGACGATTTTGCCAAGTTGCTGCTGTCACGTAGCAGCGACAGCGACGACATCATTATAATTCAATACGAGCCTTGGTCCATGACCAATCGGCAAATACGAAATAACCCTGATAATCCTCTCTGCTCCAGAGTTCTATGCCACCGCCTGGAATACTGGCCCTCCTTGCCTCATCTTTCCGCAGCCAGTCTAGTAAAGGGTCCGTCTGACCTAGGAAATAAATGCGTGGAAAGAGAGATCACTTGCGGCTCTTCTAATAACAGACTGGGAGAGGCATGATTTGAGAGAACAGAGTCATCTCTTTTATTTTATTTTGGCCGTCTCTATCGTTTTACCGTGTAATATCACCATGCAAGCCATGTGCCCACTGACCATTCTTTTCCTAGCTTCCCATTTCTGAGCGATCTGGTGGTGCAGATGTCCGCCTTGCTCACTACCGTCTTTAGAACCAACGAATCGAGGCGGTCGCGAACAATGGGTTCGTCTCATGTTTATATGGAAGTGGGGTCTTTCTCTGTCTGCACACATTTTACCGAGAGTACGAGGTAGGGTATGTAAATTGATTCTTGCGGGTCACGCAATAGACTGAGTAATGTCGCCTGTTCCGACTTGGGTTACGCTGCCAACTTTTTATAGGATTTAGAGTTGCTACTGCACTTTCTAGACCATGCAAAAAGGGATGACCCAAGAGGTGTGAAACCAATTGCCAAGGCTGAGGCGAAAGTGGCTGCCGACTTACACACCTGGGTCGCTATCTATCACAACCTGGAAAGCAAAGAATCGCTGCAATTTTCCAAAAAGTGATTACTGTGCAAATGTAATCATTCAAAATGCGAGAGTCTAGTCAATCAACAAAACACATGCCCATTTGTTCATGTCCCGTTACCGAATCCACTGCTTCCCTCCCATGAGGGCTCTCCATTCCGAGTCCATCGAAACAACGAAACACCACCGCATTATATAGTCCAAATGACCAATCCTGAAATAAACCATCCAAGACTCCGTCTATATAGCCCAACCTGAGTAAACAAACGCCTCCAAGCAGCATCAACGGGATATCTGAAAACGCAAAATATCATCGAAAAAGAAGGACGCTAAAACAAGCTATAATCCAACCAGCATAACGAGGCTGCTTCAGCAATATCGTACCAATGCCCTTTCTGTGGAGGGCTCCATTGGTGAACGCACGCGTGACATGTCTCCATCAATCATGCACTGCTTTTGCAGGCGGCTCCAAAGTATATGCGAACACACTGATACCCGCCATTATTGCATATAGAACCCGTTGTTTCCTGGATGAGGAGATCGTGAATATGGTGATACTGAGCCATGGTAACTGGATTGATCCGCAGGCATGACAGTGGGTGCCATGTTATCATATGGCATCTGCCCATTTGTATACTGAAGGCCCAGTGCGTCGTTGTTGAATGCCGGGAATGGTTCTGCTTGATTTTGCATTGCCACGTAGGCATTCCCGAACTGGCCTCCAGTTGTCACGGGCATGACCGAATACTGGGTTTGCGGGTAGCCAGCAGGTCCCTGCGGCATCATCAATCCACTGCTCGCGGCTTGTCCCATCCCGCCAAACTGTGGATTGGCTTGTCCTTGGTTATAGAAATGGGACAGGTTGTTTTGTTGTGCCATCGCTTGGAATCCTAGGTTGCCGTGCGGGTTGTAGTCTATTGGATTCGAAACGGCGTGTGGCCGTTGAGAAGTGAACACTGGCTCCTCGATTTTCACCGGAGTGGTGGGTGCGGGAAAGCTTCGTGGCGGGGGATCTTGCACAGGACTGATTATTGTGTCTTGATTGAGGTCTTTCGTAGACACAAGTCTCAACACTGGCAGACTAATCTGTTCCATGTGCTTTGCAAGGTGAACTGTCAACTTCTTCCACGAGGGGAAGGTCTTGCCGCAGAAGCTACAAGACTCTTCTTGTGGTTGTTTCGGTGTTTCAGCATGACATTCCTCAACTTTCTGCCAGGTGAGATCGGTTTGTCCTGACTTCTTGACCGCTGCTTTTGTCTTGACCTTGGGCTCTGCGAACTTGTGCTCACGGACGAGATGCTGCAAGAAGTTGTCGCGCCTGTAACACGTATGCTTACATTCATCAACATCACAAGTCCACCACTCGAGATGGCGATGGCCTTCATTCTCATGTCGAACCCAGTCAGCCTTTCTCTTGAACATTTTTGGCTCACGACAGTGATCCCAGGTGCACGTAAAAGGTTGGACATCCTCATGCACATGCTTGGTCCAATCAGAAGGCTTGATGAATTTGCGGAAACTGAAACAGATCCGACATTCAAACTCCTAAAGAAGGGTCAGCCAGCTGTCAACAAGAAGCAGTTCTGAGACGGTGAGAGATCCTTTCAATTTTCCCTTTGGCAATTGCTTTGTAGCACCAGAATTTCAACCAAAGTATGGGCCGATGGATGTGTAATTATATGAGAACAGAAGTTTACTTACTGCAGGCAGAATGGATGTGGGTGGCATAGGAATACCCGTAGGAAATGTTTCCGTGTTGATAGTACCTTCATGAGGGTTCGCATCGCCATCTGAAGAGTCTGCTTGGGCCGATACAGGGTCTGTATCGCGAACGCCGCTTTTAGACTCCAGAGGCCTGACCATTCCTTCCCTTTGGACACAGAACGCGCCAGAGTTGCAGTGTCCAGAATGCGCCGCTCTGAGATGCTTGATCTTCTGGTTCTGGAGGTTCTTGTACCGCACAACCATTTGATGCGCAATCCGATCTACCAGGTATTGGTTGCTGGTTGCTAGAAAGGGGTTTAGTTTGAGGATGTGTTGGCGGAACCCGTCCAAGGTTGGAGTGATATCTTCTGATTTGCTGAAATCAGTCTTGATGTCCAAGTCCTCAAAAGCCTCGTCGTCTTCATCGTCCTCATCTGCGTCATGGGGCATTTGTGACTTGGCCAGTTGAGCCACGGGCGGGCCGCCATTTTTCATGAGCATGCCCACAAGGTTGTTGGGGTAAGGCGGAGGCTTTGGCGCTTCAGTTCGACTCCTTGGTCTCATAATAGGTATCTTGGCTTGTAGGAATGACGGACTCCTAGGAGGGACGGTGTTAGTTGCACTCATTGAGCCGTTTCGAGTATGAGCCGTCGAGGAACCGATGGAAGCCGCACCAGCAGCCATTCCGACTAATGCCGTGTTCAAGCTGGGTGTCTGTCTTGAGCGTATGCCCCAGCTTCCACTGCGGGCAGGCGGAACCAGACTATCTCGAGATTCCCGCCGATTACTCGAACTCGAATCTTCCGATATTGGCTCTTCACCATTGGTACCCTTGCGTTTGAGAACACTCTGGCTTGGCCTCCTGACCAATGTCGAAATCTCCTTGAAGAGACTCGGGCGACGGGAAGAAGTGCCGTCACCTTTCAGTGCCAGCTTTTTGAAAAAGTTTCCGCTAATGACTCCTTCAGTATCGACAACACTAGGCATACTTCTCCGTCGAGTTCCCCACGTAGCAGCATATGATACGAAGGAGTCATTGTCATGGCACATTCTCTCAAATTTCGCCATTGCAGCTGCCGAGGTCTCAGGCTGGTTTCTCCTCGAGTTGATGTCGGATATTGGCTGTACCATTGGAGAGTTCTCCCAGTTGCGAGCAGGTAGGAGGTCAAGGTCGGCCAACCCGATTCGGCCGGAGCCATTGGACGGCCCATCACCTCTCTGATCATTCGTGAAGTCTCCATTGTAGTAGACCTGGTCTTCTTTATGCGTGTTAACAGTCCAATGGCCCATTGGAATATTATCGTCTTCTGTGGCCGTTTGACCAGTAGTGTTCTCCGCAATTGGAGGTTGTGCTTGATCCGCAGTGTTTGAAACCCAGGATTCTACCAACTGGCTTTTTGCATCAACTTCTCGTGTGGCAGCCAGCTGATTGACGCTGGTTGTTTCTTCGGCAGAGCGATTTTCAGGAGCCAATCCACGCTGACCCGTTTCGCTGTCGGCCAGCCAGCCGCCTTGTTGATCGCGTGACACGCTTGGTGCTGAGCCATGAAGTGTCTCAACAGACAGTGCATCTTCATGGAGAGAGCGAAATTGGTGGGGGCTTGAAGCCTCTGAGGTCAGAGGCCTCTCCATCGCGTGAAGTGGCTGCTCATTCTCTTTGCCCCAAACTGAGACAGTCACACGGGGGCTAGTTGTGGACATCGCAGCAAGGGCAGGACTCTCGGCGTTCGACCAGCCCTCTATGAGTCAAGTCAGTAAATTTCCTGTATCAACCCACGTCGCGGCAAAAGATATAGTTGGAGTTCCTTTCTGGGATGGGGGCAACGAGATTTGATCCAACATAGATTCGCTCGGCAGTACCAATAGTTGACAGCGGCATCAGTTGCACCGTGGCCGACCCAGTATAGAGCATGGTGGATCTTTTTGACATGTATAGGGAAAAGTTATAATTTACTGACCTGCGTTGGTGTCTGGCGTCAGGTGGGGCACCGATGTATTTGACGCTATCGAGTCTGGTCCCTGTGGTGAAGGAGCATCAGGCTGCCCATAAGAAGGATCGCTTGTGGGCGGCGCTTTCCAGCTTGTCTGAGATTCCGAATTGAAAGGGGACTGCTCTTCCAGGAAAGATGGTGTCCCACGATCGATGTCAAAGTTGGCACCAAAGAATGGGTCGTCGTTGCTCCAGTCACTTTCACCAAACTCGCTCGCCACGACGTACAAGCTGGTCGTAGAGTCAGCCGGGGTGAGCGAAGTGTTGCTGGGCGAGGCAGAATTGCTCCGCATATGAGAAGAATATGGCGACAGCAACTGTTGATGGTCTGTCGGAGCAATGTGGTTATTCTGCGTATAGCCGGTGTCGTTATAGTGGGGCCCGAGCTCACGGTCGTCCTTATGGTCGTGGAGCGACGCCGGGGAGACGGTGGCGTAAGGAGAGTATGCCGATGACATGATGAAAAATATAGATGTGGGTGGAAAGCGGCTGGTATATATTATATCGGCGGTCTTAGGATTATTCAGTTCCTTGGAAGGCTTGTTCCCCGCGCATGTTCTTGTGCGCAGACTGCGGTCGGGGGGGTTCAGAGCCTTGCGATCGGCTTCAAGGTGTGCGCCGCTTGACGCAACGCCGATGGAGATGATGCGCCGGTCGCTCTTGTTCTCAACACGGACACGGAGCGCGATGGCAAGGAAATCCTTTGAAGAGTCGCAGAGTGAAAACAGTGAACTTGATCAAGCGCAAAAACAAAAAAAGATGTTGGGAGGAGGAAGAGAGAGCTCAAACACGCCGCGGCTGAAGCTGGCCTTACGTCTGGCGAGCGCTTAGACAGAAGGTGCGCATGTGGAATGTGGGACCAAATTGGACTGGGGGGAGATCCGCAGCGGACAAGGTGGAAATACTCTCTCTATCTAGGTAGCTGGTATGGTAGGTAGGGTGGAGCGTAGGACCAGTGACTTGGAGCAAGGCACGTAATCCGCATAAAACGTTGTACCTTGGTCAATAGTAGTAGTGTCTTGTCGAAACTAGTCGCAGCAAGAGATAAATCAATCGCGCAACGTGCTGAGAAAGTGCAGAGAGGAGGGGGAGAAAGAGAGAGATGAAGACAGAGGGCTTCAATAGATTGACTGCCTTCTGTCCAGATTCAACTTGGGAAAAGACTGACAAGCTGGCAAGATCAATCAATCGACAGAATGGGCAGGGAGAGAGATGTACCACAGACGGACGGACGACGGGGTTGTTGGAGAGGAAGAGGCACAGAGCCCTGGAGGCTTAAACAAGGTGTTCTGATGGGCAGATTCTCTGGGCAGACTCAGACTCCCTGCGGCTCAAAGTAGTTGTCACTCGACAGCAGAGACGATTGGATGTCACCCCCATTATTCACACCACCCACCCACCGAAGGCGTTTCCCACGGGTAATGTAGGTAGGACAGGGGTTCCAGCTAGGCGTTCTTCTCAGCCCCGGGGGGCTGCCAAAGGTACAAGGGTCCCGCCGTCGCCTTTCCGCTCTCGAGCACTCCTCCTGCCCCCCTCTGCTGCTTCGAGGCCCAAAATCGATCGCGACTGATTGATTACATGATTGTAGTAGGTGGGTTGATTGGTTTGCCGGTCGGGTGACACAAGTGGCATAGACAGGCTTGAACATATGCACCCAGCATTTGCAGAGTGGCTGTACGCCGAACACCGGGAGTGAATCGGCAGGTAGAAGGTGAGGCTGTCACTTTTGAGTTTAAATACGAAATACCTGCAAAACACTGGCAGACAAGTATACATGGTATGAATGCATTGACATGGCAAAGCACATGTGGAGTGGATATAGAGAGAGGAGACAGAGGTATTGTTTACTAGTCTGGATGAACAATGCTGCTCGGTTGTTTGAGTCCGTCCTATTCGAGTCTTCTTTGGTGCACTCCAATTCCATCGGCCTATATGTTCTAAGCTGCCGTGTCAAAGTCAAATACTAAGTGGTTCGCGAACCACATCATACAATTTCCGCGCCGCCTCAAATAGCGCTGCGTATAACTCAGCTCTTTCGATTTGACAAACCTTCTAGCTGCTTAGGCCATAACGCATTTGTGCGGGATCATCTAGAATGTAGCAAAGGGCGAGACATTTTCTCGAAAAATTCCACAGCCTCCTTTTATCTGTTCCCGACTTACTCAAACTGAATGTGATTTTTTGTTCTGGTTGCGCTACTACTAGAAACCCATTTCGGGGCTCAGCCACACTAAGGTAGATGGCGCCCGCCCACCATGGGAATCTGACAGCACAAGGGTGACAAAAGATGCGATCGATACGGTAATGTACTCGCACCTACGCAGTACGTGGAATATATTAGTGATGACTTCTGTAAACCTGCATTGCGTGCAGTCATCCTGGACTCAAGGATGAAAGAGCTGGCACACGATCGCTTCTGTTGCATTCCACCAACAAGTGATGGATATGTGAAGATGCGATGCAGAATGGCGTAACGATCTCTCGGTTAGATGAAGCGTGCCAAGTGTACTACTATTGGAAATGTCGAGGTTTGGGGGCCAATAAGTGATTGCCAAACTCCGTCGCGTCCCACAAAGAAGACATGCAAATGCCTGCCGCCGAGAAGGGAGGATGTGTACCATGTAGTAAATAGGTAGTGTAGGCACCGAATCCTCGCTCGTCGGATCGACTTTGCAGGGGACGAAGGCGGCATCTTTTTTAGCATAGCGAAAAGTGAGCAATACCCGCGCGCTGTGATGTCACCCCGCTGCTCGGCGGGCGATCTTGTTGTTGCATGTATGTATGTAGGTACTTCTGTCATTCTGCCTTCCAGTATTCAGTGTTCTCGTATCATACATTACTCCTGTCTGTTGATCGAGACTTTCAACTACATGAGACAAGAACCAGGAGGATCAGATCTGAAACACAATTTCAAGCAAAAGTGAATATAAAGTCAATACCAGGACTCATCGACGCAGAAACAAGCCAAAAGTTCCGTCCGCAACAGAATATGAAGCAAGCGAAACTTCAACGGTGTCGGTAAGAATCGGGATTTGCCGTGCATGGCAACATGGAGATTTTCCTTTAAGGTTGTTCCCTTTTTGTTCAGCGCGCCGTCTAGTGCCTTTTAGCTAGCACTGGCAGTGCAATAGCCCACCAACCGCTAAAATGGCATCTCCACCTGATGGTGCTGCAAGTGCTTCGCAACGTCACCTGCATGTCGACAAACATCCAACATTCACAATTCGCCCTACCGCCGTCGCGAGTTGGGGGACTCAAGGAGCCGAAGGAGGCTCAGGAACCCGCTAGGAAAAAGAAGCTTGGGAGTGATCTATCCTTTCAAACATGTTCCATGTGTGTACCTGTGCGCGTGCTTGCTGGCGAACTGCACCTTGCTGATGATATTTCAACAGGCACATCCCGAAGAGTGAGTTCAGCCCGGCGGCTACTCTATCTATGCACCCGGGAACGACATTGATGGCGATTTTTCTATTGCAGCAACGCTTGCTAACGTGTTCAATTCAGTCATCTGCATCTTCGGATGCACCGAGCAAGATCCATAGTGCTCACTTCTGACGAGTAAGTATGAGCATCAAATCTCGTTACAACAGTGTGAACATTGCGCCCTACCTATCCGGGCAATATCGCGACTGCGCCCATGTCGCTGCCGCCCGGTCATTATGTAGACATAAACTGACGCGCTGGTTTTGCCCTGCATGCAGACTCGTGGAGATCCGGGCCGCCCAACGCACGTTTGAAGGCGCGTACATGCGCACGGCGCTGTCCCAGTTCAGCTTTGCCCTCATCATCCTCAAAATCTTCACGTCCGAGTTCTACGCCATTGGCGCGCTCTTTTCGCTGTACGGTGCGGGCATCATGCTCGTGGCCATATACCGCCGCTATCAGGGCAACCAGCAGTTCTTCACCATGACCGACGACGTCACCGGTCAGGTCCAGAAAAAGTTCCGCACCAGCGGCAACAGCGTCCTCATGCTGACCGCCATTAGCCTCTGCGCATACGTGGCTCTGCTGGTGCTCACATGGCGGTTGGAGGCATAGCAAGGGAAATCGATCCAAGGTTGCCAAAGTTCCCTGATACCGAGCAGAAGAATGCAATGTCTATCTTCTAGGCTACCTAGCATTAGTGATATCTTAGGCACAAGGCTTTAGTAAGTGGGAAATAATAACAGCACGAGGCAAGAATGACAAGTTTGCCGCGAAGGCCGTTGCCATTCAGCTGCCGGTGGCAGACTCCTCTTTGATGTAGATATCCTGTGATGGGGGTGGATATTGTATCATTGGCAGGGTGTCTGTTCAAGCTCGCAACGATGAGTTGACAAGATGAACCAAGCGTACAGCTTCTTCCGGGGCGGGCATCCATCAAGCACTCATTGCCATGGAATACGCACTTTGGTTTCATCGGATCGAAATCACCCTCGCTGGGCTCCATGTCCATAGAGGTCATACTGCTAAACACGGAGGAAACCAACACGGATGCTAGTAAAAACGCAATACATATATAACAAAATGATTCTATGGTAACAAGAATTTGAGAACCTACACGTCCTTCTATGTGCAGCTCCAAACGAATTATAGTATTTGCTCTATTTTGAGCACCCAGAACCCGCAGGTCCTAGTATTATTAAGAGTGTCCAACGTTTCGGATTTTTTTGTTTCTCGTGAAATGCTGCGTGAAGATGAAAGAAAAAAACACCACTGGATGCTGAAAATCAAAGTTGATGAGCGGGAAAAGGAGGGGGGAAAATCGAGAAACCAAAAATCTTTTGTGAACCACCGAGCACCAAATGCAAAAACCAAAATCCGCCCTCTCCGTTGAATGTGTGAACGGTTTCCCACCAAACTCCGCCCATCGCCGCCGGCATCTTTGCGCAAGCGTTCTTGATCGTACACATGCTGTTTTCAAACTTTTCCTGCCAAGGCTGGGAAAGATTAGGGTCTTTTGAGTTAAAAAAAATGACTTGCTCCCCGGAAGCGTCTTCCCCGGCAGGCCGCGTTGTTGAGGAGGGTAAGCTTGAACTCTCAAATAAGTCGTCCCAAAGTTCGTTTCCCGGACCTTTCCCACCACCGAGTCCGAACAAATTGTGCGGAAGTCTCTTCTCAACGCGCGAACCTCTTTAATTTTCCATTGCTCTTTCTCACGATCTTTTTCTTCCACGCGGCAAAGTCATCTTTCTCTGTGTGTGTGGTTGTGTTCTCATGGGGTTATGGAGAAAGAGACAATGGGGAAAAGAAAAGAAAGACGCAAGCAATTATTTTCCATCTTTTTCTCCCCGGTCCGCAGCTTTGCCCATGGGCGTCTCTCTGCGTCGGAGATCGTGTTTCGTGTTATGATGATGCAGTGCAAATCCTCCACCGGGGGGTTGAGGCCCGAACGCCCGCACACAAAAAGAGCCCTCCAGAAAAAAAGTCTTGCCCTTGCCTCTCGAATTCATTACAGTGCGGTGTCTTTCTTTCTTTCCGAGCTCTCCCCGGTGAAAAGGAAAAGGAGAAGGAGAATAATACGAAAGAAAAAAGCAAAAGAGTTACACGGGAGAAAGACAGAGAACACAAATCAACAGCTAAAAAGATATCATTTCTTGGGGTATTTCGAGTGGGATCATTGACGCGTTGCGACATGAATCAGAACGCACACTGAAACTTTTGGTCCTCTACTAGAGCTCCGGAGAGAAAGCTCTTAGGTGTGGAAGAGGTCAAAGATGGTAGAGGCGTTCTGGAATAGGCGACGGAAGACAGGCAAGGGAAAGAACCCAGCCATTTCATCTGCTGGCGTAGTAGACACTCTGCGGCGAGTGATCCGTATTGGAGGGGACCTGGGTGGGCGTCTGGCCCGAGGTGCTGTACCAGCCCTCGTAGCCGTCTCCCGTCTTGGAGTATGTGTACGGCTGCGCTTGCCAGGGCGCCCCGTAGCCTGCCTGGGTCGGCACGGCTCCGGCGGATAGGGATCCGCTGGGATCCAGTGCCGTCCCCGGGATGCTGCTCTCCACGTTGGGGATGGTCGTCGCGATACCGCCCGCTGCACCTGGCGGATACATGTCGGATGCCGCTGCGGCCATGGAAGACCGTCTGTCGTAGACGCTGTTGGGCGCCGAGCCGGCAGCGGCCACGTGTGAAGGCACTGGCGCATAATTTTGCGAGTTCTCGCCACCTCCGTAGGATAGGGACCGGCCCGGCGTGGGGTATGGCGACCAGGCAATCTCGTCGTGGCGGGATGTTGAGTCGTTGCTGACCGGGGTTCCCATTGCCCCTGTAGGCCACGGCGACGTTGTGTGCGGGTGAGTGGTGTACGACGAGAACCCCGGCGTGACCGGCGAGTCTTGCGTGTACGATCTCCACGACGCATTCATATCCGGGGTCTTTGCGGGGTTGGCTCCGGTATCCGTCGACACCCAACTGTTAGCATTGTGGCTGTACTGGAAGTTCCTAGTGGTCGGCGTGCTCGTGGACACTATGGATTCCCTCTTAGCATAACCGAATACTCTTAACCTTTCAAGAGAAAGTGATTCGAAAGGGGAGGAGGCAGTGCGCGAAGAACCTACACTTGGCGTCCCGGGAAAAGGATTCCGGCTTAATCGGCGGGCCCATGTGGGAAGAAACAGATGTGATTTGCGGATAGGGTTGATTTGGCGAGATGGCAGACTGATGGCCGGTCGTAGCCACAGGTGAAGTGGATGCTGAAGCTATCTTTGGTCCTGGTCCTGTCCTAACTCCTGGCCTCTGCGTGTTGCTGGGAGGGATGTCCTGGCCAACACTATGAAAAGTGCACTCCTTCTTCAATCTAATGCAGTTTTGGCACCGGCCTTGAGGGTCATTGACATAGGGTATGCACCTGATCTTCCTTCGGCGGCAATGGGCTACAAGTTTTCGCTCTTTAGTGGAACGTTCACAAGCACGGATCGGTCATCATCAACACGAAAGAAAAGGAGACAGAGAAGGGGTTGGATCGACGTACTACAGGCAACTGAGGTGCGGTGGTACCCAAGCTTGTTGCGTTTCTTTTCTCCAGCGGATCCAAATTGACCATGAGCGGACTCGTTCGTCCCCTGTGTCCTCACGTTAGGAGTCGTCTCGGGTCTTCTCAATTTGAGGGCTTTGTTCAAGTCTCGGCGCTGGGCGAGTGACATGGTAGAACCTTGGGCTGGGAGGACAGGCTGTGTGAGATGCACAGCCGGGACTTGCTGGTTTCTTACCTCCAAAGAGGAAGCGGCCGAGGTCTGGTAGTTGGACAAGTAACCAGAGTGCGGGAGATCCAAATCGCCGCCATTCTGAGGCGGCGGCGGGTATTGGTAGGACATCATGTCGGTCATCAACTGGAGTGATTCTCGAGGATGACTACTGTTATGTCTGTTCGCGTTGTCCGACGATTGATGTTGTTGGATGTGCGAGGACTGCCGGATAGCGATGGCCATGAAAAAAGTTGTTGTGCCCGATGGTCCCTAAAGGCCGTCGAGAGACAAGAGAAAGATATGTCTGTTCTATGGGATGGATCGCGCTGAGCCAGCAGGTGGCGACTTGCCCTGCAAAACCAAGATTAGACCCCTTCCTTTCAAAACAGGATGCCTCTACAGGATGTTCGAGGGCTGGAACACCGCGATCCAAAGGGATGGATTTTTTGTCCCTGGTTTTGAGAATTCCCCGATGGCCTCTTGCGGAAATGGGAAAACAAGAGTAGACGCCGGACGGATGCCAGTATTGTTGAGAGAGGAGGGCCAACGGCGGAGTGAGAGTGCCTGAGCGACCGACCAATGGAATCAGTCTTGCGGGTTTGCAGTGGTGGTTGAACCAAACTTTGGAACCGAGTGCAGCAAGTGTCCAGGCTCTTATTCGATGAGGCACTATGGCAAGGATTCTTGCTTGGAGAGCGGCACAACGCGCGCGCACGAGCAGCTGGACGTATGACACGACAAAGCGTAGAGGCTCTTTTCCACACTTGAAGGGACACGGAACCCGGAAGACGCCCAACTTGGAAGCAACAACGACTGTTGAGATCTGTTTTTGGAAGTTTGATGCAAAGGCGGCTCGGCAGCAAAGGGGGGACAGACAGTAATGGGTTTGTTGCTGCAGTCTTGTCCTGGGAATGTATCTTCTCTTCTTTCTTTTGGATGTTTGGAAACCAGGGAAAAGAAGCGGCGGTCTACCTTATGACAGCGGAAGGAGCAGCAGGTAAAGAACTAATAAGAGTCCGTCACCGTTTGCTTTCGTTCCTGTTGAGGTTGCTGCAGGTTGGGGTAGCCGGCAGCTGGCGATGATCCAGATCCCAGAACTCGATAACGAATAGGCGACTGGCCAGGCGACGACGGTTATAGGCTCAGCTCCACCTTGGAAGCTATGATCAAACTAAGAGAAGCCCAAGTAACCTTGTTGACATGCCGCTCGATGGCGGCGTAGTGATGCTAAGTCAAAAGAAGCGAAGAATAGTTCTTCTTCGTTATTGCTTTTTTTCTGGAGCCCGGGTAGCCCCGTAAGCTTCGCGGCAAAAAGGTGACGGCGTCAAACCAGGAACAGGGGCCACCGATGTTCTCCCCCCCAGGCAGATCATCTGCACGTTGTGCTTTGGTAGTTGGTTGTATATATGAGGTCTCGAGATACAAAGGTTCCTTTGGGGGGCCAGTTTGTGCTGCCAGGCTACTGGACTCGGGCCCGAGGACATTGATCAAATGGAGAGAGAGAAAGAGAGGAGAGAAAGGGTAGACAGACCAGACCAGACAGAGGACAACGATGACCAGAACCGCGACGAGTTTCGTCCTCCTCTACCTATTCCCAGGCGCCTGGATATAGGAGTGCTTGTGCTGAGATTATCTGTCTTGGAAGAACAAAGGACAATAGACTTTGGAGGATCTCACAGCGATACTAACCAAAGTTAGGTTTCCCTGGGCACAAACAACAACCTGCACTACTTGCAGGACAGATGAAGTATTTTTTTTTTTCTCTTTCCTTCCTTCCCAATCCTAGATGAGAATGAGAAAGTGGATTTGGTAATTTCCTATTATCCTTTTGCCTCAATCTCAAAGGCTGAAACCGCGTGTTCAGACATCAATGCTTTGTCAGAGGGACTAATGAAGTATGATGGTCTCTTTCGCGCAGCGCGAGCGCTTTACAGAAAGATTCCTAAATAATGAATCAAGGTAATAATTTCGAGATTTACCCGATTTCAGATGAGCCAAAGTGCTTGGCTGGGGGCGACCCTTCCCCGAATCGACCAGACAACAGCCCAGGGCGGCTCCCGGGAGTCCTGATTACAGCCAGCCATTATGACCATGGTCGTCGAGGTTAGGTGGGGACGAATCATGCGGATCGAGCATATCCGATCGACCCTGCTTCCATAGACTTGACGACTATGATGATGATGCTGGTAATGGCTGGGCTGCCTTGGTATATCCTGTCTACTAACTCGACCTAGGCATGTCCGTGTATGTGTAGTATGATGGGTGCGGACCTGCGCTACTGGGGGACTCTTCCGTCCCATCATGCTGGGGGGTTTGAGATCGATGCACCTCAGATCAACCCAGGCTACGGATCTGGTTGTGGCCATGTGCCATATTACAGGTGCTTTTGGGTAGCATTGCGACAATGTGACAGCTGAAGCCTTACGGTTGACGTGACGCAGGGAACCCCGAGAGAAGACATCTATAGCAGAGCGAGCAGCCAAGTAAGTACCTAGGTTCCTACCTAGGACAGAGATCAGAGCAGAGAGCAGGACCAGCATTGTCGCAGAGTCATGCTGCTGCATGACCGGCTATTTCTTTTATTTCTTTTTGCAAGACCGTCAAAAATTCTCCGTTCCTGCAACCTCTTTAGAGGCTTGATCCACGGCGGCGACCACCACCACCCACCCCTCCTCTTTCTCCTCCTCCCACAAAGTAAGTCAGAAAAAGCATAAAATACAAGACCACATCAAGAACCAGGGTTGTCCAGGGACCTGTCATGACTTTTGCTGATCCCGGCGGATGAGGATGAACGCATCCCAAAGCACCCACATATCGGATGAAAGGCCAACCCCTGTTACCGATTGGGGCCCCCCCCCCCTGCTCAGGCACGATGTCGAGGCCGAGGAAAACATAGTGAACTTATTTACACAAGCTCTAGAGACAAGGGGGAAAAAAAGATGGACCCATATCCAATGGCAACCTGGATACATTTGTTGATGATAAAATATATTGCCGGCGAAGAATGAAAAATAATGATAATAATTGTCTCGTATCACGCCAGAAATCTTCTGTGCACTCAGCCGCGGATGAACAGTAATACTGAAGTAAATGACTTTTTCTTTGCAGATCTTAATTGAGCAATGAGCAAAGGCATTTACCCGCACTCAGCACAGAGACATGATGCCTGAAGAGGCCTAGTGGCTGTTGAGTTCAATATGGGTTCTTGTATACTGGGTGGTATTGGGGTGAACCCCTTGACCTTAAACATGCTTGTCTGAGAGGCGTTGTGCTCCCGTCCTATACAACAGTTGTTGTGTGTGCTGACATAAGTACTGACGGTTATTCACAAAATAGCTCATCCTGGCATCCTACAAGGGGGCATGAGTGCCGGTTGCGTAGGAAACCGATGAACTGGGTGGCATAGGTTATCTACTTGGTTCATCCGAGTATGAAAACCCACACAACCATGTAATGCGACGTTGTGGTGGACGATGGGATGATGACATACATGCTTTGCCGGTAGGGCAGCAGCAGGGCAGCAGGACAGGGCAGGGCGGGAGGAGGTCACCTAAGGTTAGCTGCTTTGGTTCTGCTGTCCTGTTGCTAGGGGGAGGGAGTAGTGAGAAAGGCAAAGGGGGAAGAAAAAAAAAAGAATGTACAGATCCCCCTCTACTTTGCCTCGCAGCTTTCTTCTTCCGTATTGAGTTATGCTTTTGATCCTGCGACTGGGCAAAAGAAGCAATGACGAAGCTCTGGGGTGGCTTTGCTGACTAGAGGACTGTGTTACTATTGAACCCAACGGTCAGCTACTACGTAAGGGAGAGGGTGGGAATAATGCTATTGGGGGAAATCGAGTTAACAATGGGGAGGGAAAAAAAATCGAAATCAACAACAAAGATAAAATCCAAAGTGCGCCGCCATTGTTACAGAAATCTGTATGATCTGCATGTCTCTGCCTAAGATCGTAATGCTCTAGAAGCAATTTGCATCAAGAAAATGACAAGATAGGATGAACCCGATCTCTTAATGCAGGAGATAGCTTAACTATGAATCCTGGTCGTCGATCAAAAAGGATGTGCAGCAGGGGAGGCATGTCACTCACTACTGGACTTGGCCTCAATGTCAAGGTAGTTTAGTGCAGTCAGTGTATGTAGGGAGGGACCTGTGTGAGTAGATGAGCTGGGATGTAACTTGACGTCCCACTGGTACTTGGGGAAGAAGAGTGATGCATTCCCGAAAGAGCCGTCTTGGAGGGGAGGCGTGATGCTTCGTCAATCTATTTCCCCAGGGGAAGGAATTCTCTTACTTCAATGTTGATGAAATTACTCCGGCTTGGAGCCTCCGCCAATAACCTCGGTTCCTCCGATTGCTGCTCGCTCTGAGAGGGTCTCGTATCAAGTTCGATTCCCCAACTTGCGAGCAACAGCCAGCAGCCAAAGAAAGAAAGAAAAAAAAAGACAGCATGCCTTTACCCTGTCACAAAGCCTGTATCGTACCTTGGGTTCTGGCCATCCATGGGACGATTTTCGAGACCAGGCCGAATCATGCTGGGCGCCACTTGCTTGCTTCTTCGGCTGCTGCTCATTAGGCATGTAGCACAAAGGTGCCCATATTTGGGGTTGCGGCGTTATTTTTTTGGGGGGGTGGTCGAGTGGGTGGGTTACGCAGCGCGTCAACTTCTTTCCATACAAGACGTCAGAAAGGACTATTCAATAGTGAAGAAAATTAAAAATCCCCCCCAGCCTAGTTCGGAATTATTCAGTCAGCCAGCCCAGTCAAAAGAGATAATTGCAGTCTTTTGGCACAGACGGGGGGTTCGTAGAGAGGCTTATTGGTATGTTGGTGAATTGACAAGTCACCTACATGACATACCTACATACATACATACCTACATACATGCGGACAGTACAGAATAGTAGTATACTTGATTCGATTTCTTGCAGCTAGACACCTACCTACCTACTAAAGATCCCTGCTCGTCCCAGTTTCAGTGCAAGTGCTGCAAGCATACAGACCTACATGCCAGCCCCACCGCCTTCGTGGAGCCAAATAGTCCCATACATTCGCGGTGTAGGACCGACAAGTTCTCTACAAGTCATATGCTTCAACCAAAAACTTAGATGCCGACTAATCATGATGATGATAATAATACAATTGCCTTGGTTCTTTCTACTTGACCTGTACATGTAACCTGCCTAGCAATTGGGCCACCATTATTCTTTGGGGCGAACATGGACAGGAATAGGTGTGAAAGAAGCCTGCTGCTCTCTCGCCATGCAGGCAACGGCTCGGAACCGAGCTCTGGTACTACTTCTACTACTGCTACTACACTTTTACCAACTTATAGTTCATCGCCAACGTATATCGCATAATCGTTCATCCCTTGCTGCCACAATTGAGATCCCTGATGGGACGGACGGCTTCGGCTCTTCGGACGTTGGCTGCTACTTCTAACAGTCATGATCTTGCGGCAGATCAGCGCAAGGATCCATGCTCATGCGAGGCATCTGCCAAGAGACTTGTCTGCTGTCTCGTTACGTACGGAAGGCTGGGGAAGAAAGGAAAAAAAAAGAGAGAGGGAGGGAAAGAGAGAGATGATCTTAATTGTGTCTTAGCATATCCATAAAAAGTTCTACTCGAAAGAAAATTATTCGTGGACCTTCTCGTGCTCACCTCGCAAGTTTGATCGTCGATTAGCCAGGAATTCCTTTCTCTCCCGAAGCATACCCACCACCCCTTGCCTCACCAAAATTACATACACTAAATCCCATGGGGAAAAAAAAAAGATTCGAAAAGATGACGCCGATTTGGGAAGCATGATTTTCGGTGAGCGGATCGCTGCTGGGGGAGGATCTGACCTTGCAAAGGGGGAAGGGGAAGCAACGCTCCGGTATGGGGGACAAATCTCATTTCCATTGCCCTCTAATTTTTAACCTCTGGTGCAAGATCAATGCTATTCCCTTTCGTAAACGCTACCAATTGACAGGTCCTACTGCCTCGCATTAGCGCTTGAGCTTACCATGGTGAAAAGAAAAAGAAAAGAAAGATCATTGGAGGGACTTCGACGTGTACGTATCACTCAGCTGAGAGGGAGACAGAGACATAGACAAAAGAGAGAGACAGAGAGAGAAAGGGTCTGGGCTTCAATAAAGTTTCCTTTCAAGCAAGTCAGATTATGGAACCAAAGTACCCTTAAGGACTCAGTGGCCACGAGGGAGTAGAGAGAGAAAAGGGAGAAAGCGAGAGAAACATATGTAACGTGCAATTCAACGTCAACGGTCATGCTACGCCATCTTAGACCTTCCGCGTGCCGTTCTCCGAGACATTTACTAAACTACTTTTATATTTCATAGGAGAGATCTAGCCAATATCACTTCGAGCGAAATCAAGATACGTTGTACATGGCGCCATGTTCGTTCACAAGGTCGATTTTTCACAACGACTATTGGAGAGGAACACCCGAGATAGCAACGCCATTCATAACAAGAACATTCGATTTTTTAGAGGCATCACTTTGATCACCCTGTTTTCTTGAAAGATAAATAAATAAATAAATCAATAGTCATATATCACCGTTTTCAAAATTGGGAAGCACTGCATGTAAGCCCAAATCCTATCGTGTACTAGTAGATTCTTGTGTGTCCGCAGTGGGAGCATCACCTGGACTCATGGCAAGAATGAGAGAATTTCCATAACCGCACATTACTCCCCCCTTCGGAAGGAAAATTCCACAAGTATTTGGAATTATCGCGCAACCGTCTGGGTTGTGGACACGAGAATTGAGGGGCAACACGGGCCGTTCCAATATACACTTGTTTGTGCCTGTCATTACGCTCATTCCTATGTGTGCCCGACTTCTTTTTCTTTCTCTAATATCAGCAATATCCACTGCAACCTCTTAGTGTTTGCGTCTTTTTAAAGATGTTTATTTTGTCTCTCTCAAAGGGAAATAGACGCGTTCACGTTCACGCGTCTGTCCCTGACAATTCCCGGGATGAGGATCGCCTATTATATCCTCGGCGGCGGCACGGGTAAAGAAAACAAAAAGGGTGCCTCTCAGCCCCTCTACAGAGATCAGATTTATATGGAGATAACATGGTTCAATAACTAAATCTTGATGAATCATAAGCTTTTTTTCCCCCTCGTTGACATGACGGAGAGAGATGGATTTCCTTGTCAAGAAGGTTTCCCGCTATAAAACGGGTGTGTCTGTCTAGTTAGAAAGCTTGCATGTGCCGCTGGAGCAGAGTATGTCTTTGATTTGTTTATAAGCTTACTCTGACAAATGTTGGGGGAGGGTTTTTAAAGGGGTGGTGGCCGCACAAATTCTTTTTTAGAAACCTGGTGTCAAAGGGACGGGATGGGCGGGCGCGCCGCTGACTATAACCGTTTTAAGACATACACATACACACACAAACCAGAGTGCCAGATTGGCAACTTTCCTGACCACCGGGTTTCCCTACTGAACACTATCTGGCTCCTTCATTCAAACTTTCTCCCAGCTCCTCATCCTCGTCCTCACCTATTTTGACTTTTCGTGCCGCACAAGAAAAAAGAGGGTTCTGTCTAATGACTAATCGCGGGCTCGAACAGCGAGCACTCACTTGTCAAACCTGCCAAAAACAATCAACACGTTGAAGAACCCCTAATTGACACGCGCCTCTCCCGGAGTTTTAGAGGCTCTGGGGGATAATGGGGAACACGTGTGAGTTGTGGCGTTCAATCACTGCATGGTATAATAGAGTAATCTCAGCTGCGAGTACATAGGGGGATTCATCGGAAACTCTATAGCGTGAGCAAAATCTCTGCAAATTTGACCAACACGGTTATTGGCTCGCTCACCTTTTTTTTGAATTTTCCAAGTCAAGTTGAGCGTTTCGTCGCCCGGGGCAGCCAGCCAGGCCAGCACTTAGGATTCCGGCTTCCCAGCCACCTCTTCCGGCCGGAATTGCCATGATCGACTCCGGACACTAGGCGAGATGATCGCGTGTTTTTCTTTGGAGGGAGATTTTCTGTAGCGGACCTCGCGGCATGGGAAAGAACAACAGAGTCATTGCCTAGCCATTTGAGCCGTCCGCGTCGGCAAATCTCCCCGGAGAACAGGATACATCAACAACGAACGGGAGAGAGACCGAGTCAGAATCGAAAAAAAAAAGAAAAGAGAAAAGGAAGAACAGCCAGCTCTCGATCAAAGCCACTTTCATTTTACTTGTATCAGAAGATAATTGCTACTTTTCTGTTCCCTGTTGCTGATACTCTTTTATTACAGCTTCCGTATCGTATCATTTGGTATTCACCTCCCCGAGAGAAGGTGTACCTCACTTCTCCCGCTTTCCGAAACGCAATCTCAAGTTTCGCGATACGACCTCCTAATCAGCTACCATCGAGGCTCAACCGGACTGTGATGACAACAGTGAACCTTCCAGCGAAAGGAATAGAAAAAAGAAAAAAGATGATGAATGCGCCTTCAGTCTTGCTCGGGCCGTCCCCAAGTGACGCCTTGAAAACGTCATCTTGTTCATTGAAGAGAGAGAGATACAGTGAGAGAAAGGGGGGAAAGCACAAGAAACAATTATATACAGTAGAAAGGGTTGGTTGCCTAAGAGACTGGAAGAGGTGTGGTCCAGAACAAGGGACGAGGCCGAGGTAGTTCGCGGACGTCGGGAAAGCTCTTGTGGTGCATGGTTGAGTACCCAGCGTTGCCAGTCAGGTCCTTGTCTACTGCGGCACCCTCAGCAGCAGCAGCAACAACAGCGTGGACCGATGAGCACATGGCAGAGCATACGGTACTCCGGGGCGAATCTGCCCAAAGTCCGTTCTCGCTCTCCTGTTCGACAAATGTCTTTTGCATGAAGTCCAGAAACGTGTCTACATCTTGTCTCGTGCTCATGGCTCCAAGGCTGACTCGAACAATGCTGCGAAAAAAAAAAGTTGTTAGTAGTAGTCTACTTTCTTATGCTGAGACGAACTTGTATTTTACTAGACGCACCCAGTCGGTAACCTGTTGATTATGTCAATGCCTTGCGAGCCGCAGTGGTGCCCGGCAGATAGAGCCCGCTCCGTCATCCAAGGCTCGTAGCCCAGGGCGGCGAAGATGCCCCCGGGATTGCACACTCCTAAACCTAGGTCAGCATCAAGAAGCAGCAATGTAGTGGGAATTCCATGAGTTTCAAGCGTACCCCCAGACCTGATATAAATACCAGCATTGTTGGCTCGAGCCTCGACGTCGCTGTAGGGTATATACTCCTCGTCGGCGTCGACCACGTTGAAGGCAATGACGGAGCCTTGCCTGCTAGGATCCCCAAAGGCGCTGACATCGTCGCTGTAGATCCGACATACCGGGACGCCGTTCCAATGCTGCAGACGCGATAATGCATCAAAGAGATAATGTGCGAGACATGTCGTGTGGAGAGAAATCTTGGCCATGGAGTGAAAGAGCCTCTCGTGGACGTCTATGGCCTCGCCGAGCGCCAGGATGCTGTGGAAAGGCAAGGTGCCGTCTTCCAGTCCTTCGTGCAGCTTATACGCCGAGGCATCGAGGCCTTTGGATTTATGCCAGCTCTGTCCCAGCATCGTGCTGACCATTGCAATGGTGCCTATTTATAATTTTCAAGTCAGTTACTGGAACGCAATACGAGGTTTGGTCATTTTCAGCACTTGCCTCCACCAAAGTATTTCCTCAGGGCTAGAATATGACCTGATCCTCTTCGTATGACAAGTGCGCCAATATCTGGAAATCCGAATATTTTGTAGAGGGAGAGACAAGTGAAATCTGGCGCGTTGTCTGGGTCTCGGAATACGTATTCCATCGGGCTCGTCATGGCCAAGGCTGCGGCATCAAACAATGTGTCTACAGAAGACTGAGTCAGTACTAAGAACTTTTGATCAAACATAGATTTGTGATGTCAACCTACATGTATTTTTCAAATGTCTCGCGCGCCGAATACTACCGGCCCATGACACTGGCAGTCTCTTTCCAGACATGTTGGACTGCCCAGGATAGGCAAAGAGCCCCAGGCGCCGATCAGCTTCACGACGGACCGCAAACCTGGACGATGATGGCGGAGGCGACCGCAGCCACTCCTCTACTTCTCCGTCGCTTTCAAAGAAATGGTGTCGGCCGTGCGTGTACTCCCTCACACCGACCAGACTGGTGTGCGAGTCCTTGTGATATCCATACCAGAAGCGGCCATCGCGCGACTTCTCGGCCAGGTCCCGGAATGACTCGGCGACGAGCTTGATGGCCGCCGTTGCATTGGCCACGAAGACGAGGTCAAAGTGCTTGGGGTCCGCACCGAGAAACCGCAGCGTCTTGGCACGGACCTCGTCAACGACGGTGCCAGAGCACTGTGCAGGAAGGTTTTCCGAGTGCGGGTTCTATCATGGACAGCCAGAAGCCATGTTAGCCGTAGTTCTGAGTTGCTAGATACTTGGGAAAGTGTTCAAAGATTGTATCCAGTACTGGTTCGCGGTAATGATGAAAACACTTGGAAAGTCACTTACACCATAGAGATTCGATATCATCTTCTGGGTAAACTGTTCAACGGTAGACTTTGCATATATTGTAGCACCGCTATCTGAGCCATCGAATTAGTAACATGTCATAGCTGTGACTCTCTTTGTGTCCTGCAACATATCGAGAGATATGGAGAGATATGGCGGTCCTGATCAGTGCCTTGAATTTCAAGAATGTCTTACGGTCAAGATAGATCCCTATAATAAATATTTAGTGAGTACTCCATCTTGCTAGACAAATTCCATCACGAACCGTTATTCATATGAGGATACTCTGTTTGGCGCAGAGCCTCAACCTCGGGATTATATCCGTCTTCCATCACGCCAAGTCCAATGACAACTTGAGTTGTGATGGAAGAAGAAAAAGTCGATGATGTAAGAAAACTTGACGGTCCAGTGTTATAGTCGTTTCTTTCGAGTGGCCTGTAAGAGAATGCAAGCGCTAAAATCTCATACCCCTTGACGATTATTCGTAGGAGAAGACTCTTTGTGGCAGTATAAACAAGGCAGGTGTCGTAAGGACTTGGACGCTAGCTTCGGAAACTGAGGTGATCCGGGATCTTGGCCTTGTTTCTCCTACTGCTGACAAGTTTGCGAAGAGAGCCCTTTATTTAGATCTTGGATCCCACGAGCTCGTGATGGATGCCTGGTTCGTCGCCCGGCTGAGAAAAAGTGACATGTCCACTACACCCCATCTTCGGGCGGACCGCAATTCGCCTCTGTAGAAAGCCTCCGATTCGATGATCACCAGTGTGACCATATCAGCTATTGGTTCTCTGCTCTTCCGGTGAGCGGAGCCTTGCTACATGTTGGTTTGTGTATGATTGAAAAGAACTACCGAACCCCTGTCTGTTGCTATCCCTTGCGTTCTCATTAGATAGTAAGATTCTCGGGCCGCGGGAACGGTCCACCGGCATATCGACCCAGTCTGTTGGCGACATCCTGAACGATAGTTTGAGGGCGCTGTCAAGGATTATAGGTGCAAACATGATCCATCTGAGGCTGGGCCTTGGAAGGCCATGAGCCAAAATACAGACATTACATTGTACATTGTCCCCATCATGAACCAAGCAATCTGCCTAGTGAGGGATTCGCATGCATCTTGAAAATCAAGTACCATGGAGTGGACGTGACCGCGGTGTGTTCGTCTTGAGCCTTGCGGCCATCAAGTGCTGCGCCTAATGTGATCACAACTTGCAACGGAACATGCCAGGAAACCTTGGGACAACGGCAAGATGTCACTTGCGCTTGGCATACTTCACCGGCTTCCAATGTAGTTAGGTCAAGGTACAAGCGTAACCGACGTTATGAAAGATGTGTGAAAGCAAGTGGCAATGGGTCAATGGGCGAGATGAGGCATGTGACGAAGCTCTCGTTGAGATAGTTCGCAAGCCTTACAAGGATTGGCAAGTGCAGATCTTCTCATACCCTGTCGATGCAACTCTACATGCATTTGACAGGTTGACAAGTGGGTCGGCTATACCTTCTTATCGTATATGAATACCATAGATGTTGCGTCAAAAGACACTGAACAACGAGTGACATGTTGGAGTGATATTACAGTCGATGCAAAGGATGTCGTGGAAAACAGCAACTATAACCTCGCTCAACCAAAATAGTGAGTGCCGCCATCCGTTGCTGCACCTGGTATACGTCAGTAGACCTGTCAACTCACTGCCTAGCCTACCTTGGTACCGAGTGCATTTGCTGACTGGATACACGATTCTAATTTGACGCCTCTTTCTCAACGTTTTGTCTTGGGCAACTTTATTCCCGCAGAGCGACTATACTTCTTGTGGCTGTCAGATCATGGCAAACTAGAAGGATCATGGGCCTGGCGCCACGTTTGTTGATAGTATACTCGCGAAATGTAGCCTCGTTGCATGACAAATGGTACGGGTCAATAGCTCAAGTGCTGAGTATAGATGAGACATCCACATCCAGCGTAGGTCTGACCACGACCGCCCGATGACACTAGAGAACCCTGGCGACTGGCAGAGGTGGTCAGCAAAGAACGCCATGCTTGGCATCGAATAGTAGAGAGTGTGCCTGTGCCGATCTGAAAGTGGTGCACCTACGAGTTTGCAGGAACCAGATCACAAGAAGTAAACGCGGGCTTTGCGACATCCGGCATGAGTAGAGTCTGTCTGCCATGTGCACAAATTCACTGCCCAAAGGGCCTCGACATGAATGTTACCTATTGTCGAAGCGCGCATATTCTTGGTCGTTGCCCGGTGATTGGCCACGGAAGCGTGCAAATGGCGAGCCTCGATGACTAGGTCCAGGTGCGTACTCTGTAATCGACAAGGCGTCCCTCTCTATTGTCTGTGACGCACAAAAACCTCCAACTGCAATGGAGGCGGACCCGATTCGCGGAGTTCGGAAACTCAGGTGAAGCACCCTGCACATAGGACCTCGGGACCGTGATATCGGTTGTCTAGTTGATGCGACGCTGTTCCCATTGGCCTGGTATAGGACCAATGGTCTACACTAACGACCTTATATGTGCCTGACGGATCCATTAATTGCCCCCCCAGAACGGTATCGGGTGGCTTGACGGCCTGCAGCTTGACAGCGGGCGTCGATCATTCCTTTCCCCATGCCACCCTTTTCCTGGCTGCACGCTTTTGGCCCTCGACGAGTCAGGTGCTAGCTGTGTTGTCCAAAACCGAACAGCGCGTCGCTCATCATTACGGATTGCGGAAATCCTCTGAACGCTGCATACCCACCCAAACCGCACAGCATGAGTAACCCTCTGCAGCAAGCGACAGGCGGCATTGGGCCGTAACATGCATTGCTACAGTTCCGGCCTATCAGGGGGCTTGTTCGCCAGTGACTCGATGGTCTGGCCACAGGTGGCAGTTGCAGACTCTTGAACCCTTTCCGGACTCACGGCTCCAGGAGTGCAGCCCTAACGAGCTGAGCGCAGCAAACATACGATTTAAACTGCAGTTGATGCTCAGTGATCGCTGCAGACATCGTGCATTGCACTGGTCTATCCAGATCCAAGCGCCATACCCGAAGCGGAGACAATAATATGTGGAGAGAGTGAGGGAAGAGCAGGGTGCGCGGCAAGGCCAGACGAGACCGATGCCGATGAGCGACAGCGGGAACTGCAGCAAATGCTCTTTCCCGGCATGGTTGGGCATTTGCTATCCCGGAGCAGAACAAGAGGCCTTCCGGTAATACATTCGGCTTACTGCGTCATAGGCTTGTCCAGCTTTTCCCGGCTGAAGCTCGGTGTCAGGAAGTCCGAACGTAGACGAACAAAATACGAGAATTACGAGAAAGAGCGTGCAAAGTGTAGCGAAAACGATGGAATTCCTGCGTTCATTAGGTAGGTGATGTTATTGGGAGTCGGTTCGACGTCCGAGAAATGCCAGAGACCACAGCCTGAGCTACTTACGGTTGACAGCGGCCCAAGATGGTGTGACCGGGAAAGTTGAAGCACCTCAGGTCTGAGTCCTGACTAGGTTCCTAACCTTAGATAGTTTTGGCTCAGCGCTTATCTACATTCAAAAACACCCCGCCACCAGCTTGAGCTTAAAGCAAAGTCTATCTGTAGTCTATTTCGACGAGCGTCGTTGATTTTCAGCATCTGTCTGAAATGCGGGCGAAGACAAGGAGTTACCCTGTGATCACTTGCGTACTTGACCTACTTCTCTCGGCACAAATCATGCTGCAACTTGGGAACACATCCAACAAGGAGCGGGCAGGCTTGATATCCATCAAGTATGCAAGGCGGGAAACAAGCATTGTTGGGCCAATCAAAAGGTATCATCAATTGTGTATCAACGAATTGGTACTATGAACTGGAAGTCGAATCTCGTCAAGCGAGTGTCCATAACACATTACTTGCCTATCCTACAAGTGGCAATTTCACCAATGTTCATGTCTCTAGGGATCGTGCCCTGAACTCAATTTCGTGGGTCTTCCATGCCGCCCACTTCTTGTCTACCGAAACGCCTGAAATGCAATCATCAACTTCCGCCTCAACCCGTCCTCGTGACATTCGGTCGAGCTATTAGTTTTGATCATCCACTCGGTACTCAGAAAAGAGTAAACAAAACTGCAATGGCGACCATGGCGGCACTAGCAAGGCCAGAGTCGATAATAGCAGCTCCACTGATGATCGGGGTCGTGGTCGGGGAAGCTGAGCCCGAGGTGCCTGCAGCGGTTGAAGCGGTTGTAGGCAGAACGCCTCCAGTGCCAGTAGCAGAATAGGTCGGAGCGATCGAAGTGGTCATGTTAGTTGTGCCGTTTCCGTAACCCGACACAGCGAAATTGGCGCAAGTAATACGAGTCTTGTTGGCGAAGTGGACAACAAAGCTTCGATCCTGGATGGAGGCGTTGGAACCAATGTTCAACGAGCCAAACTCATCGTGAAAGGTGGCTTCGAAGGGATCTGAGGTGATCTTTCCATACTTGCCGCTCAGATCGCCGACCTGGCAGGTCTGAGGGAACTCGGCATTGCAGACGGGATCCTCGCCGCGAACGAAGGGATCCAGGTGAGCCAAGGTGGCAGTACAGTTTCCGTTGGATGGGACAGCCGATTGGTGAATGTGGTAGGCTGCGTCATGGTCAGAATACTTTGCTAATTGTGCTTTCCTTCCGTTGGTATGCGTGACTTACGGAACGGGCCGCCCTCCTTGGGCAGGTTAGAGAAGGATACGACATAGTCAACTCCGACACCGTTCGCGCCCGTCTTCACGGTGATGGAACCTTGGACATTGCCGTCCAGGGAACCGGCAGTGAAGAAGGCATCCTTGGGAAGGGTACCGACGAAGGACTGGCCAACCGGATTGTTGGTCACGACAGTGGCATTACCCAGAGCCTATCAAATATTAGATGAGCACACTGTCAGGCTAATGGATGCGCTGGAGGTAACTTACACCAGTGGTGAGATTCTGGGCAAGGGTGACGCCAACCCAAAAGGCCAGGAGGGCAGTGATGAAGGTGCGCATTTTTGCTGGACACTTCGGTCTGAAGGTGATGATTGTGTGTCAAGCAAACAGTCTACCAGGTTGCTGAATCGTGTAGAGATGCGCTCGAGGTGGATGGAGATGTAGGAATATGCAGCTGCGCTTTTCCTTAGGTCTGGGAGGTGATGAGGCTGTGAAGGGACAATTTGCAAAATAAATAGAAGTTCAGCCACAAGAGTCGAGGGTCAGATTAAAAGGTTTTGCGTTTGGCAAACGGACCCAGCAGCTGATTACAACAGACCAGTCAGTCACAAAGATTATTGGCAGGCGCAAGGCAGAAGCCGACGAGATGTGATAGAAGGAGTGAAGTCGTCGACTAGTTCGGCCGGGCGACCCAAGGCTCTTATGTAGGTACAGCCTCATTGATACTCGCACAAACCTTCACCAGCCTAGTTCATGTCTAGCCGGGTCTCGGCAGGGCAACCAACGTGGACACAGCAGATGATGAAAAAGGAAAACCCCCGGCCCCATGGAGGTATCGTTTTGTTCCGTACCGTCATACATCCACAAGGGCAAGAAAGAGGCTTGGGGTAAATTGGATCGGAGCTGGACATGCAGTAGCACTAGCAACCAAACTTCAAGGAGTTATTATGCATCATCCACATCATAGACAACGGCAGAGCAAGGGATGGAAAACCCCCCGGATTCCATGCGGGACAAAGGACAGCCAACCAATCTAGTTGGACTGGTGAGCACAAAGGCAATCTATGTGTTGTTGGTTGAGGGGCGGACAGCCAAGAAGGCCAAGCTTTCCTCACATGCCTTTACCCGAGCAGATTGGGATATGCCAACATTTCCAAGCCAGTCAAACTTACCTTGGTTAGGTAGGTGGGCTTGGTAGGTACTTGCCATATGATAGGCACTTGGCGCCCTCAGTTTCAAGAGATTGAAGGTGAGAAGATGGGGACCATCAGCAAAAGGAGATGTTTGCCGTTTGTTTGGGAATTGGATCTAGCGGCAGATCTGCAGAAACAACGACAGAACCAGGGCTGACAGAAAGTCTTAGCGCTCTGCTAGACCTGCTCAGGCCTGACTGAGACTGGCAAGCTGGTAGGCTGTCAGATGTCCAGACATTTCTGCATAAGAAAAAAAATGATACGACGTGAGGGCGAGGAAGCACATCCAATCCGAGCCTGTCTGTCTAAAAAAGGAACCGCCGTCAGCCGTGGCAGTGCACAAGGGTTGAACATTATACGGGCTGCAAAGTAATGTAAGTACTGTAGTATACCTACGACCTAGGTAGGTTAGGTTACCTTGGGGGCGTGTCTCCGGCAGTTTGTCTTCCATTTGGGTCATCTGGACTGTGATTTGTCTTTGGGCTACCCGAGACGCAGAGCAGAACTCTTCTCTGCCCAAAGACAGAAATGACGATCGCCAGATGTACGGAATAGGGAGCACCGAAGGCATCAAAAGTGACAGAAGACTGTTTTTTGATCCCTTAATAATTTCCCCCCCAAAATTGCAAGGGCAGGCAGTGTGAGTGTGCTGCGCTACAAACATCTGGGGGTTCCTTGCAGCGATCGCTAAACTTAGACCCTGAAGCCACCGGCGCTTATTGGGCCTCTGGTTGCTGGCCACTTGGGGGCCTCTGGGGGCTGAGAACCTTAAATTATCCATTAATGTAGTACATGCTGCATGTTGCCGGTAGCCTGTCCTCTATCATAAGTAGGTAGGTATGTATGTTGCACACTGGGACCTGAGTACAACAGAATTGCCCGTTGCCTCCTTGCGTTCGTGATCACGGGCAATGTTTTGTTTGTGTTGCTTGGAGAATAGCATCCGATGTTTGATATCAACGTCAACTTTGCCCAGATACATATTTGAGAGCATCACTTCGATGGACCGGGCTTCGTCTGATTCGACTTCCTCTTCTTCTATCCTGGTCTTTACTCCGATGCATCTCGTTCCAATTCTGCGGCTGAATTTGGGGAAAGGATTATCAGTGACGCGTTGATCCTTTCAGGCTGTACGTTATGACCAACTTGACAGGCGAACTACAGGTGCCATGCACCCCACGAATGATCAGATTATCCCAAGAAGTTATGCTGGGGGATAGGCTTGGTATGTAGGTATGCGATGATACTGTTTAATCAAGAGCATGAGATCACTTATTGCAAAATATGCGGGCGTAGACTTGTGTTCTTTTTCTTTCCCCTTGGGATGTGACGAATGTATGTAAGCGTATCGTCACAGCTAGATTAGCAGTCAACTTGCCTAATTCGTAGCTCTTCACAGGTCGATAGTGGCTTGGGGAAACTCAAATGCTCGGCACTTGAATGTCAACTTTTGTGCTGTCCCAGGCTTGGAGCGCCAAATCATGATCGTCACTTATTTATGCATTTCCGGACGAGATTTACCACAAGAGTAAGATATTGGTCGCCAGCAGCAGTCGTCATTGATAGTCGATAGGTATTCACTTCTATTACGATTAGATAAGCTGTATGCTGATGGCAGTTGAAGGGAAAAAATCGTCAAGAACGCCAAGCATCATATTCCGCTCCAAATTCATCCGATATGCCTGCAATTCAATACCGTTTGTCATGTGAGCTGCCCTTTTTGCGGAGAAAGCGTATAGAATATATAGAAGAGAATGAGGTTGCTCCTGTTTGTCACACAACGTTGTAGTGTGCCACTTGCATCTACAATTATAGCGAGTTAATGCTGCTGAATTTTTCGACTTTGTTGGAATCCGTAGCTGGGGCTTCACAATTGCAACGACGGTAATGCACAGAGGCGTCACTATCGTAAGGTAGGTATGGAGGACTTGGAAGCTGGTGTCAGACTTTCTCAAAGGCGCAATGCTCCGTCATGCTATTTAATGTCAAAGTCGCCCATTCAAGGTCAGAATCATGAAGAAAAGGTAAGAGGCAAGGTATTCCAAGATGAGAACATATTACAGGAAAAGTGAACGAATAGGTGCATAAATATAGGCATATACCGCCACGTGCAGTAGTGTTGATAGGAATGCCTAATGCATACGTGCACTGTACATACCTAGGTAGCAGATGCAAGTGTGGGCCCAGAAGAAGCACGGAAGCTTGGGCCACCCAAGCGGTCGGCAACCACTGACTTCATCGCCGACGACAACAACGTTCACCCATCTGAGGCCAAAGCTAGCGACCAAGGCTGAGGGCAATCCAAAAAAGATACCATCGCGAACCTACCCAAACCGTCAGCCAAATCACCTCGCGAGGAATCCAATACTTTTGCTTTCTTCTTCTCTTTGTTCCCGGAACGCAGCACTCCTCCTTTCGCCCATCATGAAGCCCGTCGTTGGTTCCATGCAAGCATGGTCTTGGTAAGCTCGTTCCTGAGCAACACATGTTGCCACTTCACACCCTGGCGACGACATGGTTTTCCGAGCAAAACAATACAAAACGAAGAGGAGAATCATCCCGGCTGACACTGGAGGGAATTATTTTAGCGTGGTCATCTCGGCCTTTGCCATCCTCATCCTCTCCGTCATCGGCTCCCTGTTCCGCAGCGGACACCACGAGTTCCTCGGCAGCAACGACGACCCTGATCCCAAGGTCGCAGGCGAGATTGCGAGCACCATTTTCATCGCCGTTGTCGTCTATGCCGTACGTGTTTACACTTCCCCGTCACCTCCGCGCCCAGTCGAAAGCGCTCGGAATATGCTCTCCACCACCTTTATTATCGAGTCCCAATTCGAAGGAGAAATACAATTTGCTAACGTGAGGAAAAACTTCTAGGGGTTCTTGATCTTCTGCGGTTTCCAGGGCATGCTCCACGTGAGGGAGTCGAGGCGAGGTGCGATTGCCCTATAAGTAGCCGGAAAGAAACGGAGAGAACGATACGACGGCGAATAGAAGTCAAACATTGAGCAGTAAATGCGGGCGTTATTGGGTTCAATTTGTGTGGTTTTTCCGAGCATCATTCAAAGGCAGTGGTCGTCGCAGGTGCATTGAGAGGGGAGCAAGGGCATAGTACGGTACCGTACATGAAATGCCAAACAAGTCGTCTTCGACGAGATTGGCTGCCTCTCTCATCAAACAGCCGTCTCTTGCGGTATATCGAATGGCATACCGAGCCCGCTACGCGCAAATACGCGATATTGGCATTGTCTTTCCAGACGATCAATGCACGGGGGAGAAGTATCCGATGAGGTCAAGGGAGAGTGATTCCGTGTTTGGGTCTGCCATGTACAAATATCGCGTGTCATTAGTAATTTTGCATCAAGCAAGTGTCAATTTACAATCATCGCCTGAACGCCAGTGTGGCTTAATATATTGTTTGCGTTCACAAAGCTGACATGTTACAAGCATCACGCCATTATTCACAGCATAGATCAACCTCGCGTCAGATGTCTCACGACGATTGAAAACTCCCAGGGACGTCATCTTTATGGTCAGAGTGGAATATTTGGGATAGAAAATAATTACACAAGGTCCATGTTCTCTAAATCTCGTGCTGGTCATAGCTGCCGGCATTTATAAATGGCTCTGGTAAAGCAAAATTAAACGATAAGGTGCGGCCAATCATTCTATAAGTTCGGGGTCCAGGAGCCCGGTCTTGGCCTTTGATCCTCAGAACCCAAACCGAACTCGACATCTCGATCCGCCATTTCATATGCCTCCAGAGTATGTCGTCGCGACGAGATAGCCTCGTAGTTTTTCAGCGCCTGCTCCGAGGTGGTTGAGCCCGACGCCAAGTGTCCCCTAGGTCCAGAAGCTTGACCGGAACCGATACCGCTATTGCCCGGCTGAGGCAGCTTTCTCAGGCTCCGTGATGCGCGCCACTTATTGACGACACGTTTCCCGCTTCCGATGCCGGATCGGCGACTGCGGCTGAGGCCGAATCCCCATGTCTTGAACAGTGGCCTGATGGCTGCTATCGAACCGGCCATGATTCCCAAGGATGGTTCGATGACCGACCAGGCCGCGAGACTGACTGTATCGAAAAGGAAATCTGCGGATATCGCGATTCTCTTGACATATGGGATGCGTATGAACAAAGCAATACCGGCACTGGCTTTTGTGTTAGATTGTGACCTTGAGGGGGCTTCAATGCTTGGCGGAAGAGCACGACTTACACAAGTCCCATACCGAGGAGCACGGCGATACTGATTTTCGTTCGGCGGTTGATATTGACCTTCCAGAGCATGGCGATGGGGAGCAACCCCAAAGTCCAGTCAGACACGGCACTGACGATGCTGTGTACTATGGTCGCGATGGGGACCACGTTATGGTCCATGCAGGAGCCTCTAACTTCCGGGACGGCTATCGGACCCTGCCAAAAGTAATTCGAAGGAAGACATTGCAAAGCCATGAGAAAGAAATACACGATCGATATCAGCCAAATGACAGTGATATTGATCCATATTGTCCACTTCTGCCATGGCTTGGTCGCCAATCTCAGGATGAAAATGGCGATAGAAGTTCGTATAAGAGCTGACAGAGGTGCGTATAGAACCTCGCAGAAGTACCAAGCCCGCAGAGCTACTTCGATTCCGGATGGCGTAAGTTCCTCGGTGTGCTTTCCTGTACCGCCCGCAGCGACTCCGTGAATGGCGATGGCGCCGTACGCGGTATAGACAGCCTGTTTGCGAGAGGTCATAAGTGACGGAAATCTTCGGGCATCGCCAGTAAAAGAGCTTACCAGACTTGCGAACATGAACCAGTCATCCGACAGAACCCTTTTCTGCATAAAGGCCTTGACGTACAATCGGAGTAAACATACTATCCAAGCAAGGACAAGGAACACAATCTGGCCGATCACAAGACGAGTCCCACCCGGGTTGACGTCGAATCCTATGTTCTGAGCCATCGTGCCTGACGAGAGAACCTCGAGAAAACATTGAACCGTATGCTCACATTCTCACAGTCGACAAGATACCGTTTTCTGGTATTTCTATCATCAGCCCATGAGAGAAAAAGAAAGCGGCAAGGTACGCTAGACATTACCTCGTGGTAAACACTGAATAAAGTCTTCCTTCATAGAATGACACATAGTGTGACGATATGTTGCTTTTTTGGCTTGGTTGTGTTCCCCGATACAAGTTGTCAAATGTAGAAGCAATATCAACCTTGAGCCCAGACCAAGAGCTTCGTCTGTTTTCACGCTGGCGTGTAGTCGGATTGCTTCCCTAGGGAAGAAAATCCGATGGATATAACCACGGAGACAATTTCCCGTGCCCCAGGTGGGTAGCACAACAGCAACATGGATATATGCTCGGCCTCGGACCACATGGGTCTTGCAGGGAAAGGGTCGTTGTCCACCGAAGGAGAGAAGTGCCGAACGCTGAAACAATTCCAAAGTCGTGCAGGGCTGGTTTCTGCAGCATGGGCAGTGCCGGCTTCGCACTGCACAGCGTCCGTTGGCTGTCATCGTGTACGAGTACGAACGTACATCGATCCTCATATTTCCGAGTCATTTGGCCCGTTAAGAAGTTGGTCACATGTGAGCAAAGACTAGCAGAGAGCATACTAGCAGGATTAGGTCTTTCTGCTCTACAAGAAATAAAAAAGCAATTCAACGTCCCCGCATCAAGACCGTTACGACGCTTGCCCATCTTATGGACTGGGAAGTCGCGGGTTTCCTCATAGTAAAACAAGGAAGAATTTGAATTTGTCTGAGATAACCGAAATCTCAAAATTCAGTCCGAGGTCCAGGCACAGAGTCTGAGGTCGGACTCGGAAGAGGGAGACATGGCAAGGAGGTCCGAGATGCCTCTCTCCTCTCGGGCTTCTCTTTCAGCCCTATCGATACACACGTACTCTTATTAATCGCCTGCACCTGCCTCTGCGGTGGATGTGATTCCGTACGTCTTGGTCAGCTCCAGGGAAAAGGAAGGCTACCATGGTATCATCTAAAACGGCCTGGTGTGTCTATGATGCCTCCAAGCGGGAGGCCGCATTGGCTGTGCGCACGCCTCGACTCTTTTTCTAGAACTTTCATCAGTCAGAACAGTAGGAACAGGCGAGCTCGATATCCTTACATGGTCATGGTAGCGACTGTTAGATCGCAAAAACGATAGATAGCTTATCTAGCCCGTCAAAGATCTCGTGGCGTCCCGAATCAGTGGCACTCGACAAACGCGCCTGGGCAGTGTCACGAGATTGGGGCAAAGATATGTTGAAATCATGAGGGCACATGAACGCAAATCTAAATCATATGGATACTGGATGTCGTGGTGTAGTACCAACTGTATACAACGTACGAGTTAGTAGTCCTCCAACCCATTGATGGTTAGGCGGGCATCACTATTTTTTGGCTTACCGCGACTAGGATACCGGAATGAATTCGAGAAATCAGTTAAACGATCAACAGGTCGCAAATGCAGCTGCATTAGTTTCCTCTCTGGAAGAGTCCAGATCCTGTCTGTATGCGGTATGGTTCATCTCTAATTGGCATCTGCTATGGTAGTATAGAATTTGAAGGATCCAATACCTACCTAGGTTACCTTGTACTCTGTACGTAGTATAGGCAGGCTGGGTGGCTGATAAGTGATGTTTACACCACATGCAGCCCTGTCGGATCGCCATCGGCACGGGTGGACCTCCACTGAAGACACTATATTGTAGTTTCTCTGTGACGCTATGGTTCTCCACTAACCCAGAGCTACGGTTAGGTAGGTGGATTTCGAAGCAGACTGGATTTATTATACAGGGTACACCAAATTGAAGCGCGAGACAAAAACGAATTGAGAAGTACAAATGAATAAGTCGATATATTAGAGAAACTGTAGCACATCAGTGCTTCTCAATAAAAGAATGCGGGAAAGAATCAAGCATGTCGCGATTACTCCAATTTCTTCCCAAGCAGGACGATACGCTGCTTTAATGTACTCATGTAAATCATCATACCATCATTGCTCCTGAATCTCGATATCGCGTTTGCATTCAACAGTATAATTCTGATGACGCTTGTCTCGCCCTTCTATAGAGCGGAGCAAACTCTCCTGACGAGACTCACTGCGATGCAGTATTCTTTGCAGAGGGCAGGCACAAAAAGCGGCTCCTACGGTGGTATGATGTCATCATCTACGACAAGACCCATCATCAACATGTACGCAATCGACGTTCATCGGCCCCTTTCTTTCCCTAGGCCGGTCGAAGAAATTTATACTCGGGACTTTGGAGCGGTACAAATAGATCCATTGCATTCAAGTCCTTTGGAATTGATATTCTGAACCACGTCTCTCAACCTTCTCCGACGAAAAACAGATCATCACACCAGAGCCTCAGAGCTGCTACAATCATCATGTCGTCTGGCGAACAATTCAAGTCCGGTGAGTCAGAAGAAATCCGTGGGACAAGATAGTTTTTATGCTTTGAGAACCGAATCTGAACATTTCAAGGCTTCTTGCCCAACCCTACGGATCAGTCGTTCCCTGGCAAGGAACAGCAATTGCCCGTGGAAGCTGTCTATGACCAGTTGCCCGATTTCAAGGGCGGCTTCCAAGACTACAAGGGTGCCGGCAAGCTGCAAGGGAAGAAGGCCCTCATTACTGGCGGCGATTCTGGTATCGGCCGTGCGACCGCAATTCTGTTTGCGCTAGAGGGCGCAGATTCTGTCATTGCTTACTTGCCCGACGAGCAAAAGGATGCCGAGGATACCAAGAGGCTCGTGGAGCGAAAGGGAGGAAAGTGCCATCTATTTTCCACAGACTTGACCGGCCAGAAGAACTGCGAACAGCTCATTAGCGAGGCACTTCACGCCATGGGAGGCATTGATATCCTTTTCAACAATGCTGCTTACCAAATGATGAAGGATGACATTTCCCAGATCTCAGAGTAAGCAGGCCTGGTGTACATGAGAAAAGGCTTTCATGATTACTGACACGCATTAGGGAACAATGGTTACACACTTTCAACACAAACATCCACCCCATGTTCTACCTGTCAAAGTACGCACTGCCTCATATGAAGCCAGGCTCGACCATCATCAACAATGCCAGCATCAACGCCTACATTGGTCGTCCTGATCTTCTGGACTACACCTCGACCAAGGGTGCAATTGTCTCATTCACTCGTGGTTTGAGCAACCAGTTCGTCTCCAAGGGCATTCGTGTCAACGCTGTTGCGCCTGGTCCAGTGTGGACTCCCCTCATTCCTGCCACCATGACTGAGGAGGCTCAGAAGCAGTTCACCTCGCCAATGGGCCGTCCGGCTCAGCCCTCCGAGATTGCCAGTTGCGTGGTATTTTTGGCTTCGGCTGACAGCTCAGTGATTAGCGGTCAGACCATCCACTGCAATGGTGGTACTGTCGTCAACGGCTAAGGCGTGCCACACATAATTGTACATTATTTCATCATGATCACATCTGCTTTCCGGGGTGCAACGGGCTGAGGGATCATGGAAATGCATGTAGGGTGTTTGTGTTCAAGGGTAAGGTTATAGCCAGGCGTTAATCAGAGATAGCGTGATTCATAGGCATTCTCAATTAATCAAGACTTCTGTCATGACACACTCCACTGTAGATGACATTGAAAGGACGAGGTTGTATCATCCACCTGACTCCGACTATTAGTTGCAGACACCTTAAAAGAACAAGTCAACCCTGAATTATCAGAATTCTGGACAGGCACAGCAGACGCTAGTCGTCCTGTGATCATCACAGCTAGAAGAAACATACAAACGCGACACCTGTCATTGAGTATCGAATATCATGATGCAGTGCCTTCACAGCACCGAAAGTATGTTATGCACTACTTTCATCCCAATATGCCTTCTGCACCTGCCTGCACTCTTGCTCGATCTAGTTGTCTTTTAAGCAGTGATTCACTTGCCCCTGAACCCCTCTTGCCGTGACTGCTCCTCTCCGAAGCTCAAACTGAACTGTTTTTTGCTACCTTATCTTAATATACTACAGTTGCTGTTCTAGACGACATCCTCGCTTGCTTGCGGAACAGAACCGTTCCCAAATCACACTCTCGATCTTCATTTCATATCCCAGTGCTCGTCTTCTCGGAAGACTCAGCAAACAGCATCAAAGATCAGAAGTTGACAGGACAGTTCCGGTCACGACTCTAAACCGTCCAGCAGATTTCATGGGACAAAATCAGCTTCCTAGCTCCGCAGTGGTTATTATGAAGCAGAGATATTCCAGCTGAACAGATCCATCGCAGTATTCGGACAACAACAAGAAGATCTATCGTCGAATTGAGAGAAGAACGAATGGTAACGACAGGGGACTGCTGGATCTAGTACTCCAAGTACTCCAAAGGTTAGTAGTCGTCTCTTTTATCGGGTTGACGTGCCCGTTGTCTTTAACACTCACCCACAGGATTGAGTGCCGCGCGCGCTTGTCTGTTGAAGTGCCGACCGAGAGCTCTATTTCTCGCCTCGTCGGGGCACATCACTCTATCGCTTTTCTTGGTCTTTGCCATCAGTATTGGACCCGGCTCATATAGATCCTCGGGGGGTCTCTTGACCATCCCATCAAACATCACTACCTGGAGCTCTTCGAGGTGCTTGCTTCATCTTGCTGGCAACTTCTAGCCTTCGCACTGGCCACCCATTGCCTGGCCGTAAAATATGGCAGTTCACAGTCACTTTACCAAGGTGGAAAGGAAGGGCGGCAGATGCGACGTATGTGATCAACGTAGTCGCAAGAGTGAGTTCATTTCCCTTACGTGACGGTCCCACTATCAAGGCGAAGATACGACTGCCTGAAGCAAGGTCCATTGGCGGAACCAGACGTTGTCGAGCTGACTCTTCCACGCATAGTCATGCAGAAATGCAACAGCTGTGCACATTCCACTTGCAGTGCCTGTCACGAAAACGGTCAATATGATCCCAATCACGACCTTTCGAATCGAAGTGATCTCGACTGGATCGACGGCCGCGGCCGCAACTCATCAAAATTGTCACGACGGCGTATTACACGATCCAGGCAGGCAGTTCACGAGCAGAGTGATGCAGGCACACCAGAACCAGAAGTCAATACCCCTTCCCTGCCTATATATCCGCGAGTCCAACGGCAGCCCCAGGCACAGCAGTCTTCCTGCCAAGTCGATCCAGGTATTGAATACTTCCCGAATCCAAGTCGGAGTCTCATTCCAGAGGAGCAGGAACTCTCTTTGGAGTACAATGCCCCTACCGAATCACTTCCTCTTTCCGAGCTACGACGCGATGCTCAAATGAGATCCTGGTTTGGCATCACCTCGCCATTCAACCCACCCACTATGACGCAGAATGAGCCAGCAGAGAAGGGCGTGCCTCAACACATGGAGGGGGCCACTTCACAATACAGAAATCTACATCCCGCGGTGTCCCGCTCCTACATTGAACGGATGAACGGACACCCTGAGCGACAAGACCAGATGTTATTGACATCGGCGCCCATTTACCGAGATTTCAACACTGGTCTACCTAGTCATTCGGATCCGACTCAGGACCAACAAGCAGAATCTGTTGCTGCTCACAAAGTCCCAAAGTCCGGGGCAGTTGAGCGGAGAAAGCTCTTAGACACCCTAACCGCGTCCGAGACATCTAGCCCTGGGCTGCGAAGAGTCTACCGGGAGCAAGGTACAGACGCAGCGTTGGAAATGCTGGAGGCTGCCGTCATTTTGACGACTTTGAGAATGGGATAGCCGTTCAAGGATGTTGCGAATGGTTTCACATCTCGTCTCCACATCGTAACCACGATATGGACATGAAAAATGAGCTTGTCGTGAATGACGACGCACTCATGGAAGATGAGGCTGTCAATGACAAGGACGACGTGGCAGCCGAGGGACAGGAAAAGCCGTTGCGAGGAAATGCTACCAGGCCATCCAGTGAGATTCTTGTCATTATTGTGATCACAATGGCTGGGTGTATCTGGGTTTGAGGTTTCGGCGTTGACATTTACATCTGCCTTGACTTTAACTACATAATCGCTGAGCCACTTACAGTCAAGATGAACAAGATACGGTCATGTTTAGGGGCCAATAGGAAGAGCCTGCTTAGCCATCAGCAGTAGTACAATAATTCGTTTGTCCCGAGTTATCGCACAATCATACAGCCTTTGCTAAAAGATTATACGCCTCGATGAGGGCCCCTCCACTTTGATCTCTCCTTGTGATCCCATGCCCAACCGAACCAGTATGATATCCAGTCACCATGATGTTTGTCCATTCTTCTTGGGTGGGTCTTTCAAGTTCTGGCAACATGAACGGCTTCCTCTCTCCTGGCCTTTGCTTCAAAGACGGGTTCAAGTTCGACCTCTGTCCAAGAAAGCGACACGTATCGACAAATTGATTTCAGGGGAACCAAAAGTCTGTTTTTTTTTTTTTCAGAGTTCAGCTGATTGTTCAAAGACTATTTAAGCCTTCCTAAGAGTGAGCGTTTTCCAGCCCCTTGGGTGGAAAACTATAAACGCGACAAAGTTCATGTCTGCACTATTACGCACAAATTGACTTTCAACTCGTGAGACTTGGGTTTATATGCTGTTTCACAAGGCGCAACCAGCCATTTTTGGCAATTTAAAAAGACGGGGGGAAAAATAAAGCATGTCTTGTCAAAATGCTGTGTCTTGTTGGAAAAAAGCGCCGTGCATATGCAAAATCTCCGATTTTGATTGAAAGTTTCTGCAGCAGAAAAATGAATGCCGTAAACTTTTGACACCTTTCAACAAATGTCCAGCTTAGCATAGAGTTCATTCCCAGTGCTCATGCAGAGCGGTTCTCATGTCCTAGAATGGAAGCCCAGGGCAAAGGAGAAGGGGGCGTTTTGCAAAAAAAAAAAAAAAAAAAAAAACCGGAACCCACGTGGAATATAGTGTGCAGTATTCCGTAGCAAAAAAAGGTTATTACCTATAGTAAGGATCACGGCGATCATATGCCGCTGTCAGGAACCCGTTTTTTCGGCTTGCAACCGTGAGTCTACCCTCTCGTGTACGCGCGTAATTGTCACTTGTTTTAAGCTGTTTTCAGCAGGCCGAGAGAAGAGAGGCTGCGAGATGATGAAATGTGTTGCTATAGTAGAATGGAATTAAGGAAACAGGTCATTGTCGTTAAAATTAGATGAGGCTCAGATTGCCCAAATCAACCATGCTCATGCGTTGCTGCATCGGAGATTTTTTTCTTCTCTCTCTTTGGAGGACGAAACATGAGATTTTATCCATTCTTGTCGCCATTGCCGAAGGACAAGTCATGTAACCTAGTAACCTAGGTAGGTATCGGCCGCTCGGTGATACCTGGAGAGGGTGGGAGGAGGGGGCTGCAAAAAGATGAAACGGAGCCGATCTCCGAGCGTGCATTTTTCTTCTCTCGTTCTTCCTGCAGGTTTGTTGCAACTCTAAAAAAGCAGGAACAATGACCTTGTCTTTATTTCCCATGCGCGCGGAAGGAGAATTTGTTCATTTCAAGTGAGCAATCCCGAGCGCAACGAGCATCTTTCTTGTTAGGTTCTGCGGGCCCCATTCTGCCAAGCAAAAGTATAAAGAGAAAAAGAGGCAGCTGGGGGAATGAGGCAAAAGGCTCGAGCGCTGTTCACAAGTTGCAAAGTTGCGTCTTGCATCGGACCTGTGACTTGTGAAACAGGCGCAAATGTCTGTTCTTACCTACAAAAGTGCAGACAGAGTAACAGACTTGAGATTCTCCTAGCAATGTTCTGTACAAGAATCATTGCTGGGTGGGGGGTATTCATGTCACCCATAAAAAGGTTGCCATGGTGAGGCAGAGAGGTGTGGAGAATCTCTGTTTTCTGTTCTCGGTGAAATAGGTAGATAGCGCGACGAGCTCAAAAGGAAGGGAGAACAACGGAGCAAGTGAGTGAGTGACCAGATGAGCAATATGTGACTGGTTGCAAAAGTCTTCTCTCTGGGCGTGCTCAGGTGCTCCCTCTCCTTTCTTCTGATCAAGCGGCCACACGGGTAACGAACGGGGTGTGTGTCGAGGTCTCAGAGGCTAGAAGTCCAGAAGTCTGAGAGGTGGGTAACAGGCAAAGATGCACATGGAGAAACGAACATGAACCTTGGTGGATGGGTGGGGCGGAGAGTCAAAGTCCCACTATGTCTGACCAATCAAAACCGTATAGTGGAGCATTCTAGCGTCATCCAAGCTCTGATTGGGGAATTCCATATGCAGGCAATTAAACGCGTTAGAGCAAGACGCGAACACGTCGCGGTTCGACGCGTCTAAATCGACGACATCTCGTCATGATTCAACGTTTCCCCCATCTCCCACTTTTCGTGTTGCTTGCGGTGTCGTGGATCACTGCCTGCACTACACCTATGGTCAACTCCGAGTGCTCCGTTGCTCTCGTTTTTCCTTTTCGTCTTGAGCGTTTTTTTTTTTCCCAAGCAGACGAGACTACATAGAAAGCATGCAGACTCGGATGCTAAAAAGACAAAGTCAACGCTCATGCAACGCGTTTTCGCTATACATGACCTGCTGTAGATAGCCTTTTCCTCCTCGTGCCATACGCGAAAACCACCCCTACTTGGGCAGTCAATTTTAATTGACAACTTGTGATCCATTCTTTTTGGGCAAACGGGGGAATTTCCACTCACCCACATTTCATGGCTGCCCACCTTCATGGTAGTCGGGTGATCAAAGCCAAATGTCTAGGTCAAGAAAGTCTCCTGCCGGAGCGGATCTTTTGGGAGCGCCTCCTTTAGCTTCCCAATGGGCGCGCTGTGGTTGACTGTCTGAGCAGATTTCATCAGTTTGTAAAATGCAAGGGCGAGACAGCCTGACTGAAACTGAGAGATGAGTGCCTGTTCCTGCGCGCGTAGGGATACAGTCATCCACGTAAGCCGAACAACCAAAATGCCATGAGATCATTCATCTATCGATCGATAATACATCAAGGCCAAGTACGTAGGTTGGCAAGTGCCGTTGCTGTGCTGTACTCCGTATTATGCTATGCATTGAAGAAACATGGGTGCCATGTGAGGACAGTAAGCATCGAGATTCAATGTTATTCTGGAAAATCCTGCTTTCATCCTTTTCTATTCCATGGGCCAGGTTTTTTTTTTTTTTGTCCTGATCGCATGCTGATACTCGCCCAGTTCCTATGACGACGAAGGACCCGAAGCAATTTTAGCTCCAGGAACCTGGCGATCATCAATCAGACACTGGACGGGGACCCTTCCCCCCTTTGAAAGCGAAACAAGTCATCCGTCCAGGGTGTCTGGGGGTGCTGTCTAGTTTCGCCTTGGTAGTGATGGTGGTGGTGGTTGTTATCGGGAACACGGCTGCAATCGAATCTGGCACCCCTCTCTTCCCTTGCCTCCCTCTTCTCTGATGTCCCTTGTGACTGTCGCACAGCATAATGGTGCACGACTGCAATCTATTCACCGAGGCGGCCACCATGTCTTGGATTTGGGATTGGGGCGGCGTGAAGAGATGTAAGACATGCTGTTTTAAGATGCAGGAGATGGCGGCTCATCAGAGTCTTGACGCTGCAAGTCTAATGAGTATACCCAGAATGTCTACCTAGATTTGCCACAGAAATCTTTATCAACTTTAATCGGAATACCTCATTAGGATCGTCTGCCGCTGTCTATGAATATAGAGTTTAAGATGACAGCGACCGAGGACTCCCTTCTGGGTAAAATTATATGACTATTTGCTCGTCGCGTTGCCTAGCTACGGTAGGTCAGGTCAGGGCAGGGGAGGAGCTGCCACTTCTTTGGGACTGTAACCGGGGGTGTCGATTCGGGGACCATGGAGACGGACGTTCTTATCTTGCGTATGTAGCACGTCGACGGCTTTCCATGGGAACTACCACGTCCTACATTTGATCTGTCTCCTATGCCAACACTGAGAGACGGGTCCACGAAGACCCTAACGACGAGCCACGAAGACGGGCAGGATGGAGATTCCGTGGCAAGCGTCCAGTAGTATGACTTTGTCGACGCATCTAGAGTCTGACCTGGGTGACATGGCTCTCCACCCGGGCACCAATGGAGAGTTACCTACTGTATGTAGGTACGTAGTGGTGCGGAGCTACGCAAGGTACCGTCTTGGGCCTGCGGTGAGCCATTGAGAGACTGTGAACGACATACATTGATGCCGCCGCCAGGGAGGAACAAAGTGTAAAACCAATTGATCAAATGGAAGAAGATGGATAGATACAATCCAAGTACCTCAAGCAAGCCCCTGGCAGTGAGATAGGCTTCGCTGGAACAACCCTTCTGGGTCGCGTACCTTTCTAGGTACAGGTGGAGCAGTCTATTGGCCCCACCTATAAACTAGGCTAGAACAGGTCTAACACGCCCAGAGCCCCACTGATGGGCACTCCCGCCCCGGTCGTCGCTTTTCGCTGCTCGTTGGCCTAGCATGGGATGGCAAGCTGGGGCCTAGCAGTGCGCCGTTGTACCTGGGGGGTCACCTCTGGTCTCTCCTCTCTCTCCCCCCCGAAGGAAAGGCGCAACCTGCTGACTCCCGACTTGCTGCCCTTTCGGGGGGGCGTTCGGGTCTCTTATTAGGCGAACAAGTCCTTGTCACCCCCCAAACTCCCCAGCCCCGAAAGCTCTTTTTCTTCCTTCAACCCACCAACTTAGCAAATTATTACCATTTACCTACCTACCAGTCAATAACAACAAAACGGTCGCGACCAACAGAAACTCAGTCTGCGACCTGGGCATTGCGCGCTCTTGTCGCCGACTATCTATTTACTTTGCAACAATCTACAAAACAAATCGATTACGCTCCCGCCCCTTGTGACAGCTCAGCCGTCCCGCGCGCCGCAACTCAAAAGCAAAAAGAAGCGACATTTTGCGTGTCGCGCCATTTGTCGCTTAACCTCAGGGAGCGCCGTTACCACTTCTGCGATTGTCGCAAACATAATCCTCTCGTTCCTCGCTACTTCCGTTTGTACTTGCGCAAACAAGCGCCAAGGGGATTGTCTATACATACACTGCTGTCGCATCCCACCCATTCATTCCAATCGACTATTTTCGACACAACAATGCTGCTGCCTTCGGCGCTATCTTGCGACTCGTCGCAGCGACCAAACACGCGACTCTCATCGCCTCTCTTTTCATCGCCACCCGCCAGCCCACCTATCAATGCTTATAGTGGTATCAACAGCATCATGACGTCGTGTCGCGCACTTCACTCCATGCTTGCGCCAGCACCTGTCATTATATCTGGGACCGACGAAGACAACATCCCTCGTCGTGCAGCCCAGCTCCCAACACCACCCTTGGCACACGCTACCATTCCGTCACCCATGAAGTTGCGCCTTCGCGCGCGCAAACCAGATACCAGCCCAGAAATGATGGGTCGCAAGAAGATCGTCAAGCGCGCCCCTCCACCGCGAGGGCCAAACAAGAGGCGCAGATCTGACGACGACGACATGGGTCGCGACGATGATATCGACAGCGACCTAGATATTCATGAATCGGATTCGGCCGACGAGGGATCTCACTCGGGCCCCAGGACGCCGAAGCGCGCACGCATTGCGCCTGAGATTGTTCCCTTGGGTCTAGTGCGGTCAGACTTTCACAACCTACACAAGGCAAACACAGATTCAGAGCAGACCCAAAGTGACGAGGAAGTAGAGGTCGAGGCAGACGGCGAGAGGTGGAGCACAGAGGAGGACCGGATGCTGGTCGAGCTTATTCTGGAGAAGCTGAAGCTGTCTAAGAATGACTGGCAAGATTGCGCCAGGAGTTTGGGCAAAGATCGCAGCTCAATCGGAAGGAGGTGGAAGAGTCTCATGGTCAATGGAGACGTCGGCCTCAAGTCAAGGAGTAGGCGAGGCAAGATCCACGGAACCTGGCGGTGATGGCCACGTTTTGTTCATTCACTCATATATTTTCCTTCTTTTTCATCAAACGACTCTGGAACAGACAGAGTCGCTTACGAGCATGCCTATGACAGGCAGTATTCTTCTCATTTGTTTTTAGAGCATTTTCGCATTATACCTTGTCTAGACCCGGATAGGAGGGCAAAAAAGGCGTTCAGGATTGACATCAATGAGGACCACAATAAGTGATATCCCATGGTTTTTGCGCATAGAAGCGCCTGAATATTTAGTCCAGTCTCAATAATATCTTGAATTGAGCCAGCAACATCAATACTTTGTTTATCTGCAACCTTGAGATGTGACTACTTAGTAAGTACTATCTGCTTTGACCTTTGTCCCTGTGCCAACCGTAGGATTCCCTACCTAGATGCTCGCCTACACAATAGGTGACTTCTGTCAGCGCCGCAAGCGCAAGCAACGCACGGTTGGTTCTATTCTCCATTGAATAATATATCTGCACATCATACAGAATGCCGCACGGTGTCTCTTGATTGTTTCAAGATGGGCGGAAACAGCCTTCTTGTTCTTGATTGCCTTGCCCCCGGATCCGGACACCACAGCTCCCCATTCTTTTCCCAGATCTCCTCATCTCTGTGTGTCCCCACGGGCTTTTGGCTCCTTGACAAACTACTGCTGCACCTAAAGCACTCACGATCCACTCCCTTTCCAGCCCCCCTCTCAAGAAAGTATATTCGCGTAGTATCCCACAAAGAGGTGGGTTGGTTTTGGATTGGAGTCAACGAGGGAAGGTTCAGAGAAAGAGAGAGGGAAAAAAGTCAATGAAAGAAAGAATAAGAAAAAGCCCGCAAGGGATAACCCAGGACACTAGGCGAGGCAAAAAATTCCCCCCATCCAGGAACAGAACAGGGAGCAGGGCAGTGGATGATGGGAACATGAAGAGAAGACTTGGTAAAAAGAGGAAAAGAGCACTTTTGATTTTGCTTTGGGTTAACCAACGTGGTCAACCTGGCAGGCTGGTTGTAAGGGTCCCAAATAGTCTGACGCCAACTAGTCCCGAAACTACCTACGACTCAATTTTATCCCTCTTGTCCTTCTTTCTTTTCGTCTTTAATTTTTCTCACTCCTTACCTCTCTCGTCCTGATCTTCAGGGTCTTTTTTTTGCCCCCGACACTGTAAGTCTCTTTTTTCTGCTCCCTACAACCTGGAAGAAGCGGGAAGACTAAAAGATTGCACTTTGACCTTTAAAAAAAAAATTAAAAAAAAAAAAAAAAAAGCCTATCTTCCCAATGCAGTGCTTGAAGATGGGCCGCAGGTTTCGTGACACACTGGCTTGCCACGTATAATAATAACCCCGTGGTCTGCATACAAAGCAGGTTGTTCACGTAGAAGTGGACACTGACGCGTTCAAGAGGTGGCCCTTTTTTTCCCCCTCGCCCTCTTAATTACGTGTAAATGGGTTCAATTTCGCGTTTTCTTAGCTAGGTACCTAGGCAGAGAGGAATAAAGGTGGCTATGCTTTTTTGGCCTTTCAAGGGTCCTTTTCCTAACCCAAGAGGTCCAAAGGGTCCTCACAAACAGGGTCCTGGAGAAAACCTGCAAGATTACTCGCGTCCCCGGGAATGGGGGGACAAAAAGGGTCTCGCGGGTCAATTTCGTTGGCCAAGGGGCCTTCCCAGCCAAGGTGGCTGGTGTAAAATTGAAAAGGAAAAAAAGTATGAAATTGTCCACCTGGCACCATACAAGACTCGAGTTCCGATAACGAACCATGTGCTGGAGCGTGCTTTTTGGTTCCTGGATTTTGACAAGCACAATGGGGTCGCCTTTTTACCCCCCAGGCTTGGTGCCGATTGGCCCAATTAAGGTATTAAGAGAGAGGTTGGGCTCCGTTGAACGGGGCATATCTAGGTGGCCATTGCTCGTGGGTCGTTGATTCTGTATGTGACTTGCTGAGTCGCTGGTTGGCTATATTGGCGCTCTACTCATCGACGCAAGATCCTTCATCTGGGGGTTGGGTCTGATGATTACTACTCTGCTTGTTTCAGAGGCAAGCTTGTGGTTCAGTCCACTGTATGTTATATCCCTTGTGCGTTGCTAGGCCTGACTATACTATGTAGTGTACATGATCGTGATTGTGGATATCACTATAGTGTAAGGTAGGGTCCCACTCATGAACACGATTGTGGGAAACACGTGGAAATGCACAGGTGACATGTCATCCTGCAAAGTCCGCGGTGCAGAACTTGGCATTGCTGTCATCCTCTCGAGAAAGAGAAAAAGAAAGGAAAAAAAGCCATCTTCACGAAGGCGCCGTGTTCTCTCCTTCCAGCTGCTGTTGACACATAATGCTGCGAATGAAGATTTAAATTGGCTTATGCCAACATGTTACCGCCATCAGGCTTTCTCAAGGTCAAACCGGAGTAGTATTGTGAGTATTGACAGTAGGAAATGCATGATTCTTAGTAAACTTCAAGCCGAATTAAGGTCGTAACCATCGGCCAACGCCCCGCACCATAATGATGGATGTGTGTTGATATCTCTATGACGGTATGTCAGGAGAGGTGAGAGTGAAGCTTGCGTGATGGTACTCCGAGAAGCAAACGCTCTTGCGCTCAAGTCGAGTCTTGATCAACCAACCGTGTTGAGTCGAGGTTCGTTCAATGACTCAAAGGCGAAGTGGCCGACATGTGCACGGCAACGTACCATATGTAATTCCTGTTGTAAAATATCCTCCATGCACTGCTATTTGCCAATCTAATCTCACCTCTGTAATTTTAAAAGGCCGCTGAACAGAATGGTCGAGGAAAAGGCAGAGAGACATGTGCTGCGACACCAAGAAGTGGTTGGGCCTGTATAGAACAGAAATGACAACTTCGAGGACACGCTCGAACTCCCAGAGGTTTTGTGGATTTAGAAATTTTTCTATATTTTGGGCCGAGGCCTACCATGTCTATCGGCGAAAGTATGCCACCAGGGGGCAAATGTGAGATGGTTCAACCTTCTCTCTCTCTCTCACACACACTCTCCCTCACTCTCCTTCACTCTCTCACCCTCCATATCTACGAGCCACACGTCTGAGATTCTTTTATCCTGTATGCTGCTACTGGAACCTTAAATCATCCTCTCCAAACGTCCTTTGATCAGACAATATCGACACATCATTATTAAGAATGCTTATCAGTCTGAATTCCACAGTTAATCTCAACGACGTCGAGGTATGCCGTACTCTAGGTCACTTCTTCGGATAAACTACACGTCTACCGACAGAAGCTCCTCGCTTATCCTAGGATCATATGCAGTTACGAATAGGTATTACAACACGCAAAGACTTACGGTGCCCTCCTTGAGTTACGAGATCGAGCCGTGTATAGCGGCCTTACGAAGGGGAGCAAAAATGAGGAATAGACCAATTAGAGCTCCCAGATGCGTAACTCACAAGTGATGGACTCGAGCTGTCCATAAGATCCAGCGGCGCAATTACTATTGTCACATGGTCATTCTGAGAAAATTGGAAATGGTCGGTATACTAACATTACACCCTTCCCATCTCTCGTTCACGCCCACCTCGGCGGAAGTATCGAACATCAAGGTGGCCTGGTCATCCAGATTGGCCGCCACGAGTCCTCAATCTCAGCCACCCATCACAAAACACCATGCTCCGATATGCGCTATGACTGTCCCCAGCCGATGATAGCTCAATGGTGAAAGGAGAGGTTTCCTCAAAAACCCCTCATACCACAGAGGTCAGGTTTGCAGTCAGATGAACAGCAAGTGGCTCTTTCTTGGTTCGCAGTCATTTGTTATGACGTCTCAATGATCGGCGCATTGGGTTTGTATCAGAACAATTGCCGAGGGTTCTATCGTGGCTGGCATGTCATTTGGCGACTGGTGAAATGCTTCCGCAAGAATATTGGAAGCAATGGAAGAATTGGCTCGGCCTCACGGTATCTTATACTTCTAGAACAACATATTCCATTTGGTTCCCATTCCCAGCTGATCTGCTCACTAATAGACACTAATAGAGTCAAGCAATGTCGCTCTGCCACCACCCAGCCAAGAAGACCGTACAATCATGGTATAATTCCAGCTCCGCTTTCTTTCAACACGTCTTCTTCGGTATGCTTAGATAGATTGCATGAAATCGCACGAAGCAGAGTGTACTAATTCGTCTCATGTTTGATGACAAAATGACAGGCAAGGTATTATGATGTCTAATATTCGTGAGCATCATACATTGTGTCAACAATGGGCTTTCGGGATCATGGGACTTGTGCTTGTGCATAAAGTCATTGCAAGGTGACACATGTAACAAATCAAGTTATTGAAATAAGAGTGAGATTGTTATTCATCTATCTGCAACTCTTAAACAACTTGGACCGTAAATCATCCTAGATATCGGAAATGATTTGTCGCTATTCTCCTTTTCCATGTGGAGAAACTTGTTATCCATTGTTGAATTCCACCTCTTAATTAGAGGTTTAGCAAACGAACCGACTGTCTTCCAAGGCTTTTCCTGCCTTGCCGAGACGGTTTTGTTGAATACCGTACGCCATGCTTTGCCTTTATATGGTCCGATGAGGGAATCATTAAAATTCTAAACCCAAAAAAACGCCTTTCTATGCTGAAGAAGTTGATTCTTCCGCGAGTGATATTCAGTCCCCCCACGGAACGGCAGACATTATGCTACAACTACCTGGTAGAGCTCATTTAGAACTTGAGCTCCTTGGGCTGCTCCCAGGTGAAGCTCTGGTTGGTACCGAAGTGACCGAACTTGGCAGTCTGGTAGTAGATGGGCTTGGCCAGGTCAAGCTGCTTGACAATGACACCAGGTCTCATGTCGAAGTTGGCACGGACAATGTCAACAAGCTCCTGAGCACTCTTCTCGGATGTGCCGTAGCTGTCGACGTAGACGGAGCAGGGCTCAGCAATACCGATAGCGTAGGACAGCTGAACCAGAGCACGGCGGCAGAGCTTGGCGTTGACGAGGGACTTGGCGATCCATCGGGCGAGGTAGGCAGCGGAGCGGTCGACCTTGGAGAAGTCCTTTCCGGAGAAAGCACCACCACCGTGGGCACCCCAGCCACCGTAGGTGTCGACAATGATCTTACGGCCAGTCAGACCGGCGTCACCCTGAGGACCACCGATGATGAAGAGACCAGAGGGTTGAATCTAGAGAAATAATCAGTACGGTCTCGAAACCCAAGTTGGTATATCTCTTGCGACTTACGTGGTAGACGGTCTTCTCATCGAGGTACTGAGCGGGGATAACCTTCTTGCAAATCTTCTCGGTGATCTCCTTGCGCAGCTGCTCAGTGGTGATGTCCTCGCTGTGCTGGGCAGAGACGACAATGGTGTGGACACGCAGAGGAACGACGGCACCGCCGTCGTGCTTGTACTCCATGGTGACCTGGGTCTTGGTGTCAGGTCGCAGCCAGGGGAGGGAGCCGTCGCGGCGAGCGTCGGACATGGCCTTGTTCAGCTTGTGGGCCAACAAGTGGCTGAGAGGGTGCATCTCGGGGGTCTCGTCAGTGGCATATCCGAACATGAGACCCTGGTCACCAGCACCGAGAGCCTCGAGGGCCTGGTCGTAGTGAAGACCCTGGGCGATATCGGGGGACTGCTGCTCAATAGCGACGAGCAGGTTGCAGGTCTTGTAGTCGAAGCCCTTGGCGGAGTCGTCGTAGCCGATATCCTTGATAGCGGCACGGACGACCTTCTGGTAGTCGAGGCTGGCCTTGGTGGTGATCTCACCGAAGACCATCACCATACCGGTCTTGGTGGCGGTCTCGCAAGCAACCTTGGAGAGGGGGTCCTCAGCCAGACAGGCGTCGAGGATGGAGTCTGACACCTGATCGGCGATCTTGTCGGGGTGACCCTCACCGACGGACTCGGACTGGATCCGATTGTTAGCATCGCAGTTCTTCGTCTCGAGTATGTTTGCGCCTGGAGAACGGGCCGCAAAGTTGCGATTTTCACAGCCTATCTGTCGCTCACGGCGCAGGTAGAATGAATATCACAGCCGCGCGATCTGTGGACCGTGGCGGCTTGAGAGCGCCACAGATCGTAGATCGCGCAACGGACCGACCGACATTGGTTTGAGGGAAGAATCAAAGTAACCAAAGGGGGGAAAAAACTCACGGTGAAGAGGAAAGCACCCTCGTTGTGGATGGCGAAGGCATCGCCGTTGGAGGTACCGTTGGTGGCAGGCATCTTGAAAGTCTTTTTTATTTCTTTTTAGCGTGTAAGCAATAGGACAATGGCTTCTATTGTCTAACGGCAGACGCGATGGGACGGGGTGAAGGAAAAAAAAAGAGGACACAACTGGAAATGAAGAAATAGGACTGAGGAGAATGGGGAAGGGACGATGGCTGGCGAATTTATGGGAAGAGATCGAGTACAGAGAGTCGGGGAGAAACGAAACAGGGTCCTTTTTCCAATTGATGAGGGACACACAAATTGGCCAACCGACACAAGCCAGGCACAAGCAGAAAGCCATCAGAACTCGCTCGCCGCGCTGGATGCCGAGTGTCGGATTCGACTGAAGGAGGGGCAGCTTGGGAAAGTATTTGATAGGTCCGGGTACTTTTTCGTTGGGCTCCTGCTTGTGTGCTCCAAAAGTACCGGATACCTGCCAGAAAAAATAATCCCCCTCCTTCGACCGTCTCTCCAACAGCAGCAAAAAGTTTTTATGGGCCGAATTGCGCCATATTGCCAATACCATAACAGAAATGCTCATAGTCCTTACTGCCGACTGGACTGATTTTTTTCACCGCTCCCCACCTTGAGACCCACGAGCTAGAAGAAATCCCACCTTGTCCATCATATCGGGGCATTGGCCGCTCCCACGGCCACCACGCAAATCGACATGAAAGCCTTCCGCGGGGCAATAAACTAGCTACCTTTTAGTAGTAGCAGCAGCACATAGCAGATAGATCAATGCCTTTTCTTGCTGCCAAACTGGGTACCCTATCTAACCTGGCTAACTTCCTTGGCCATTCGGATGGTTTCTCAACAACAACGTGCTCCGTCCGAGCTTTGAAGGATCGATACAAGTTCAACCGTCTGGACACCTTGCTACTACTGGCCAAGCATGACGCCTTGTCGTTACGGGGAAAGCCATTCAAGCCATCTACTCTCTCATCCTCCGCCGTCTGACTGCATGTAATCGTAGGTAGCTTACACCTCTTGTCTTAGCCGGCGCCCCAGTAGACCACCGTTCCTTCACAGGCAATGCAACGAATGTATGCACGGGGTGAGGATTGTCTAACTCGAGACAGACATGCGGTACATGATCTGCAGAGAAGAACATGGCCACCTGGAAGACAAGCCATGGCAATTCAATTCGTCCGAGAGGGGAGGGGGAGAATGGTATCCAGCTTGCCAGCGTCACTCCGCTTCGGGCTCAAGAGGTCAAAGAAAATCTTCATTACCCCTCGCGCGCAGGGTCATGGTATAAAATCCAAGTGGGATAATGTGCTCTGCATGCATATCGCTTGCATCTGTTGCCTGTTTGGTCCATTATTGTCCCTATTGTTTCTCAGTAGAAGGTCTCGAGTTCCAGCAAATAGGGACTTGGTACGCGATCGAGTCAAATGCAAGTTGGCTAGATCTGAAATTGTCTAGCACTACGTAAATTGGGTCGAGACATGATCAATCCAATTTTCCAAAGTCATTGAAAAGTAAAATAAAACAAAATCAATGGTTCCTTAGTGGACCCCACATGCGTCTGTGCTGGCAACTGTACTGTCAGCCAATCCCTGCAGCCGTGCTCTGTAACGTATATTCTTGCCCCTCCAGACCCCTCCATTGGGGGTGGTTAATATTTTTTTTTTTCTGCCAATCGCCCGGACGAGGCGGAGATTTTATCGTACCTTGAATTCTGCAAGGCTGGAGTGAACTCCAAAAGTTCAACGATCCAACAACAACCACCACCACCTGCGCCGCTAAAACTTTTCATCGTGTATAACAGCCTCAGACAGACAAGCAAAAGAATCGGCGAGTATAGCTTGTATAAACCTACCGAACCCCAAATTTCAAGATGAGCAAGTTCGGCGTCATGGTCATGGGCCCCGCCGGGGCGGGCAAGGTGAGTTGGCTTCCTAATAATATCATGTACAAGCCGGCTGGATACGCCGGTACAGCACATCAAGCTTGTCTCGCGTTTATGTTTTCTTTGCTCTCTCCAATGGTGAAATGTGTGATTGACAAAATTGAACGACAGTCCACCTTTTGCGCTTCGCTCATCACTCACCTAAACCTGAATCGTCGTTCATGCTTCTACGTCAACCTCGATCCGGCCGCCGAGTCCTTCGAACACCAACCCGATCTGGACATCAAAGATCTCATCTCGCTCGAGGATGTAATGGAAGAAATGGGCCTGGGGCCCAATGGTGGATTAATCTACTGCTTCGAGTTTCTCATGGAGAACCTGGACTTCCTGACCGAGGGTCTTGATTCCCTGACGGAGGAGTATCTCATCATATTTGATATGCCGGGCCAGATTGAGCTGTACACGCACGTACCGATTCTCCCCGCCCTCGCGCGCTTCCTCACCAAGACGGGTAACCTGGACATACGACTCTGCGCCGCCTACCTGCTCGAGGCAACCTTTGTCGTCGACCGGGCCAAGTTCTTCTCGGGCACGCTGAGTGCCATGTCCGCCATGATCATGCTCGAGGTGCCACACATAAATATTCTCTCCAAGATGGATCTGGTAAAAGATCAAGTGCGCAAGAAGGACCTGAAGAGGTTCGTCACTCCGGATCCTCTCCTATTGGACGATGACCCGGCAGAGGTGGCCCGGCGCAAGGCCGAGGGGGGCACGGTCGACGATGACGCCATGGCGGATCCGCAAGATAGGGATGCCGTCATGAAGGGAGCCAGCTTTCGAAGGCTGAACCGCGCCGTGGCCGGCCTGATTGAGAACTTTAGCATGGTCAGCTACCTCAAGTTGAACGTGCAAGATGAGGACAGCGTCGGTGCCATCCTCAGTTACATTGACGATTGTATCCAGTTCCATGAGGCCCAGGAACCCAAGGAACTCAAGGACGAGCAGTATGAAGACCAGGAGTTGGACTTCTAAGCCCGATCAAGTCAGGAGAGACCTTGGAAATTGGGAGAAATGGCGTCGCCCCTACATCTCGGAGCGACCGCCTGGGGAGAGTTTGCATAGCGAAGGCGTTCATTGATTTGATCTCACATGATACCAATAATTAGAAAAATGAATCAACCAGTAAATTCCAATTGCGTATCTCATGTCTCGTAAAAAAATGTAACTCCCGAATCAGCTATCGCACTTGCCGTAAACGTGTGGGTATCTTTTTATTTTCCACCTCTCCTGCCGGCACCAACCTTTCTCCCGCTGTTCTTGGTTTGTGCATCATATTTGTTGTACTCGGCCAGCCAAATGTCCTTGACCAAGGCGGCGTAGCCGGCGGCCTTGCTCACAAACACGACAGCATCGCGAATGACGGCCTCGGGGCCTCTCTGCCAGGCCATGGCGAGGACCGCAGCCACCAGACTCCACAGCAGCAGACGACCGAGCAGGCGGGTCCAGAACATCATGATGCGGTGCACCCACAGCAGGGTCTGCAGGACGGCAAAGAAGATGGCGACAAGCGAGAGGACAAAGACAAAGTCTGGGCTGTCGGACAGCATCGTGCCAACGCGCACCAGTATCGGTTGCAAGATGGGGTACAGCGCCGCAACTGTGCCGTTGAGGAGTGTCTGCAACGAGCGCAGTACTGTCTGAAAAGGTGCCCCGCGGGCCAGTACATGGTCTGCTAAGAACTGAACCGTTTGTTCGGGGAGGACGCCTGTTGACGATGGAGGAAATGTTAGCTTGGTCCTTGCGAGTACAGTTTCTTTGACGACGCTGCTGGGCGTTAGGGAACCAGGTAGGTAGATAGGGAGACTGACCATCGAGGGCGTCCAGTATCCATTGGTTTTCTTCTGCCATTTCTGCTCTTCCCAAGCTTTGCCGCTCACGAAGTAATGCCCCCTGGGAGTTTTCTGCGACAATGAAATAGACACGGGTTGGTATCGCGTCTTGTTGTCGCCAGGTCACGCGAGTGCAGGACAGGAGTAGCTTGCGACGTGATTCAAAGCAGATAAGACTAGCGACCTGCGTAAAAAGTAAGGGAGAAGTTGGACTTGACGCGTTGGACAACAAGGTGTATGGTCGGATGACGATATTTGCAGAAAAGAAGCTTTCTTGTTCCTTTTTTTCCTTTTTTTTGAACAGCGGATGGAGAAAAAGTCGAGACTTTGGGCCAGGGTTGTGTTATTTCCAAGGGTTCTGGGGTTGATCTGCAGGGTATTGGGATGGATGTGATGCGTATCGTGTTCGTTGGCAGGGAAAAGCTGCGATCTGCTTGGTCCTTAAAGCTGGGTAAATTGGTAGGCTGCGAACAGCGCAAGCGGTGACATGTGTTAAGCTAGAAAGGTCCGGTGGGGTGGGTGGAACTAAATGTAATGCTGGACTTTTGATCGGCCTGGGAAACTTGACCGACTGGACCTCCTCCCCACTGGATATACCTGGAGCAAGTCACCGACCGCCTATCTGTTTGGATGGCTCAACCGTGGTATGTTCTGGTCGTCATCCTCAAGCATTCTTATTGCTCAGAGGGTTCTTTTTGGCACATTTGATGCCGCTTTGTGCTGGTGTCTTCTTTGATCACCCCCAGGCCAGTCATACCACACTCTTCCGATCATAAAAGGCCGAGCCGCCCTTCTTCCTCGTGACATTGTTCGTACCGCTTCAGCTTGAACGCTCGGAGGCGGCTGGATCACAGACCCCATCTTTCCAACCAGCGACCAAGACTCAACCTTTTGCAGGCCAAAGCTGCCACACATCAAGAACACTCTTCGGCCACAAGGTATTGGGGAGGGTTCTGCTTATTATATCAATTAGTTTGGTGCAGTATATCCCTCTTTGTGTGTCTTTTAGATTCGTTTCAAGCTAGGACCTTCAGAGGCATGGATTTCTAAACTCTCGCTCGAGCCCATGTTGTAAAGATCGGGTGAAACTCAACACAACCAGCCGTGACATGATAACATTTCAATTTATATAGCTTGGGCGGTAAGAATGAATCAACAAGCTTTCTTTCCAATTAATTGAACATCCATCTTCTTTTACGACACAAGCTCGGAATGCTATACCAACTCTGACAATGAACCTATTGCAACTTTTCGCTTCTTCCCATCTCATGTGGTTAGTTCGGTCTGCCACCTATGCAAGCATATGCCCTCGGACACCATTGCAAGCACAACTCTCCGATTTTTCGGGGCGTGATGCTTTTCCGCTGAATCTAGGAGCTGCCTACAAACCAACGATAGGAGGTGGCCAGCAGCCTCTTGACTGGAAATGGCAAGGTCCGCATACCTGCATTGGCAAATACTGCGTGTGGTCGAGCGAAACATCATCCGGAGATGGCCTGTCCATCATAACCACGAGTGCAAACAGTATGCTTGTGCAAAATATGACTACATCAATGGGCAGCACTTTCACATCTCCTGCTTTACGTACCGTGCAAATTGCCAACAAGGGCGTTGGCATGATTGCTGTTGAACCTATACGACGAGGAGAACGAATACTTGCTGCAGAACCAGTGGTCTTGGTGCACAGAAGTCTCATAGACGAGCTCACCGATGCTAGCCAACATGACCTATTGGAGATGGCCATGAAGCATTTGCCTGAAGCAAAGAGACGGCAGTTCATGGCCCAAGCAGGCGAATTTGGTGGCCACAGAATCAAGGACATTATGTTTACCAACTCCTTCCAGATCAATCTGGGTGGCCATGATGGTCAGCATTTTGGAAATTTCCCCGTGGTCTCACGTTTTAATCATGACTGCAGACCAAAGTAAGTCCCATGTTCACACCGTCATCTTGTTTAAGCTGACTGAGATATCTAGTGTCGCATTCTATATAGACGGGAACCTCACTCATCACACACACGCGATACGGGACATTGAGCCGGGCGAGGAACTCACAATATCTTATTTGGACTCGTTTAGAGCAAGAGATGTTCGACAGCAGCGAGCTCATGCATCATGGGGCTTTGCTTGTACCTGTTCGCAGTGCAGTCTGTCGAAAGATGAAGCTGACATATCCGACGCGAGGTTATATTCGATTTACAAAGAGGAAAATCTACTTGCCGACCTAGGCAACAGCCAGGTCACGCCAACAATGATTGAGCATCTCATTGAGCTCTATGAGCAGGAAAGACTGGACTTTAAGATTGCAGATGTATATACGCTTGCAGCGCTGAACTACAATATTCTTGGCATGGCTGAAATGGCTCAAAAGTATGCGCAACTTTCCATAGAACAAGGGGTAATGGAACATGGCCCTGAGGCGCCCGACATTGAAGCCATGCGACTTCTCTTGGCAAACCCCCGAGGACATTGGACCTACAACCGGAGAGTATAACGAGGTATCTTGAAACAAGGATAAATCAATCGCTGCAGCGTCGTTATATCACTTATCAAGTGTAAAGATCAGTGGAGAACCCCCCGGCTTACATGGTGACTGGCGTTGTACACTAACGATAACTTGGAGCAATACATCAACGCGCCTCAAGAATATCAGGGCACATGAATTATCCATGCATATATAGAGAGCTTAATTAAAAGAATGTTCAGAAGCAGTTGAGAGGCTATAGTGGTGTATACCCGGAGTAATGCTGTTTAATCGTTGTATTGAGTGAATTGGACCAACACAAGCGTACTGCTGCCATTTCTTCATTGAATAGAGAGGGTACAAGACAGTCACTCGAATTTGACTTTTTGGTGACACATGAGTGCCGATGTTTATACTTGGATATTGTGCCGCTTGCCTCATTGAACCCAGCGTACGGTTTTAGACTTCAGCTCGTCAATCGGTCATTGCATCAATACAATAATTAGCATACACCAGCCCCACCAGGGGATGCCAGGGTACGTCTCTCCCGTGCGGCCAAGCAGGAGCTTTGATTTCATCTTTCAGTATCGTGCATATTATTGTTTATAAAGGGGAAAATGAGCCACGAGGGAGGCAATTAGTACCAGAAAAGATCAAAACTATCAAAACATTTCACCCTCATGGGCTCTTGTTGGTCAAGCAGCCGCCCAGACCCCCACCAAGAGATGACGGATCTCACCATTCGGAACCTGACGGCGACCCCCCTGGAACTGAAGGTCGTAGAACACTTCGGGGGAGAGCCTCGCAATGGCAACTTCAAGAGCAGGATAACTGGAATCTTCAACTCGACTAGCACGTCACCCAACGGTGATGGTGACCCCAAGGAGCGCCGGGATGTATCCATACCAATCCCGTGTTTCGAAACTCGCAAGACGGATCAGGTCAAGGCGCCGGGCAAGGACGAGCTCCTGCGGCTGACCTTTGAGTCTGAAGGGCACCGGTATCAAGTCGACATACCGAGCTTCTCGCGACGCAGCACAGTGCTCAAGAAGCTGGATGACGGCCCTCGCGAGTACACTGCCGTCTTCGTTGTTGCTGCCGGCTGCCTCGCCATATTCAGCTCGGCCAACCTGGCCTCCTGGATGCGCGAGCTACGCGATGACTGGCCGCTGGCAGCGCTGTCGATCCCGGGCACGCACAACAGCCCAACCTGCCATGTTGCCCTGCCGTCGGTGCGCTGCCAGGCTGTCAATGTGCGGGAGCAGCTGGATAATGGCGTGCGGTTCTTTGACATTCGCGTCCAGACCAACCCCGACAACTCGGACTTGATCCTGGTACACAGCGCGTTTCCCATTTCACTGACGGGCAGCAAGTACTTCCAGGACATGCTCAACGACATTTATGCCTTTCTGGACGCCAACCGCTCCGAGACGCTCGTCATGAGCATCAAGCGCGAGGGCACGGGCAGGGGCACGGATCAGCAGCTCTCCAAGTACCTGCGGGAGCGGTACTGCAGCGACGGCAACAAGTGGTTCACGGAGCCGCGCCTCCCGCACCTGGGCGAGGCGAGGGGGAAGATCGTCCTGTTCCGGCGCTACGGCAACGACGCGTCGCTGGACCAGGAGCACGGTGGCCGCGGCTTTGGGCTCGACGCCAGCGACTGGCCCGACAATTGCGCAAACGAGTTGTCGGGCGGTCCGCACATTGCTCGCGTGCAGGACTTTTACGAGATCACCCAGGGTCATAATATCAGCAAAAAGGTTGACCTGGCACGCGCGCATCTCGAGCGCGCCGGTGAGCCCATCTGCCCTCCGGCTGCTGACCGGCCCGAGTATACACCGTTTTTTATCAATTTCCTCTCTGCGAGTAACTTCTTCAATGCCAATTGCTGGCCAGAGAAGATTGCGGCCAAGGTCAATCCCGCCATTATTGAGTACCTGTGTACGGCACATGCGGAACAGGGCAAGGGGCCAAACAACTTGGGTATCGGTGACGGCTGTACAGGAATTGTGGTTACCGACTGGGTCGGCCAGGCTGGCGACTGGGACCTTATACGCTGCATCGTGGGTTGGAACGCCAGATTGCAACTGAAGCAGTAGAGTTGCCTTGATTGCATGCCGGCATTATTCAGTGGAGTTCTAGGTAGGGATAGAGAAACAAAGAGGCATTCGTCAGCGGCTATCGCAGATAGACTGTCTCGTGAAAGGAACAAAATAAGAGCGTTAAGAGGATCTAGGCGAGATGCTTGATCTTCTCCCGAAAATCGCAGGAGAAGAGGATCTAAACCCATGGGCATTGCTTATGGTGTACACGAGAAACACCTGCGGCAGACATTTAAACAGCATTTCACCATTATAATAATCACAATTCTCATTCTTTTTCAGCACATACAGATTGCTTCACGGTTATGGTAATCACAAGTGTAAATGCTCATCGGTCCAAGATGAGTATAACGAAACCGTAGCAATTATATCAGTGCGTGGAGACCCATTTTGAATCACATACGCCATATTGAAATAATCAGCACATTACACTTGATCAAATGCCGGTAGCATCCACAAAATAAACTTGCATTCGGACCCTGGCTCAATGTACGGGGTGATCGCCAGGACATTACTTTGTGCAACACCCGAGGTTTCGGGACTCGGAATGAGCCTAAATCCACAAAACATGGGTCTGGCCTCATCATACATTGTGTACCAAAGTGATGCATCAGTATTTGGAACCACCTACTAGGTAAAGATGAAGAAGAAAAGATTGACCGTAAGTCGTTCTGCATCTGACTTTCATCATACTCACTGTGGCGGGCATTTATTACAGGCACTTTTGTAGCAATGATCAAGGTGTCTTTTAAAAGTGTGTTTCTTTATGCTGATTTCTTTTTTCTAATTTTACTCTTTCAAGAATGAATGTCGTGCTCCTTTTAATGAGAAGAGCAATATATTGGCCAAACGCAAAATGCTGCATCTGTGGTCTTGCCATGTAACGCTCCTCAATCCTCGTGTGCTTGCTATTCGCTACCATGGCGTCACTGTGTACCATGTAATATGCTCATCCATCCAAGATGAACGCCTTAATCCAGTTTTTGTCTCAGATGCATCCTCTAGAAGAATCACGGCAGGAGGCAGGCAGTGATACCAGCAAGCACTACCGACAACATCCAAGGCAGCATGACATTCGTGGCCGCCTTGGCGGTAAGCACTGAGCTGGCCACGGCTGAGTTGAACCCGTTGGTAGCTGTCACGGTTCCAGAGGCGCCTGCTCTGCCCGACTGGAAGAAGGTGGTTGCTGCCGACTGCGCGCTTCCGGTGATGCTGCTCAGTGGCTGCAGCGATGTGGCCGCCTCGGTGCCGCCAAGCGGCTTCAACGACGTACTAGTGGCATCTGCTGCTGCATTGCTCAAGGGCTCGAGGCCGGCGGCCGTGGTGGTCGAGGCGCTCCCTTCTGCACCGTTCAAAGGTTGGAGAGATGCCGTGGCCGCGACGGAAGACCCAGGCAAGGGCTGTAGAGGACTGTTCACGGCTGTAGCAGTGGCAGTGGCAGTTGCTGCTCCCCCGGCGCTACCCAGAGGAGTAAGTGCTGCGGTGGCATTGTTTGAAAGAAGCTCAGAAGTGGCCAGTGTCTGAGATAGGTCAGAGGTCAAGACAGATGCCAATGCAGACGTCAAGGCGGATGATACGCTTGACTCGAGGGCGGATGTCGCGAGAGAGGCGCTAGAGGAGAGTGCAATAGGCTGGAAGCCCTGAGCGGATGCCGTGGTCGTGGCTGAGGGTGCGGTGAGAACAGAAGTGGCACTATTCTCAACGGCGCTGGACAATGATGTAGCACCAGCAGCAGCATTTGGAATGGTGAAGAAACCCTTTGGGGCAGCTGATACAACTTCACTCTGCTTCATCTTTAGTTGCAACATTCCTTCTCAGAGTCTACTCGAACTTACGGATGCAGACGTCAATACGACGCTCGATATTAAGGTAGCAGCACCAGCGCCCTCTGCAGAAGTCAAGGTGACCGATATAGACTGCCCAGCAGCTCCAGTGTTTACCAAGCCGGTGCTCGAAAGAGGAATTAATGGCTGCAGACTCTCGACTTGAACAGCACTGCCGGGAATTGGTTTTAGTCCCGGGCTCGCTGCTCCATTCGAGCCATCGACGGCTACGCCTTGGGCTCCTGGCAGTCTTCTGAGTCCTTCTGTGCCATTATTCTGTCTTGGATAATTGTTTGCGAGCGTCAACCTTGCGCCAATGGTGGCCAAGACTATTGAGAAACAAGTTGACTTCATGATGAATGTGGTCGGTAAGTATTAATGAAATGATTGAAAGAATAAATTTGGTGGCAGTAAGGGTGTGATTAAAAGGCTTGATATGTTGATATATGAATGGTCCTACTTTCCAGAGTAGCTGACCTTTGTAATGAACGAAATGAAGAAGAAAAAGGTACCACAAGATCAAGAGTGCTACGACAAGATGAGTGACCGACTGCCAGGACAAAGAAGAGAGTGGCAATGGAAACCGCTTCACAGAGGGGATATGATCACCTATATAGCACGGCTCAGGACAATGCACCTATTTTGCCTAAGTGATCTGCGGCAAACATTGTTGAGAATAAGTCATCACTTCTGATCCGGGTTCAGATGGTGCCATGTGGCAAGTGACGGGCCTGTCACTTGGTTCAGACGATGAGGCCCCGCCCATGCCATTAAATTTCGCTGGAATAACAATTGAGATGTTTTGCTTTTGTGACGTTGATAGACCGTGACGAGTGCAACATTTGTGAGGTTGTATGTTTGATAGCCATGTATATCTCAACCAAAAGTGACTCCTTGAATTGAAGTTTTCATCCGAATTTGGGATGCTGTATTTAGCAATGTTCAATCGAACGTCCTGCCAAAGCTGACGTGCCATCATCTCAATAACTTGTCATGCAAGTTAAGCTTAATCGTGGGCATGATCATCCGCCCCGCGCAGCACATTTTCAGTGTTAGATCATCATGGACGGAAATGCGGAGACTGTTGCATACATGACCAATTTGAGTGTTCACGGTGTCAAGGAGCTGTTGCGTCCAATTGACAGACAAGGACCCTGGTCAAGGGTCTTCTGCACTTGGTTGGAGAGGTTGTCACAGTGCATGCAAGGGCATGAAACCCTCCTGAACGGGAAGCAAGCCAGTCAGTCGAACGCCGTGTCTCAACGCAAGCGCCAGCAGCCACATGCATCGTGATTCAGTGCCATAACAGAGTTGACCTGAAAATCTAGAACTTTTCTTTCTCAGTCAGATGCAGGATGACATAATCAGTGCCTGCGTCAGTTATAAATCGCACTTTACCTTTTTTCGACAACCATTGTAAGCTACTCGCGATGAACTCTAACTTGAGCTGAACTTTGTCTTCCCTCAGCTCGGCTACTTGTAACTCTATTAGTTCTCATTGAACGGGAAGAGTCATGCAATAGTGATTATCTAGTGAAAGAAAACTTATTCCAAGACTCGTACTGCTGAAAATATGTCACTTAATCATTTAGTTTCCAAGCTCAAGCAATGAGAGCAATATGAATATAGAAAAAAGGGTAGTTCCGCCACCACTATCAAGAAACATCTGTCTTGGAAGATTTTCCTATAAACGTGAGCCGGCATCACTGGGCAGAATAACAATGGAATTCACGACAGACGTGGCCATAATATCGAACTCTTGACCTTGTTCACTTGCTGCACTTTGGTCTCTACCATTCACTCCTGTCTTATTTTCTAATGGAGTGCCAGGATGTCGGTAGCTCCAACGTTGATATAGCAGGACTTGGTGTATGTGTACTCCTTGACCCTCTCGGCTACCTCTCTCGACCCACAGCCTCGTGACATAACTGATCTGCTCGCCAGATTGTGCTCTCCTTTACAATCCAAGGGGGGTTGTCCTTTGCTCTTTCGGCTTGGTACGCTTATCTGGACCTAAAGTGTCAGATCATCCGTTCGCGATGGTACATACAACAATCGATCGACCCAGACACGCCACCGCTGGGCGACATCAATCAAAGACGAGAACTCAAGATGATCTTGATCGCGGACATTCTCAAGATAGTGAGCGACGCTCAATTGCTTAATGGTACAGCTGCCTGAAGCCCGCCCTGTCAAAAGGCCTCCAGTGCTTACTTTTCAGCAATCTCACTATTGATCGGTGCTCTTGTTCAACGAAACACACTAAGCTTGTACCACTACCATATTGTTTACGATAGTGTGAATGTCACTGGGTATCTACACCCCAACTCCTCCTCATGAATGATGACCGCTGACGTTTGAGAAGCGTTTCTGCGGCAGCAGCAGCAGTTGTTGTGTTCAAATCACCAGTTGCAATATTTCATACCATCTACTTGGTGGCGATATATGTGTCGCTTTATCTAGCATATGCCATTCTGTTTGGCCTGCGACTTGGAAGCTGGGACAACAACGTTGCTGGATCATGCTACTACGCCAAAGGGATAACGGCTCCCATCTCGACTGATTATGATTCCTTGCCACATCCTGTTGATGACATCGCATACCTTATCTTTACGGCTACGTACCTCCTGGTGAGCCTAAACCTATGCCTAGCCCCGGCCCGCAAAAACCTTTTAGACCGCTTGGAAGATGCTGGAATTTCTGCACGCCGAGGCCCAAAGCTATTCCGTGTGATGTACTTTTTGATATACCATTTCAGCGAGCTTCTCATGGTACCCGCCTTAAATGTTTTAATTGTTCTTAGGTTCTTCCTCTGGTGTTTGAGGTCAACCCCTCGATTATACGAACGAATGGGGCTAAATATAAGAGACCGTATGAGGCCTCTGACAGCTTTGAATTCAGAGTTGCATCGTGCTTTCAGAATATATATCCAGATTATGTGGCTGTCGAGTCTGTTTGAACCGTGGTTCGGCGAGACAGGCCTGGGAGTGATGTTCTTGGCGATCGTACAGTATCCGGTCCATGCATATATGCTTTTTCAACTTCGACACGCGAATGAAGCATTCCTATCTGGCGATCCGGAGAGTTCTTGGGGATTTGGACAGGTGGTTGCGCTCGTTTTAGTTGCAGCCACGATCAAGGACTGTGTTCGCTCTTTCTCCAGTAAGTGTTTTCATCACGATTGTTTTGAACTAACGCTTGCTAAACTTGTCTAGCTTTTATCATTCTGGTTAGGAGTCGAAACGACACTAGCAAGTCTGACGAATGGAAGGAAAACATGTCATTGCTGAGGTCGCTACTTGTTGATGAAGGCATCCAATGGCCAACCACGACTGGGCCATAGATCTTTCACCGAGGCAGCAAGGCCAGCTGCTGCGCAATGGTAAGAAAGGGAAGGCGATGAATGTATCCTAAGAGCAGTACCGATAGAAAGTGTCCACTGTCTATATGATTTCCAGCGCAAGCTGTTGAGCAAATGACAAGCTTGATCACCAGTTTCTAGGCTGACATGAGTGGAGTGTTGTTTATACTATGAAAGTTGCGCGCTCTTGTCAAGCAAAAGATCATATCGGAATATAACATGCTATCTTGGCTGGTGATGCCATGCAGCTGCTCAGTGCTACTACAAGCGTGATAGCTTCGAGATTGTATTCATATATGTTCTTTGCTACCAATCATTCGGGTTTCGACGACCCGGCGCTGACGAGACGGAAGTCTGCAAGTTAACATTTAAGCAATCATCGAATTCGACCGATTCAATGGTACTTTGGGGCCAGTCCTGCAAGACTGCACGCTAATCGAGGCTTATTGCCCTTTTTTAAAAAGGATAAAAATGAAAATAAAAGACCCTTTTTTAACCAAAGGGGAAAAAAAATCTCTTGTGTATTAAGGTATTTAACATAGATCCGCTGTTTTTGGCATTGTAGATTGTTTGCTTGTATTGCTAAGGTACATTTCTTTGCGTATTACGATGATCGTCGGTTCTCCCAGCTCTTATTACACGTGACCCCCACCACAGTGACATAGAACTAGCACCAATGAGCCCCAGCCACAACTCCCTAGCCACAAGCTTTCTAGGTTTCGCGACTCTACGGACAATTTGATCACCCAAGCTTCGCGACCAACGGCGCGACTCGCAATTGAAAGTTGGATCATCAGCCTTGTCGTCGCACGCACGCAGTTCATTGCGCCAACCCAAATTGCCATTGCTGCGTTTCATCGATTGGCACGCCCGCGTCTCTGCGCAATTTTTCTAAATAGACGATCCTTCCATTTCAAACAGACACCTCATTCCGCTGTCGATTGCGCAAATCGACGCAGCTCAGCTCTCAGCCATGGCCACTATGAGCGATCCCAGCCATGGCATCCATCGCGACTTGGTGCGGCAAATTCTTTCATCATTGCTATCTATTGGTAGCCACGCTGACTCCAATCACAGCTGCCGCATGTGCATCTTCTCTCAACATTTCGATACACGCAAAAGCCACGAATCGAGGTGCAGGAAGTTACCCAGATGTTGATGAACGCGCCGTCGGTCGCCCGCGACAAGGCTCCCTTCTTCTGGACCTACCTCGATAAACCTGATAATGGCACTACTATGCTTACTTGGCAGCCGCTGCAGCTCATGGGCACAAACTTTGCCAGCGACGGCTACATTTGGCCCCCGTCTGAGCAGTACTTTACGCAGGACATGGGAAATGGCATTGTACGCTTTTGCAAAGCTATCAACTCCTTCCATTAGACTAACTTGTTAAAAAGATACTCGAAATGTGGTTTCACAAGGCCGGATATGCCTACGGCGAGCCCATGGCCTCCCATTCCCGACGAAGATTCCGTCTCTGCCCGAGCAATGCAATGAACCCGAACGCACCTCAGATCGACCCGAGTTTATGGATTGTACACTATGGTCCCATTGACAACAACGAGCGCATACCAGTCAACATGCTGCCACGCGATCCCCGTCTGCAAACTATCATGGAAGCCAGAAACTACCTACAGCGATCTGGCCAGATCCAGCGGAAAGACTTCATGCTTTCTGATCGTGTCAACTGGCCCCAGATTACGTGGCCTCGGGAGCGACAGCCCATGTACCCAGCCAATAGGCCTGTACCGCAAGCCATGGCATATCCTCCCCATCCCCAGGCAGGAGCTCCGCCCTCGAAGCGCGCGAGAACCGGCCAGGCTGGTAACCAAGCCCCTGTGGGACTTACTCCTGACGACGACGACGAGGACTACTCGCGGGGCGATGTATTTGACCATCTCACTCCACGAGAGATCAGCCTCCATCGCTATCAACAAAACCATGAATGGATGGAGGAGATTTTGTCCTCGCCATATCGCATGGGTCAAATAGGCTTTGCGAACCTCGGACTTGGACTCAAGGGAGGACTCGGTGCCTTGACTAATGGCATCTTTGAAGCCCAAGGCATCGATGCTCTGAGCAAGCCTTCGCAGTCTGCGGGAAGCCATCTTGATAAAGACCAGGCTGCAGAATTCCGAAAGAGGGTCTCCGAACACATCGAATCTACCAATGATGAGATTGCCAAAATGAAGGCCGACCACGAAAAGAGGTTGGCTAAGTTTAAGAAGAACTCGGTGCTGACTGCCGCCGAGAAGGAGCTTCGGACTGCCGTTGATGATGTAGCTCCTGGTCCTCTGAGTCTAGACCGACCTGAGGAGAATGAGGAAGATGCCCCACGTTGGACCTCAAAGCACAGCAAAAAGGTGGAGGAGATTGTGTCGCAAGTTGAAGCTCAGCTGGGACGTCGTGCCGAAGTCATCTATGATCTCAAGAGGATACAGGATGGCGGTTATCAAGAACCCGCTCCAGAGCCTATCCCCGAACCAGTTCCCGAGCCTTCGGCGGGCGGCGACTCGGAGGATGTTGACATGGGTGGCACTGCCGGCGGCCTACTTGATCAGATGCAGACTGGAGGTGCATCTTCCACGTCAACGCCTGGCAATGCCAACAACTTCCCCACACCTCAAGGTTTCTCTGCAGCTCAATCCGGCTCGGGAACACCCGCCAATGCAAACGTCCCTACTACCGCTCCTGCAGCTACCGCGCCAGCTACTGAAGCGCCTGAGGCCCCGAAGCAAGAACAAGATGTTGACATGGGCGGCACAGACATAGAACCCAGTGCTGCGGCGGCAGTCGAACATAGTAGTGGCGCTGACGACTGGGTTGTCGTTCCTAAGGGGGGTGTCTCACCTGGTGGCACAGCACCTCCACCTCCACCACCAGCAGCGGCAGCGGTAGCGGCAGCACCGCCAACCACAGCGACCCCCACTGCTCCTAGCAACGACTCGCCCGCTCCCAAGCCACCGTCGCGGCCAGCAAGCAAGCAGGCCTCGGCGAGCGGCACACCTGCTGCCGGCTCTGTGGGCTACGATGCCAACGACTTTGGCTCACTGGGCGATCTCGATAGTGCAGGCGACGCCCTAGCAAGTTTCTCCGACACACCCGCCGATATGGGCGGCGACTTCATGGAGGATTCGGCTTTTGGTGATGCGTTCCATGGCGTCGAGGCTGAAGGTGATGATAATAGTGGCAACACGCCGGCTGGCGATGCGAACTTGTAGGAATTGTTTCAATGACGGCCCCATTGATTGTCATCTGGGACATTTTTCATTTTTATAAAGTGTATGAGGTTGCGTTGGCTTGGAGGCGTTCTTGGGTGTTGACAAAATCGCAACCACAGTATCCCATGGTATTAATCCTGTCTCGTCCCTCGAATGGATAGGCGAGACGAAAAGGGTGTCATTTGTTGAGTTGCACGCTATTCAGTTGAATTATCTGGGACTGGCGGCCGAGAGTCTTGCATAGATTATCTAGTACACTCGAGTAAGAGACATAGATTGCGGACTGCTTCAAGTCAAAATTTTAGTTGTCCCTGCCCGAGCTTGTCAGGGTCTATCAAATGGGCATTCACATTACTCGAGTTTGGACAAGTTGTGTTTTTTCTTTCTCAAAAGCAATCTGCATTTTGTCCGTCTATGAGACTATGTAAAAAAACGGGGCATTACTATTTGCCCTCTGCGGATATCGCGCCTAGTTTCCTTGATCCTTTATTCATACGAAGTCATTATCCCAATCACGTCACACTCGCACCAGTCGAGAGCATTTATGCCTGGTAGGTGGAAGCAGAGACGTTTCCACCACGGCCAGTCCAGTTGACGTGAGTGTAGGCACCGACGGGGTACTTGTCGCTGGCGAACTCGGGCTTGATCTGGAAGGTGTGGGCACCGAAGTAGTCACGCTGGGCCTGGAGCAGGTTGGCGGGCAGGTCCTTGGTGCGGTAACCGTCGAACCACGACAGAGCAGTGGAGAAGCAGGGAGTGGGGATTCCGAGAAGGGCAGCCTTGGAGATGACGTCTCTCCAGCCGGGCTGGGCCTTGTGGATAGCCTTGTTGAAGAAGTCGTCAAACAGCAGGTTCTCAAGGTCGGGGTTGTTGCGGTAAGCAGCAGTGATGTCCTTCAAGAAGACGGAGCGGATGATGCAACCACCTCTCCACATGAGAGCGATGGAAGGCTTGTTAAGCTTCCAGCCGTACTCCTTGGCGGCCTATTTTATTACATTAGTCATTGAACAGCAAGTAAGTTCGGAAGAGGTGGTACGTACATCCTGCATCAGCATGAAACCCTGAGCGTACGAGATGATCTTGGAGGCGTACAGAGCCTGCTCAAGGTCCTCAAGGAACTGAGCCTTGTCACCCTCGAACTTGCTGACACGGCCACGGTACTCCAGGATGGTAGAGGCCTTGGTACGCTCCTCCTTGAGGGCAGACAGGCAGCGAGCCAGGACGGACTCGGCGATCAAAGTAACGGGCTGGCCGAGGTCAAGAGCGTTGACAGCGGTCCACTTGCCGGTACCCTTCTGGCCAGCCTGGTCGAGAATCTTCTCGACGAGGGGAGTGCCATCGTCGTCGTTGAAGTACATGATGTCACGGGTAATCTCGATCAGGAACGAGTCCAGAACACCCTTGTTCCACTGGGCGAAGATATCACCAATCTCCTTGTTGCTCAGACCCAGACCACGCTTCATGATGTCGTAGGCCTAATTTCGTGATGAGTACTCAGGAAACAGCAAATAATTGTTGGGGCTTCAGCTTACCTCGCAGATGAGCTGCATGTCACCGTACTCAATACCGTTGTGGACCATCTTGACGTAGTGACCAGCACCCTCATCACCGACCCACTCGCAGCAAGCCTCGTTGTCGCTCTTGGCCGAGATGCTCTGGAAGATGTCCTGGATGTAGGGCCAGGCGGCCTCGTCACCACCGGGCATGATGGAGGGACCGTAGCGGGCACCCTCCTCACCACCGGAGACACCGGAACCGACGAATCGGAGACCCTTTCCGGCCAGGTACTGGGTTCGGCGGTTGGAGTCGGGGAAGTGGGAGTTACCACCGTCGATGATGATGTCGCCCTTCTCGAGCAGGGGCAGGAGAGTCTCGATCCAGTCGTCGACGGCCTTTCCGGCCTGGACGAGCAGCATGACACGGCGGGGCTTCTTGAGCTTGGAGATGAACTCCTCGTTGGAGTGAGCACCGACAATGGACTTGCCCTTGGCCTCGTTGTCCAAGAAGCGGTCAACCTTGGAGACGGTACGGTTGTAGGCGCAGACGGTGAAACCGTGGTCGGCCATGTTCAGAATCAGGTTCTGGCCCCTGGATCGGGGTGTTAGTACTGCGGGCGTTATGAAGATGTACGTCCTAGAGGGACGGGGAAACATGGGGAGATTTGACTTACATGACGGCCAGACCGATGAGACCGAGGTCAGCGCTTCATGAGAGTTAGCACGATTCCGAAGAGTCCGAAATTGGAATAATAGAGAGAGATTTGTGCTGCGAGGACGGCATGAAATCAAAAGCAGAAAGCTCACACTCCTCCTCCATAGTGCCCGGTAATGCTGGCAAGTCGAGCCCTAAGACCCAGCAAGCCGCCTTTAGTCAATATGTTGCCGGCGACAAAGGGGTATTATTTTTTTTATCATGTCTTGCTCCTACTCTGCCTCGCCTTTTTTTGTCTGGAACACGCCAGAGGCTCTTGTTCTAGTCTTTGTTCTAGAAGGAGGGAGAGGGAACAGAGTTGAGGGCATCGACGGCGGGGTGGTGGGGTAGAACAGCGAGGGAAGTAAGCAGCGCTGAGGGGTTTAGAACATTGAACTTACACAGGTCCAGACATGATTGCAGATGGTTGGGAATGTCCAATTGGGTATGCGTTTGTCTGTATTCAGAGCCAGCTACGATGAAGAAGCTGGGCAATAAATCTAAATCTTCTGTCGAAGGAGGAAGGGATGGTTGTTTGTGGAAGAAAGATCAGGTAGAGTTCGGACGCGACGGCGGAACTCGTACTTTTCAATGATGTCGAAACGGGTCAAAGTGGGCTGGAGGGGTAAAATCATGGACTGGGATCCAGATGGCTGATGGGTGAGGCACTGAGGAAAAAAAGGTGAGTAGCGTCGATCCGGCCCGGCTTATTAACATGAACAGGCGCCAAAAAGTTGATTCCGCATCCAGGTTTAATATGGATCACTCGGCCCTGGGAAGTTTTATGACATGGGGGGTTCACTCATTCAGTCAGTTTTACTCTCAGTCATTCATTTATTATTCATCAGTCAGTCAGGTGTTTGTCCATGAGGCAGTAGTTGGTTCGTCCGTGGTTGTGGTTTGTGATATTTGTTCGGATATGCGCATTTGCCTTGGAGCCCCAGTTGGCCGGAAAAGGTATTAAGGTTGTTGCTGTACATGTTGCTAAGGGTGACGGATTTATATCTGACTTTTCTTCCCTGCCTCTATTCCTTTCTTCGTTTTACCAGTTTGTCATGGGGTTGAGTTATTATATGGCTTGGTGCCTGTCTAATGTGCATGCAAGCACCCAATGACATGCCATCTGAGCGCCGTGATTCCATGCATGGACATGGCCTAGCCTCAAAGACGTGGTGGTGTGTTGTAGTAGCGACGGGATCAATTGCTCGTTTCTCTGCAATGGGCGGCGGGGCTTACTCAGGACTAGGTATCCCGTCCTCCCAACGTCGGCGCCCGTTTTGATCTGGATTTAGACTCTTGTCAAGCAGGTCGAAACTATCTGGATTCATGTCATAGCAGATATAAACGGTTGGCGAGAAGCTACACACAGAATATTCCTACAAGTCTACACTAACAAGAGAACCAATCATGCCAGCAATGCGCTTTGATATCTCCAAAGTTGTTACTAAGACCCGACCCGTGCCTGCCCACGTCCACTACACGGCGCATTCGGAGTATCTATCTACATGATCGCCCAGGAGCCGACTCGAGCTTACGGCCCCAGGGAGATCCTGATACCGCCACATTGACAATGCAACAGGATCATGTGTTGCCTCTTCATCCTTGCTCGGACAGTTGCTCGTGAGGTATTTGCACCCAGAAGTCAGATAGCAGTTTTATGCTGGCATTGGGCCCCTTCTGCTTCTTCTTCACGTCGCACATTCGGACGTTTCGAAACCCTCATGCCTGGCGACCTACCTGGATTCTACCGTGACGGAATAGGGATTGGGGGTTCCAGGTCCTTTGTCCTGCAGCCCGCCTGGCCCCCCAAGGCGCCCCCCCTCCCTGCCACGGCTCGGGAGTGGTGGAAGCTCTGACAGAATATTTATGGACCTGGACGACGCTAGTTAGTAACAACCTCCTGCTCTGCTTTCAAAGCTTCATCAGCCTCATCTGTCCAACCCGTTGATGGTTCTGGATCGCTTTTGGAGCTGGAAAAAAGTGTCCAGATCACTGTTGATCCTTATATCTATATGCATGGTTTATGGAGTCCTTTGATACACCCATATCTACTCCGTTTCATGCAGGTCCAATTGAGTCGGGATTTGTTGGGAATACGCCTTGGGTAGGAGGCAACGCATGGATGTTTCATAGGTAGGCTCCAAGCTACATTCGGTGTACGCTACTAGGAGATAGCACGCAACGGCCGGACAAAGTAGAAACACATGTACCAACGATATACCATTGGTACACTCACTAGCTTCGACGGATACTGTATGACCCAATCCCGTTCGTACCTTTTGTCTAAGTTGACATATACTTTCATTACCCGATTCATATTGACGAGCGGCAAGTGAATGCGACTATAGAGAAAAGAAACGTTTGACTATAATATTTTATAATGGGCAGCGTTGCCATGCAGCAAATCACGATACCGGACCCAAGGACTGAATGTGACGATGCTTCCTTCTCTCGATTAGACGAGTACATACTGTAACATGGGATTCCATAATGTACCATCCAGGTCTCTCCTTCTCGCGCCCTACCTACCTTAAAACGTCATTGGGAGGAGCTCGACACTTGTTGCCCCGAAAATGTCGCATATACTAAGGGGCCCCGCCGGTTGCTCCCCCTACGACGACAAGTCCCTCCGACGACTTGCCAGCCCTCCGTAAGCGGACTGGCGCCAGTAATTAACGCAGACCTCGTCGTGCCTATGGATCTGTTATGGCTGCAAGGCTACAAATTGCCTCAAACGAGGTGGTCATGAGCCAACACCAACGGAGGGGGGTGTTTAATGCACTCCAAATCTCTGGCTGCTTTCCTACCGGACAGAGAAAACAAGCAGACATTCTGCGCTGAGCATGGTCGCTATCGTGGAGCGCCACCACTTTGTGCTCGAAACGGACAAAATCCGCGCATGCCTGTTGTTCTTGGCAGAGCCGAATCAACGGGCCCGCTATCGGGCCTTGTATTGGGCAATACTGCCCGTCGTTTCCGGAGTCCGAACATGATGGAAGAAAGCAGCCGCCCCTCCACAGCAGAGCTTATGAATCAGTGCAACACGGTCACCGACGACAAAAGCAGGGTGGCTATCACCGACAAAAGACAGCCACTCCCTGAATTGTTAGGACTTAAGGAGCATTACACAGCATCAGATAGATACTCGTACTAGTAAATCCCTGGGCCAGGTCAAGGGCTTTCCCGCTTTCCTTTCGAGACTTTTTACAAGGGACTTGGAAGCCGGTGATAAAATTAGCGGATAGCAGATGGGTGACATTTGACGCTAATGTAAATCAGTGTGGCTTAACGCCGAAATCTGTGGCGCGCCGCCACATGCCAGCACCATTCAATGTTGAAGGTGGGCTATTGGGTACGTACTGCAGCGCTAATGGACTGCCCACTCATGTACACTGTAAGGCTGAAGTTGGCAAGGCCGAACAGCATTTTCCCACACCATTGAATGAAGAACTGGATACAACTCCAACGTCATCGTCAGAACCACCGTCATTGATACCAAAACGACGCGTGATCAATACAAGAAAAAACTACAGTGACCTATTAGCGCTTGTTTCTGGCGACCTCACTGTCGCGACAGAAGGGACAAAAGTGAGCAAAGTCTCATCGCTAGAGCTGGGCTCATAGGTACGTTTTGCGTCGCAAAGATCAACGTTCCCCAACGGACAGCAAATTCATCATGCCCTACCCTCCTACTTCAGGTGCCGCGAACTCCTCGTCGCTTCCTCCGCGGCCACCGCCTTCCAAAGTTTCAGGCTTCAAGCCGGCCTTCTCAGCAGCGTCAACACATACACCCAGTCCAGTGTCGGGCAGTCCATACACACCTCCCGCCTACTCGACCGCCCCTAGTTATTCGAACCCCCCGAGCTATGCAGGCGCACCGGGCGCATCAACTGCCCCATATGGTGGTGGCCGAGGTCAGCCTTACGCGAACTATCCGCAACAGGGCGCCGTAAACTACAACCGCGGCTACCAGCAGTCGGGTTACCAGCAAGGCCCATATGGTTCTGCCGCCCCAGCAGATAGCAGTAGCTATGCTGGCGCACCACAGATTAGAAATCCATTCCCCGCTCCTGGTCAACCTCAGCAGCTGCAGCAGCAGCAGCAGCAGCATCAGCAGAACAGCGACTATGACCCCGATATGGCCGCACAGATTGCCCAATGGCAAAGCGCCTATGTCAAGGACCCGAGGGACACCGCCGGGGCTGTCGCTCGACCTGGTGCGCCGACCACTACCTACTCGGCCAACCCCACCACGGTCACTGCTCCAGCAGTGCCTGTGGAAGGAGAAAAGAAGAAGACCGTGGTTCGACAAGGTGGAGGCAAAAAATGGACCGACGATTCACTACTAGAATGGGATCCTGCTCACTTGCGCCTCTTTGTGGGCAATCTGGCTGGTGAAACCACCGATGAGTCATTACACAAGGCTTTCTCGCGCTGGAAGTCGCTCCAGAAGGCTCGTGTCGTTCGAGACAAGGTCACCAGCAAGAGCAAAGGCTTTGGCTTCGTTAGTTTTAGCGATCCCGACGACTTCTTCCAGGCCGCAAAGGAGATGAATGGCAAGTACATCCAGAGTCACCCTGTCGTGGTGCGCAAGAGTACCACTGAAATCAAGTACGTAATTCTCCAATCCGACAAACAAGTTAACAAATGTACTGACAAGCTTGGTACCAGACCACATACAGTCAAGGACAAAAGACATGGAGGTAAATGGAACAATAAGAACAACAACAGAAACCGTAGTGGCAACGGAAGTGGTGGAAGAGAGGGCAGTTTTGAACCTTCCCTCGGCCCTGCCAGCGGCGGCGTAGTCAAACCCGGACAAAAGACCAAGAACGGTCTCAAGCTACTCGGCTAAAAGCTTCCCGCGAAAAAAAAGAAAAAAAATTCACTTATTGCCATTGTGAACAACAATTCAATCTTAGGCTAGTATAACACTATCACTTCAGTCCGACTGACTTGGTTGAGACCATGGATTACAACAGACGCCGGAGGCGACTTGGATTTGTTCTCCCTGACTTATTCCTTCAGAAGCAGTTTATAAGTGAAGCCGCCACGAGAAGTCTCTAGTGGAAATCACGATGTTGGGTTATTTCTAGACATTCTGCACACAGCGGATGACATTGACCTGGATAGAGCCGAGGAATAGCATGAACAATCAGGCTATATTGATACTGTGAAGATAAGATTGGAGGAAATCCGATAGATACACCGTAATTCATATTACAAGTCATCCCAGATAAGCACATTTCCACATGACATTCAAAAAAAGTCGCTTCGAGGCTCAAGCTCATTTTCTTATGTCAGATTCGGCACTGAATCTGCAACTGGCCTACTCGTGGAATATAGGACATGTCAGCACTACATGACCATGCAGACATTGACAAGCAGGGGACCAAGGCGAGGCAGCACTATGTAACGAGTCCACGTATGAATAAGGACGTAGAGCGCGTTATCAGATTGTCGAATAAATGTTATGGATTCGAGGTCAAATGATTTGAGAAGGATGCGATGTCCATGGACCAGTATTACCTTCGTATCACGCCTAGGATGCTTCACTGCAGCCTTGACACATGCCGATCATGTGTACTCTCCTATTACAAGGTAATACTAGAGCTGTCACCGGTCCGCAAGGGCAGCCAATAAGGATGAAATCTTGCACCTCTAATGGTCAACGGCCCGAAAATAGTTCATCTCAAGGGGAATGGCAGGCCTATAGTTGCGGTTTTCCGTCATCCCATTCAACACCTACACCGAACAAAGCACTACATTGCATACCCCATATACGGAGCTGTCCTCTTGGATCTACTTTTCATTTTGTGCGCAGAACAAGGTATTCTGAATATCATTGTAACCATTGCACAAAGACTTTTTCATCTTTTCATTAGCACGAGCAATCAGTTTAGGGCGAGGAAGGTTTAGCCTGGAGACCATTCTTTGTCGCTGACGAACGCGCGCTATATAATCTTCAACAAAGTTGTGTATGCGACAAATATCGTATGCGGGCACATTCCATTATGTCCTCCCCGGCAAACAATTGGCACAATATGCAAATCGTTGCAAACAAAGCCACTCGGATATGCTCAGACTGGCTCAAGATGAAGTATATAAACGAGATACGATGGACTCACAAGTTCTGGTTGTACACGACCATAATCATACAGCAACCGCAAGAGTAAGTAAGCCTCTTCAACATATTCACCAAAGATTCAACACAGCTCATATTTCAATTTCTCAAGAAAAGTCAAAATGTCTGCTCGTCACGATATCGCAATTAAGCCTGCAGAGCTTCTGGGTATTTTGCACATACCGATTCGCGGTCTAGAGGCGGCAGCCAAGACGAAGGTGTTTTACACCCGGAAAAGGATGGACAAGAATGGTCGCATGGTCGAACAACGGTGCGAGGCGGGAGTCGAGGTGGACAGGACGCCCTGCAGCGTCCAAGTGCAGTTTGAGGTGCCCCTGGACCACCGGACGACCCGGCACCATGATTTCGAGCATCTCAACATTGTTCTCACTTCCACATTCGTCTTTGGAGGCCTGGAGACGGGTAGCATCAAGACAGTGGAGGAACTCCAGAGCCAACTCAAGCAAAGGGAGAACATTACCGTCTTTCTCTGTGGTGGACCGGGAGATTACAACCCAGCGGAGCGTAACCCGCTGTTCAACGTCGAGTATCTCAAGAATGATGGGTGTCTAATCTTCCTAGACTACAGGGGCACCGGCTCCAGTCATGAGATTCGAGACAGGAGCAAGCCTGCCCGGCACGTTGAAGAGGTACAGCTACAGCAGCGTTACATTAACCTGCTGCGACCCGAACCATGGGTCAGGAAGGCCGACAAGAAGCCTCCGAGGAACGAGACCGAAGTCAGGGCCATGGCGAATCTGCTCAGCCTCTTTCGCCAGGACAGCATCGTGTACGACCTCGAGTCGATCCGCCAGTGCCTCTTTGGGCCGGGCAGCACGCGCAAGTGGAACATTTTTGGCCAGTCGTACGGCGGCTGGGTGTCGCTCACCTATCTGTCGCAGTACCCAAGGAGTCTCGCGAGCAGCACCATTACCGCCGGTCTCGCACCGATTACCGCGAGTCCCGACGAGGCATATTCAAAGCTGTTCCAAGTAGTAAAGGAGCGTAATGACGCATACTACCGGCAATACCCCGATGATATCCATAGGGTCAAGCGAATTGTCGAGTATCTGCTAGACTACGAGACCAACCGCAACCCGGGTGTCGGTCTCGAGATTCAGAATGGTCGCCTGACGGCGCGGCGTTTTCTGTGCATTGGCCGCGGCCTCGGTGCTCGAGATCGATTTTCCCGGTTGCATGACCTTATCGAACGGATGTATGAGGACCTTGAGGAGAGTGGAGATTTGGATCGGAGGACCCTTGACTTGTACTGCTCAAGTGAGGACAGCTGGGGTTTCGACCGGCGACCGCTGTACGCCGTGCTTCACGAGGCCATGTACTGCCGAGGAGCCGCGTCAAACTGGTCAGCCCAGCGCGTGGCTCGGAGCATGCCAGAGTTTTCATGGGCCGGGGTGGGTCGGGAAATCTCAGAGCTTCTTCTCGGTTCACAGTGCAAGCAGGAGAGCGACGAGTACAAGATCTACTTCTCTGGCGAGATGGTGTACCCCTTCATGTTTGAGGACTATGACGCTCTCGTGCCGCTCGCCGGCGTGGCTGAAGCGTTGGCTCGACATGTCTGGGTCGACCCCTACAACGATGAGGCTCTGCATCACAACCAGGTCCCCGTGTATGCCCTCAGTTACGAGTCTGACATGCACGTCAACACGGAACTGGCCAAGGCAACTGCTGGTGTTATTGGTAAGAACGCAGACAAGGATGCGCGGGTCGTGCCCATCCGACACAAGATCCTGACCAAGATTCCGGGCAATGGGCGTGACTTTCAGCATGCATCGCTCCGAAGTGATGTAGAGGCAGTATTGAGAGAGCTCAAGGACTTGATCAAGGGGTCAGAGTAGAGGCTGTCAGGATGTGTCTTGTTGTCTATCTTCCTTTACTTCATATAATGTGGGTAAATTTTGGTAAGTCACTATCTTGGTAAGTCATAGAAACAGAATGCAACAGTAGACAATAGAGACAATAGTAATTGGAGTTCTGGTACAAAAAGAAGCCCGAGTATGCACAATTGTGATTCCCTCCTTGTAAGTATACATATAAGTATGAACAAGAATACGATGGTGCAACATTCAAGGTGGTTGTCTTGGCAAGACTATACAATATTTATAGTGATCAAGTGTAAACCCTTTCATATGGGGAGGGTTTTTGATAGTGTCTATGTGACCTAATACATGATTGACTACCTTTCAAATGATATTCGCTGACAGATTAGTTGAGCGCCATGTTAGTCTACCTAACTAGGTATGCACCAGAGATGATTGTGCTGTCCACATTAAGGACAGGTCTTATCATCTTGTTACTCGGCCAAATTGACGGTACAGGCGGCTAACCATCAAGTCTTATACCCCGAACGGACGAATTGCAGATTACCTGATCTAGTAATTTGCATGGTAAAAAACGAGCTCACGGAATGGCACGAGCCGCCAGCGAGCATGTTTGAGCAAATTGACCCTCCAGTTTCGTTTACCCGGGTCTCCACACCTACATCAAGAGGGACGGGACCCCTGGGCCGACGCGCGACAATGTTCTAAATGGAAATACTATTATTCGCTGTGACAGCATGGTATCAGATACAGGGTAGTCGTGTGTAGATTGGGTTGATTTCAAGGTGGGTTACTCGGAAGAGGATAGAAAATAAATCCATATGACTTCCTCCGCCGTCGTTTCCATATTGTTTCCTTTAGGTAGTCTACCATCGTTGATTTGAATGACTGCATGCCATTTGCGCCAGTGAATGGAGTGCCTAAAGACATTCCTCACTCCTAGTCGATAGTTGTTCATCTGGACTGGAAGAATTACGGATTCTTTTTGCAGTGTCACCGGGAAACAGAACGGCAACGAGGTCGAGATGGAGTCAACAATGTGGCTCGACCAACCGGTCACCTTGCACGGTTCTCGCGAGGACGAGTGCGAATTGACTGCAGAGCAATGTGCATACCGTGCTGGACATTGGAGATATTGGCAAGCATTACTTGTTTTTGAATGTTAAAGAGGACATTCACTAATGATTCCGATACTCCAGGTACATAGCTGATTGGGTCTATGCCCTCGGAACCATCTACTTTTTCGTTGCGACGATAGCAGTGTGCACATTTGGCTTCTGGGCCTTGCGGTTGGCTCCCAAGTCGTTACGAGCCAAGAAGCCGTGGCAGAAGCTGATAAGCAGTTTTCGTTTTCTGGCTTACAGGCACTCAAACTCGAGGGCATTGTATAGCTATCTGCCATCGCTTGGAGTTGGCATCTTATTGGCGATTGGTGCCGTCTTCTTCTTTGGTAGGCATATTTGATATTGTGGTGCAAGAGTTTTAATATTAACTTTCTCCTGGTAGCAATGACTTTGGGACCTCAGCCGTATTACTGGCCCAATACGAGAACATTGACCTATGCCGGCTCACCGCCGATCGCGACAAGGGCGGGATGGATGGCTCTGGCTTGCCTGCCATTTGTTGTGTAAGTTTGCACTCTATAGCTCTTGAGTGATGAACTTTTTCTCTGACTGGAAGCTAACGAACTTACCAGAATCCTCCCTACCAAGGCCAACACAATTGCCTCCTTCACCGGCGTGTCCCATGATCGTCTTATCGTTTTCCACAACTGGGTCGGCTGGGCCATGTTCGTCCTTGCACTGATTCATACGTTTCCATTCATCATATACCACAAGTGGAAAGGAGATTTAGATATGCAGTGGACCATGAGTATCTTTTATTGGTCAGGGACTGCTGCGCTCATTTGCCAGGCCTATCTACAATTCATGTCAATCTCGTCGATTCGGTAAGATTGATGACTATGCGTTGGAGACATTTTCACTGATTTCTTCTTGTTCTATATAGGAACCGATACTACGAGGTCTTCAAAGTCACGCACTTTGCCGCGGCCATCCTCTTTATACTGTTCTTGTTTTTCCACTGCGACTATACACTCAGCTCCTGGTAGGATTCCTTCAATATTTCTACTGTTACGACTCTGACACTTTCATAGGGATTACTTCATCGCTGCCGGCGTCCTTTATACCCTCTCATGGTTATATTCCCAGACGAGAACCTACTTCGAGCACGGAATTTCTTGCAAGGCCACTTTTGAAATGGTTTCGGATGTTTGCATGAAGATTACGATCTCGATTGACGCGAAATGGACGACGGCCCAACATGTTTTCCTGCGTTTCATTACATTGAACACGCACTCTCTGACGGCACATCCTTTTACAATCTGCAGTATACCGACTCCTGACAAGGTTCCCGGGAAGACCAAGATGGTATTTTATGTGCAGCCCCGGGGCGGCACAACGGGGCGCTTGGCCAAGATTGCAGCAAATCAGCCTGGATACACTGTGCCCGTCTTGATCGATGGCCCGTACGGAGGCGTTCAGAACAGGCCATTGACAGAGTACAATCGCAGCATTGTCGTAACCTGTGGGTCGGGTGCGGCTCTATCTCTTGGCACGGCCATGGACGTTATTGTCAAGTCCATTCCCAGTAGCCGTGAAAAATCGGATCACCGCATGCACATTGTAATTGCGACTCGGGATCGGAGCCTTGTTCAATGGTTCGAAGACGCTCTTCTCGCATTCATGGAAGAGACACGGACGTCTTGGCCACAAGACCAGCTCGAGATTTCTATCTACCAGACTGGCTTTATAGATTCGACTCGTACTTCTTCTGATGAAGAGAAGGGCGACAGCAATAAAGTAACGAGCATAGCGCAAGGTAAACTTCCTATAACAGTCTATTCGGGCAGGCCAAACATTTCCGCCCTCGTCCGGGAGGCGACCTTGGAATCAAATAGCACCGTGGGCATCCTCGCGTGCGGCCCTGCAGGTGTGCTTCAAGAGGTCCAGAGCGAGGCCGCTGCTGCGCAATTACGCATCTTGAAGTCTGAAGCCGGTGCAAGAGAAGTATATCTGCACTCGGAGCTGTTTTCGTAAGTGGGACAAGAATCCTTCCTTGATGAGTGCCCGAGGCTAATTTGACTGTGTAGTTGGTAAACATCAAAGGGACTGTGTTCCTTGGAATAGATGACGATGCTATGAATATCTAATGAACCAACAAATAATCAAAAGAAATTTTTAATAGCAACTTGTTCAATGTGATAGCTGACTTTAGGAATTCGTTTCCAGACTTGACCATGTCGCACTACAAACAAAGTACCTAGAATATCGAAATACAGTATACAAGAAGACCCTTGACCGACAGACTTGGCAATGCCGATCCCCCAGCCCCTCCTGGTAGGTAACAGGTATATTGGGTAGTTTATAGTATACAGAGCTAAACAGGCAACTAGAAATGGTGCTATGTTTTTTTATAGGTCTCCCCGCCTTTCTGAGCATTCTGCAGTTTTGCAGCTCCTCGGACACGGACAACTGACACGAGAATGATTAATCAGTAGATGCTTGGAGTTTCGATTTCTGGGATACAGAATTCGGCACTGATTGATGGCAACCGATTGCAATTATTGGAGGTGCTCGGAACAGTCATCAGATGGTGCTGAAGCATCGCCAAACAGATCGAGTAGGAGCGACGCCAGGATGTTGAAGCCCTACCGGCAATAAACAGATAAGGATGAGCAAGTTTACGCTCAGATGTTGGAGTGGAATCCGGAGTCTGAAAGTGTGTGTGGTTCATTCTCACTGTTTAGTGTCGAGGTGGACGCGCGGGAGTGGCGCCAAACTGGGATTATTTGAGAGAGATTGAGCAAGTTTTCTTGGGGGGGCAGAGAAGGGACGGATCTGCACGCTCTCATCTCAATGGACAAACAAGCACCCAATGCACCCATGGAAAAGAAGAGAGGGCTTTTTTTGTGAGAGGGAACAGTCTACTTTCTGTTCCTGGTAAAACATGCAGCGTTTTGAGCAATTTTGGCTGACGGACCACAAAATTCGTTAAAAGACTGCGACTGGCTTACCATTGAAGGTGGTATCCAAAGCCTCTCTTCATTTTACCAACAGCTTTTCGTGTAAAGTTCAACAAACACAACTTTTGCCGGATTCCATATCCACAATCAAGTTGGGGCGATCAATTGAAGACACAGTCCAGATCGGTACAAAAAGACAAGCAAACCACATCGAACAAAACTGACATAATCAAATTCCGTTGCCGCCGCGAAAATGGACATGTCTGGAATGACAATGGCAACCGCCACCTCTACCGACATGTCGGACATGTCCATGACAATGACGAGCGCAATGTCCACATCCACCAGCAGCATGGACATGGACATGTCATCATCCAGCCTCATGACCTCGTCGGAAATGGCCATGGTGTTTTTCCAGGCCGTTACAACACCCCTCTTTGCCTCGGCATGGACGCCCACCGGCAATGGCTCGTACGCCGGCACCTGCATCTTCCTCATTGTCCTGGCCGCTCTCCACCGCGTCCTACATGCCGTCAAGTCCATTGTCTTTGACGCGAGGTGGCACGGCCGGCAGAGACTCATGTCCGAGGACGAGGCATCTGGCAAGGAGAGAGCCGATACGCCGGCGCGACAGCTGCAGTCTGAGTGGAACAGCCATCCCTTCCGTGTGGCGACCGAGACGGCTCGAGCATTGACCGAAGTAGTCGTGGGCGGTATCGGATATCTACTGTGAGTTCCAATAATGTTCATGGCTGAACCACATGAATGAGACCCACGGCTAACGATTGCTGAAATTTAGTATGCTTGCTGTCATGACCATGAATGTCGGCTACTTTCTCTCGATACTGGGTGGTATCTTTTTGGGTTCCTTCTTGGCTGGACGATTTGGTGGCCCTGCCAGCCATTAATGAGATATGATAATGACCGAATAAACTTTACTTGTTGCAATTGCAAGGCCATATTTTATGTCCATTGTTCCAACATGACGACTTGATCACACGCGAAATGGTGGCCACATGTGCCTCGGCTTTGGAAGAAGGCTCTCATGATCCAACTCAATAGATCAAGCCTTTGGTTCTAATCTAGCTGGTATACATTGCAGTTCTCAAAGAGTATACCTGAACTGTGGGTTCTTCATATCCGTCAGGTCGTCCTCGTACGCATGCTCAAATGCCTCCATTTCGCCCGTCTTGTCTCGGCGCCGATTTTCCCATGCGCAAACGAGTCGGTAGACTAAAGCCAACGCTATAGCCGAAGCTGTAGTGGCGACTGTAGTGATCCATCCGGTGGTATAGTGCGGAGCCTCATTTGCCTTGAATACGAGCGGACCGAGAAAATTGCCTTGCCAGTAACATTAGCCATTTGTCCATATCAACTTGATGTCCCTTACCTAAGCAATAACCGACAAATATCCCACTTGATCCAAGTGATCGCTTGGTATAGCTACACAATCTTTAGCCCATCATTCGATTTGTGACAGCCATATAGACTCTTACCCAGCAGTATTCGCGATCTGGAGACTCATCAACACTGCATAACCACCACCATAGCTGGCCAAGATGTACACGGCAAACAGTCTCCCTCCAATGGCACTGATTGGTAGTTGCCAAAGCAAAAGACATGCCAATAGTGAAAAGGAAGCTGTAATGGCAACCAAATAGCAGCGCAAATTCGCAAACTTCATTGCAACGAATGGCACCATGAGTTCAATAGTTCCAATAACCGCACCCGCGGGCATGACTAGAAGAAGAGATTCAAGACCGGAGAACCCAAGATCGGATATGATGATTGGTGTGAAAGTTGAAATGGGCCCATTGACTACCAGTAAAAGGAAAGCCATGGCAAAGGCAAGCCAGAACTTGACGTCGGCTAGCAACTCTACGAATTGCTCCTTTTTAAAGTGTGTGTTGCGCACGCCCGAGTTGTTTGTCCGCATTCTTGCGACTGCTATGTAGCGTTCCTAGCACCAACAAATCAGTCAATGGTCAAAGCAGGTAGTCTTGATTTAGCACTTGCGCGTTCCGAAAGTCGTTTGGCACGAGTTGGATCTGGCGGTAACAGGAACAGAATCACGAATGACCACACTACTGTGATCAAACCCGCAACAATGTACATATATCTCCACGGTGACAAGGAGCCAGAAATGTGGCCCAAGCCATAGTTGATCAATGGCGCGACAATGGACACATATCCGGTAGCGCAATACCAAGCCCTATGACATTTCAGGTCAGTTCAACCTTGATTTCCTCTTCATCTTGCTTACCCCATTCGAAACGCTTGTTCTTGCTTCTTATACCATCTATCGAAATAGTCAGCCTCGGCCAAAAAATCAAATCAACCCGGACATGGAGAGCACAAACCCTCCTACCACCAACATCCAAGCAGGACTAACACCACTCTCCAAGAGGCCGAGAAAGAACCGCTGGGCGTATAAGCCTTGGTAGGTCGTACACCCTGCCGTGGTGGTGAGGCAAATACCCCAGAGGAGGACGATACCAAACATGACTCTCTCAATCGGATATCGCTGCGCCATGGCAATAGCAGGATAAGCGCCACAGATGAATCCGAGATAAAAGATGGAGGACGAGAACGAGTAGCGCATGCCTATTCCCAGATCCAAGTCTTGAATCAAACCAAACAGAGCCTTTATATTTTTATTACAACCCCCCAGAAATTAGCAATGATTTCATCAATGTTTTTGGTCTTTTGCTCTTGGAAGCTAGAGTTGCTCAGGGTTGGAAAGGGGGGGATGGGGGAACATCTTACAGCTTGCGCGAGCATGGCTTTGTCGTAATACTGCAACCCATAGGTTGTCACGACAATGGACAAGAGCTGCCGATCAATCTTTCTGACGAGTTTCTTCTCCTCCTGCTCCGTCCACGTCCGATCCCCTGCGTACGCGTCGAGGACGCGGATGGCTTCATCGTGGTGGACGGTATCGAGCGTGGTGGTTTTCAGGAGCTCCTCGACATGTTCGTGCTTGGTGGCTGCTGCTGCCTCGATATCTTTATCCTCGTGGTCATGATGAATTTGATTTTTCACATTGCTATTTTTCGTCTCGTCTGAAAGGGTATCGATACCCGGGTCTTGTCTGGCTAGTCCGTTCCCCTCGAGCGTGGTGCTCGGCTGTGCCCCAATTACCCCAACTCTTGACGTATTTGAGGACATTTTCGTTATTGATGCACGGAATTTGGTAAACTTGAGAAAGATGGACAATCAAGTCAGACAGAGTATGCTGTGAATTTTAATGACTGTGCCAAATTCTGAAATTGACGGTCTGGGTGAGCCATGGGATATTCTCTTATTTATATTCGATATTCTGATCCATTTCTTGTCTACAGAACCAATCAGGGCTATCAATACATGCAGTTTCATGAGCTAATAGTCATTTAGATTGCGGGGAATGTCTTGGGAGCGAGATAGAACTGCAGATGCCGCGGTACAATTCTTTTTAGAACAAGCCAGCTCTTTAGTCTCTAGTAAGCAATGCTCATACGCTGAGCTGAATGGCTGATTGAGATCGTCTTTATGAAATTTATATCCTCTGGAATTGTCCTCTTTCTGCTTAGCAGTATGATCATCTTCAAGGTTTGCAGATGTGTGCGGTTAATGATAGAACAGTACTCCTACATTGAAACGACTTGCACGAGAGAGACAATACCCACTTTGAATACAATATGCGAATGCTTGATATGACAGGTAGTTTACCTCGTTTGCGTAGTAGTACGCTTGTGAAGAAAGTCGTCATCAGACAGATCGTCAGCTTGGGAATATTGTAAAGTCCATGAAGCCTACAGACCAGACTGCGAAAAAAAAAAATTGAATGAAAACCAATGGAAATTTCTGGTAGTGAAAGGATCGAAATCTGCAGGCCAAAGAACAATGAACCCCGTTTGCAGGCTCTGGCGAATGGAATTAGCCCTCGGTTTTTCCGGTCAACTAGGAGGGGTTAAATACCTAGATAAAACGTGAAGCTATCACAGGTCCTCGGGTTTGGGTCATGACCTGGATAATCAAAACTGTAAACTAGTTAGGCTAGTGGGAGTGGTCTTTAGGCTGCTCGGTCTCTTTTTTCTTGATTCAGTAGTTCGATCCCAGTGGTGTTACTTTTCTTTTTCCCTTTTTTTATCCTCTCCCTTTTTCCAACACAGTCCTCTATTTTATTTCACATTCAAATCGCATGCTGTCTTCAAATGTCATTACATCAAATAGTTCGTGCTCAGGGCAAGAATATAGAATTGCACAGCGGAAGGCGATGTATGGCAGAGTCTAATCACCATCAGGGAAGTATTTGGAAAGATAGAGATCAGGATGTTCTCAGCGAACAGATAGAAGTAAAGCGGCAGAGGCATAAATAGCACAAGTCCCACGCGTTTACGTGAAACAGATATTGGAAGCATTCATTGATAGTTCGCAAAGTGTCATGAGTGTCAATTGTTAATACATTCATGAAGATGGAGACGAAATTGCGTGACTGCCTCCTGATGAGCTAGAGACAGCCTTTACATGGAATATCTTCAGACCGCATAAGAGCACAAGAAATTGGTTCAATAGTGGAAGGCGCGTGTATTTCAAAAAGAGTATAATTTCCAACCACTGGAACACAAACGTCTAATGGCCGAGTCGTTAAAGAAGCTCTTGAGTGCGATGGCCACCAAGGTGAAGTCTCTCTGTTCTGATGAGAGGATTCTACGTGAGGGGCCCATGGCTCGAATTCAACGAAACCACCAGGGCCGTCTGTACGTTTTGGCTTTTGGATTCTTATAATACATTTCCTTTCCCCTTCCTTTTCCATATCTTCCCTTAAGCTTGCCATCTACGTGTTGATAATTTACACATGTTATCCTCTTCAAGTCAACTATTAAAGTCAATATAATGTTTTAGTACCGGTGGAGATTGTATGCATAAAAAGCTCATGACAGTGTTGGTTGTTTGATACATTTTGAGGTGGAAGAATGGTTGCTTGTTATACCTGGAATACTCACATTTGGCGTTTGCTATACTCTTATGCATACATAACTTTATGCCGATATTCTGAGCCAATACCAATTGAGTCTAGCTTCAGCCTTAGGTACGACATGCACGGGCCACAGATTTAACAGCAGTTTAGGTTCACAGCCAGAGAGCTTGACGCGAGTCTCAGCTGCCTTGAGCTCCAGCTCTGGCCAACCAACAGGCCAGCCCGCCAGCGAGTACAGAGCACGTTAGCAGTCATCAATCAGCAGCATACCTACCAGACCCAGGCGCAAGGCAAGCCTTGTCAACGTCAACCATCTACGCCAACACCAAACAAACCGAAAACCTTCGCCCTCTTTGGACCTTTCCATTATCGCAGTCCATTGATTTGTATCACCACCAACTAGACTTCTAATACGTACCACACTCCTTCCGAAATACAAGCTCGGACGCCCCCCAAGTCAAGCACCAGCGACCACCACCACCACCACCACCAACACAAGCCTCGAGATGGATACCCTCGTAGCCCGATACAGCCGTCCGGCTGCCTTCACGAGAGAGACGTACGCCGAAGACCACCAAGATGAGCTCCACGATGATACCACTCCCAGCCTATCTCTCAAGTTCGCCATGCCCCCAGTAGCACAAGTAAGCTCTGACTCTAGCTCCGACTGCTTATTGCCGGCCTTGCTGCGTTCCCGCAGTATCGCCAGCAACATCTATTACCTTTCATCACAAGCTGACCATGTCCTCCACCATAGCCCTCGGCATGGCTCCGTGCAGCAACCGATGACCGTGCAAACCCCCAATGCCCCATCAAGATTGCCCACGGTACCACCACCCTCGCCTTCCGCTTCCAGGGCGGCATCATTGTTGCCACAGATTCTCGAGCCACGGCAGGCAACTGGATTGCCTCGCAGACCGTCAAGAAGGTGATTGAGATCAACGATAAGATGCTGGGCACCATGGCCGGAGGTGCTGCCGATTGCCAGTACTGGCTCGCCTGGCTCGGAATGCAGTGCCGCCTACACGAGCTACGACACAAGCGCCGCATCTCCGTTGCCGCTGCCTCCAAGATCCTCGCCAACCTGGTTTACCAGTACAAGGGCATGGGCTTGTCCATGGGTACCATGTGCGCCGGAGTGACCAAGGAGGAGGGCCCGGCTCTCTACTACATTGACAGCGATGGCACGAGACTTGCAGGCAACCTGTTCTGTGTTGGTTCGGGTCAGACCTTTGCCTACGGTGTGCTGGACGCCGAGTACAGATACGACTTGACAGACGAGGAGGCTCTGGCCCTGGGAAGCAGAAGTATCCTGGCAGCCACCCACAGAGATGCCTACTCTGGTGGTTTCATCAACTTGTACCACGTCAAGGAATCGGGCTGGGTCAAGCATGGATTCAACGACACAAACCCCATCTTCTGGAACACAAAGTTGGAGAGCGGCGAGTTCAGCAATGTAACAAGCGATTTTGTGGGAGACCGGGTGTAAGATGCTAGAGATCGTACATGAAATTAGATCAGCTTTAGAGTCTCGGGATTGAGCTCTTGAGGAAACGTGCTATCAAGGACTGACGAGGCAAGGCATGGAATTGCACTGGTCTCTAATTCAAGCTATGTAAATGTACAATTAAGACATTCAGTGTGACTCTTGCACACCATTTTATCAAGTCCCTCGCAGATGACAGTCATTACACGTGCACATTTATTGGAACGGCCGACCCTTTTTCAGGCGTCATTCCATATTTCTATGATACATTGGTTTTACACTTTATTCACATTGACCCAGCCTGGCTCTCCTAGAATGCCGCCACCCTGGGCCTCTGGGTCGATCGGCCACTTGCGAGCAGCCAGGATATTCAGCTCGCTCCTCCAGCCTGCCTCGTACATCTCCATCCCTGTCCAGGCAATCATGGCAGCATTATCCGTGCAGAGAGCAGGCGGAGGCGCATTAATAACTAAATGTCCGTGGCCTCTGACCTCCAACATGCTTTTCATGATATGCCTGAGGTACTTGTTGCTCGCTACGCCCCCAGCAGCAACGATAGTCTTTATATCTCCAAATTGAGACCTATCTTTCAGAGCAAACAGGAGTCGGGAAACCAGATGCTCAAAGGCGATGCGCATGGCGTGTTTGGCCAGGTACCGCCTGTCCTCCAAGGACATGTCGGGGTTCTCCCTGACAGCACGCTCAACCTCGCCATTGAACCCCGAGAAATCATAAACCATCGCCGCCGATGTAGGGATGGGTGGCGTCAGAGCCCAGCCGCGCCCCGAGTCAAAAATCTGAATCTCGTCCATCCGCTTTGCCGGCGGCGTGTAGCCATAGTCTTCAGGCGACTTGACGTCAGGGAAGGCGAACCTCTCGAGCGCCGGGCCATACATGACATCGTCCAGCTCGGCGAGATGAGAGGCTGGCAGGATGATCCGGGCGCACTTGTCAATCATGTCGCCAATGGCTATGTTTCGAGTCTGCGCGAGGATGCGGTGGTCGGTTAGGGAGCGCGAGTGTACGAGTAGCGTGTGGCCGCCCGATACCAGCAACGAGAGGAACGGAAAGGCAGGTTCCTTGATCTCCTGCTGCTCGCGCTGCCGCGGTCTCTTGGGAGCGGTTGTGCCTGACTGCTGCTGCTGCCGCCTTTCTAGCTCTTCCGCTCCCCGCTCAAGCGCCGATACCAGACGCGGCGTCAACGCGTGCGCCTGCATGTGATTGACGCCGAGCAGTGGGACATCCCAGGCAACGGCGAGGCCCTTGGCCGTGTTCAGGCCCACGGACAGATTCGACGCCATGCCGGGGCCCCGGGTCACGGAGACAAAGTCGGGCTTGCGCCGCACCACGCCATCGACCCAGAGCATCTTTTTCCAGACGCGGTAGTCGCCAATCTCGACGGCGGGGACCTCGGGCAGGGCCTGCAGCGCCTCCCGGACCAGCGGCGCCAGCGACGACGTGTGCGACAAGACGGCCGTCAGCGGTTCCACGCCGCCAAAGGCGCGGTTGTCGGACGTTACTTTTTTGTTGAAGAGCAGATGCGCCGCGGCGGGAACCGGCGCCGAATCGTTGCCGTCATCACCATGCTGGTGATGAGGACGGCGGCGGCTATGGACGGTGAGGTCTGGCTTGTCGAGAATAGCCACGCAAGTATCGTCGCAGGAGGACTCGATCGCGAGGGTGAGGAGGGTTCTCCGCTGCAGGAACCGGGGCCGGAGGAGGAAGGCCGAGGGAGCAGCCTGGCGTAGCACGCGACGGGCGAGGCTATGCGGCGCGCATGATGCCCGGATGGAGGAACACCATGGTGCGCTCATCAAGGACAGTGTAGATGTTCGGTACAACATGTACCAGCGGACATGGCATTGGGGGAGATGAGAGACAGAGACAAGACCGTGGGAACTTTTTGGGGCGAGGATTGTCTTGGCTTATCGATAGAGGTATAGCTTCACATGCTTGTCTCGGGCTTATACGTACTCCATACATCAACACTGGGGAAACACAACCATTCGATTTCACAACATTGTCAGACTCACAGTTTCCCATTGAACTCAATAGTGGCACAGAGAGTGATCTTTGAGAATTACACCATTATTTTTCGAATCAATTGCTGCAAACATGGTCAGAATCTTGTGTTACATACAAGTAAGGGCGATGCTGTCTATAACTCTGTAAGCCACCTAGTATCATTGAACAAAAGTAAACTCTAATATCCAAAAACACTTGAATAAATACAAATACAACAACAATGTAAACAAACGGCAATACATCAATGAATGTGGGCGATCCAATTGTTTACATGTTGGGCCTGTATATATGATCAATGTTGTAGCAGTAAAACTAGAACTTCCTGCGAGACCTTGAATCTCTGGTTGTTTTCATATTCCCGCTTTGAAGATGTGTTATCTCCCTCTTCTATGTAATAACATGGTTCTCAATAATATGACCAGCTCTAGCAAGTCGATTAGCAAAGTCATCTTGTTTACAATAGAACCAAGCTTCAAGACAATGGGTTTGCGGACCAACTCTGTTCAGCCTCAAAAGTGAGCACACCACAAAGCAAAGACCCACCCCCGGGCTGTCGGACGTTTGAACGGACGGACAGTCTCTCACTGGATGATGGCCCCTGCCCACCAACCTCAGCCCGACGTCATGTTGGGACGGTCCACCTCACTCACATGCATCTGAGGGAGCTGATTGCCGAATGTTCCACGAACTTTACCTGCCTGGCCAACGTCTGACCATTTTTTTTTCTCTTCTTATTTGTTGCATTGTGCCCGACCTACATCGCACCTTTCTTTTGTACATATTATCCTTTTCTACATTCTTACATCAGTTCTCGAATCGAGAGTACCTAGTCCATCGGGTCGCATCACATTAAAAGAGTGCCGCGACGGCCTGGTCGGATACCCCTGGATCTTCAAGGTACTTAGCTCTCCAAATTGAGCTATTGCAGACGACATATCCAAGAGCTTTTGGGAAAGGCTATAGCAAGACCCAAGGATTCGACCCTGCACACCGAATACGCAGGGCGCAAAAAACCCAACTACACCCCAAGCAGCAGCCAAAACTCCACCAAGGCGGTGATTATGGCTGCGAACGAAGAGCCCAAGGAGGGCTCCAAGGAGTCGTCCTTTGTCCATCTGAGCGACGCCCCGACTACCCTGCAAATGAAAGATGGCAAGGCCGGAGACAAAACAGGCAGCGAAACAAAACAGAACGGAAACAAGACTTCGGCGCAGAAGAAGAGTTCTAAGAAGAACAACAACAAGAAGAAGCAGTCAGAGGACCAGCCCGCCTCCAAAGTCCAAGACGGCCTCAGCTTTGCTGAAGCGCTTAAGGAAGACGACAATGAGCCAAAGACCAAGGACGAGAAGACATCAGACTCTCAAGTGGAACCACAAAGTGTAAATAAGTCTCCAGAGGAAAAGCCCGAGGAGAAAATCAACGGTCAGCAGACGCAGCAAACTGCCGGCCACATAACGTCCACCTCCAACGGCAACGGGATAAAAAAGCAACAACGGCGGGATGTGAGCGAAGACCGCAGCGACGACTCCTACCCGGAGCTGGACGAGATGACCATCAACGAGATCCACACACACCAGCCACCACGTCAACATGAGCCTTATGCAAAGATTAGGTGGGCACCTTTCAATGTCCCAGCCGAGCGCCGCCTGCAGACACTGGCTGTCCTTATGCACTGCCTTTGCATAGGTGCATTCGTGTCGGTCTTTTTCGCCCTATGCGCAAATCCTTTTGCATGGCCTCTTCTGTTGGTTTATCTGATGCACCTCTTGACGTCGACTGCAGCGACCGACGGCTCATTGAGATATCGATCTGAATGGTTCCGCAGCAGCTATATTTGGGACCTCTTTGCGGGATACTTCCCGGCTCGACTCCACAAGACTCACGATCTGCCGCCAACCAGAAAGTATATCTTCGGCTATCACCCGCACGGGATCATATCTCATGGCGCGTGGGCCGCGTTTGCCACGGAAGCGCTTGGCTTTGCCGAAAAATTTCCCGGCATCACCAACAGCTTGCTCACACTGGACAGCAACTTTCGCATCCCCTTCTACCGCGACTACGTCCTCTCCATGGGTGTTCGGTCAGTGTCAAAGGACTCGATTGTCAACATTCTGACCCGGGGAGGTAAGAACAACGAGGGTATGGGCCGCGCTGTGACCATTGTCATTGGCGGTGCTCGTGAGTCCCTGGAGGCACAGCCAGGCCAGATGCGTCTGATTCTCAAGGAACGCAAGGGCTTTATCAAGCTCGCAGTTCGCACAGGTGCCGACCTGGTTCCCGTTTTAGCTTTTGGTGAGAACGAGATTTATGACCAGCTGCGACCCAAGGAACACCCTCTGGTACACAAGATTCAAATGTTTGTGTTGAAGGTGTGGAAGTTTACATTGCCATTCTTGCATGGCCGAGGCATCTTCAACTACGATGTCGGGCTCATGCCATACCGCCATCCCCTCAACATTGTGGTTGGTGCGCCCATCAAGGTACAGCAGTATAAGCGTATTGATGACCAAGAGATTGATCGTCTACATGAGCTATACGTGGAGGAGCTTATGAAGCTGTGGAACAGATATAAGGATGAGTTCCTGCCGGACAGGAAAGAGGAGTTGGAGATTCTGTAAGACTGCTGATTCTGGAGTAATGCAGTCGAGCTCTTGGACTTAAAACACAAAATCCTCGGTTACATTCTTTACACCGCAACACGGAAACCACATAGATTATTTGTACTTTACATTCAAAAAGTGAATAGATCTTACTTGACCACTACTCTGTTATTCTCGACAAAGTATGGTCACATGTATGCACTTGCCATGAAGTCGAGTAAACAATTCGCTGGCAAAGTGGAATCGACATCAAACATGTCGTCTATGAGCGATTGCAGTGGTTTGTCTGCAAATAGATTAATGCTCTTCTTACATCACCATCGATCGCATCGAGGGCTTCAAGTATCGCCGCCTGGAAGCTCTTCCCCCCTTGTTACTTGCCTGCGCGCGAACGTGCTAGCAAGCTTGACCCCGACTTTGCTTGTGTTGGGTGGTGTCATCATATTTCTGCGAGTTTCGACCCAGAAATTCCTTGGGGGGGTTCCACTGGTTGATGTCAGTGGTTTGCGCCCGCTACATCACCAATGCTTGCAGTTTACTGTTTAGCACAGGTAGAGCCCTGCGCCATGTATTGGTCTAATGTTTTAGTGTAGGTACGGTATCTGTAGTTTCCATGAGATCGAGGACCCATGTGCTGCCGTTTGTGAAATCATCGAATATGGCTTTGCATCGGGGGCGTATAAGGCACTACCTGGGTGTTCATGTAGATTGAGTATGGGGAAGAGATCATTGCAGCATACGTCAAAAGAATGGAGACGATTACACGTTATCAGTTGTTCCTTTGTCTGGAGCTCATTCTCAGGCAGCAATAAGAGTGTCCAAGACATTATAGCAGCAAGCGAAACGGTAAAAGAGCGGCAATGCATTTTCCACTTTCTTTTGGACTTTTTTTTCCTTCTCAAAAGACGTGTCAACAGTCTATCTCACTCGGAAAGGTCGGCGAGTCTTGCTAATTAGATGGAATTATTAGTGTCGTAGCTATTGGAAAGCCTAATGAGCTCCTGTCTCTCCAATTGCTCGGGAAGTTCGTGTGCCGCGTCGGGTTCGCGTTCTATTGTCCCACACTTACTTGTTTCTATGTTCTATTGTATTTTTACTTACCTTGGCAATTTTAGGCTTGGGGGGCCTCCTACTGTCTAGTAATGATGCCCCATTCTCATGTCCCTCTTGGGAAAGCAACGAGAAGAAGAAGTGATGGAACAAAATTCAGGCAGACATATATATATTTTTTAAGATTGCGAGATCCGTATTCAGGCGGATGCGTATTGTTTCTTAATCGTCGCAAATTGTCGGGTCTCCATCGCGACCCCTTGAATTGTCCCTGTATTGTTCTGGAAAGGAATCACACACACTCTCGAGGGGTTTTGTTCTATCGATTGCTTCGGCGGCGTGCCACATGTGATCATGGTACCGGGTGCTTGCTCTTCAATGGACCTTCTCCAGAGTGACAGGCTGATGTATGGGAGGGAATGCTGAGCTGCTCAAAGGATTGGGAAGAGGGTCAAAGGGTCCTCTCTACCCGGCACTAGGGGGGGAGGGCTGCCCAGGTGATGTGATTGATGTGTACACAAGAGAAAAATTGCCCGGGCGGGAAGTTACCCCCGCCTCTTGCCCCAGGTTTTTACTTGTTCGAATCGGGGAGATCGGGTGACTTGGGCGGACTTTTTTCTCTCTTTCTTCCTCCTCGCTTCTCTCCCCCTTGGGCGGCAGTGTGGTAGGTACACAGTAGGTAGGTAAGGTAGCATTGGGCAAGCCACTGAGCAAGTCACCAAAAGCGAAGATCCCAGAATCCAGGCCAGGGCTTGCCAGGCTCGGGGTTGGACTTTTTTAGTGCATGTAGTGTAGGAATCGAGACCCACGCGCTTCTCCTCACGCGCACAGCTAAGGTAAGGCCCTGACATAATGATCTGCCTCTTGGCCTTGCAGCGGAACATCTCTCTACTGTGAACTGCTAAGTAATGTATGTAGTAGTATTCCGTTGACTACAGAGTACATTGTACTAACCACATTTCGTATCAGCTTTGATTTTTCGGGTTCCTCCCCGTTGAACTCTGTGAGGCTCAGCCGCCCTTGGTATTGGGGTTGCGCGGTACCTGGTTTCTATTGTTTACAAAGTTATTGAAATTTCAAGCCTGAAGCGCTGGTGACTATTGCATGGGAGATGAGTACGAGGTAATGAAAATTGAAGAGATGGTTTATTTTCTGGTGCAATCATGCTGAGCACTATAGTGGATGGGAAAGGTGTCTGCGATTGATTGCCCCAGTGTGCAGTCTAAAAGTGATAGACCATTGAAGAGTACTCGAGGTCTGGTGACAACATTGTCCATTCACACAAATTGCACAACCATATAATCGACTTTTGTGTCTCATTCTCTCTTTCCCCCCCACATCGCCACAATCGATTTGCGTTGTCAGCGACAGCAGATTTTGATATCTTGGACGAATTCTGTTAAGAAAAAAAATTCATGGATCTGAATCACACCTCACACCTCACTGACCTATCCAGATCCAGTTCCCGAGGTTCCATAATTTTGTGTCTCAAGCGGTCAGTGATGTGCATAGAAGAGGCCGGACCAGAAGCCACGGCCCCAGTTTTTGGTGCAGAAAAATTGGGGGGACAAAAATGCCCCCTCAAGCCCGCCCAAGCCCCGTTCTGGCTGACATGTCCGCCAAGACCCTGATAATCTTTTTTTTTTTTTTTTTTAACTTCCAACGAGTCTCCAAGAAGGAGTCAGAGAGCAGCGCCAGTAAGAAAAGGTCACCAGCTAAAAAGTGTGAACCGGCTTACCTACCTGTACCCAGCTACACAGTAACCATTCAAGCCGCCCATTGTCCGCTTCATCGCCCGCCCATTGCTCTGATAAGCTGCACAAACTTAAAAGGCACAAGCACACCGACAATGCAATTAATGACTTGTCCGGTAGTATTTAGGGATAATGGGTCAAGCAAAATAGACAGCATGATGTGGGCTATTGTAGCACAAGAAAGTTATTAGTCAGTCCGTCACTTATTTTAGTTATGTCGGAATTATTAGAGGGATCAGAATACATGCACTCACTCACTCACTCACTGCATTATTATCATAGCTTTACCGCCAAGGTGTCTCCTGCAAGCAGTTTGTCATGCCCTGCCGACCAGAGTGGAGGAGCTGAACACGTCGGACCCGTGGACTCAAGTGCTACTTACAGCGCAACCCTTTCGAACCGTGAAATTGCCCGTCAGCATTGTGGTCGGTAATGTACCACCACCACCGACTCCATCCATCAACACACACAAAAAGTGTCCGAGCCAGGGAGGACCTGGACCCCCTGACCAGCACACTTTACTTCCATTCTCCTTCCATGGCCCGAGAATCCACTTTCGGCTCGTCGCTCGCTCGTGTGCCCACGACTGGACTGACCGGACTGGCTGGACAGAAGACGAATTGGATTGGACTTGGACTGGACTGGACTGGAGACTGGCGAGACTTTGACTGGGACCTGGACTGGATTGGATTACCGTACCCCCGTTCAGACGAAAATACCAGTAGTACTACACAGTACATACATCTGACCTAATAACCCAGTCCCCTTCCTGTACACACACTTTATTACTTATCATGCCTTCTCCTTTGTCCAGCCATAGCAATAACAACAACAACAACAAAATTCAACATCACGTACATTCCCTACCATCACAACCCCACAGCGATCCGAACCCGACAGTACTACAGCAGACGACTACCAATAACACCACTACTCCTTCAAATTCTTCTTCAAACAACCCGAGGCAGTACAGCTTGGCACCGCCCCCTTCGACACCACATCTCAACAACAACAAGAAAACCAGAGCCGCGACACAGCTTGTAACCCTCGTGCTACCCACGGGTAACAGCGGATCCAGCAACGTCGACTTCTCTGCTCCCTCTTCTGCCTCGTCGGCCACGACCAGCTTCCAGCAGCAAGATCGGAAACTCCCACTGCCCGCCGATGGTGTAGCCGGGACCAGCGGCCACCGTACGGAAGATATTGAGATGGACCAGATGGCGCCAGTCAGCGGCCATAGGAGGCGCCGCAGCACTCTGACCTCGAGCGTTGGCGCTGCTGCGCCCATGGGTCCCTCGCACAGTAGGGGTCGCTCGATAGGCCAGAGTTTCCGCAAGTCAATGGACCCCGGCGCCGATGGCAAGATATCCGAGGAATCGGCATTCCGCCCGGCCGGTGAGCCGTCAAAGGTAGAGCCATCCGACGACGAAAGGAGCTTTAGCGATGAGGATCTACACAGCGACGAGGAGACGGGTTTGACAAAAAAGGATAGAAAGAGAAGGCGCGCCAAGAAGAAGCGGAACACGCGGCTAGACAACCGAATCGCGAGACAGCATATCACCGACGAGGAGCGCAAGGAAGCCGACCAAAATGTTGCGCGCAACATTGCCATCAACTGCGTGCTCATTGGGCTGTGGTACATATTCTCCTTGTCAATTTCTTTGGTAAGTCTCTTCTAACTTAGATATGCTACCTTCTCGCATTTGTGTCTTCCTTGGAGGGCAGTCATCAATAAGCTCCTATGCTAATCTCTTACTCAATTCTCAGTATAACAAATGGATGTTTGACGCAAACAACCTCAACTTTGCTTTCCCCTTATTTACAACATCCGCACACATGCTGGTGCAGTTTTCTCTCGCCAGCTTGGTGCTATACTTTATACCTTCCTTACGACCAGGTGCTGGGCGCAATTCAGACATGGGCCAGTCGCGGCACGACTCGGAGCCTAAGCAACCTCTGATGACAAATTTGTTCTACCTCACCAGGATAGGACCATGTGGTGCGGCCACTGGTCTAGATATTGGCCTGGGCAATGCATCTTTGAAATTCATCACACTCACATTCTACAGTAAGTATTGCTTCCTCAAGGCCCCTCCAAGAACATTGTACTAACAGATTGGCAGCCATGTGCAAGTCCTCATCACTGGCCTTTGTGCTATTGTTCGCTTTCATGTTCCGCCTCGAGACGCCGACATGGAAATTAGTCGCCATCATTGCTACCATGACGCTGGGCGTTGTGATGATGGTGGCAGGCGAGGTGGAATTCAAACTCAACGGCTTTGTTCTTGTCATCTCCGCTGCATTTTTCTCGGGCTTTCGTTGGGGTCTCACCCAGATTTTGCTCCTCCGGAATCCTGCGACATCGAACCCCTTCTCCAGCATTTTCTATCTGGCACCAGTCATGTTTTGCACTTTACTGATTATAGCGATTCCTGTGGAAGGCCTGCCTCAATTGATTGAGGGTTTGAAGGCCTTGAGTGAAGCCTGGGGCCCCGTTCGCGCTCCTCTGATTCTCATCTTTCCCGGAACCATTGCGTTCCTCATGACAGCGTCAGAGTTTGCCCTGCTGAAGCGAAGCAGTGTCGTAACACTGTCAATTGCCGGCATTTTCAAGGAGGTTGTCACCATCAGCGCCGCCGCCCTGGTGTTCAATGATAAACTCACACCCATCAACATTTTTGGCTTATTTGTCACGATTGCAGCTATCGGTTGCTACAATTGGATCAAGTTTACAAAGATAAGGAATGAGGCCCAGGTGGAGGCACACAACAAGCATGGATATCAACAAGCGGAAAGTGGCTCGAGCAGCGACGGCGGCAGCGAAAGCGATGAAGATACCGGGCTTCTGGCGCATAGTGAAGCAGAAGATGAAAGAAATATGATCACGGTGGACGGAGATATCTATCCAGATCGGACAGCGCCTGCCGACGAAGGGCGACCACCGAGAACCAGCGAGCATGCCAGCAGAGCATAGACAATCTAATTTGGAAATACCTTTTGGAATGGATCTCAAAAAAACAAAAAGATGAAGCTTAAAGCTACCGCTTCCCCGGCTCTTGACAGACTGTCACTAAAGTTGAAGGCTTCGGTATTCATCTGCAGGCCTGTTGAACTGTAGATACGGGTTTGCTTTTTTTTTTCTTCCAACGCTGAGCAAATGTGACTCGAGTTACACTGGATGAAACGAAACATGGACACCAGCTAGAATGATACCCATCGACTGATTCGTCGGAAATTTAAAGCGGTGTGAAGAGGGAAAAAGAGGTTCGCACACGTGAACTTTGGGGGTCGGTTTATAATAAATAGATGGCAAATATACTTTGCGGCCTGAGGGCTGCAGTCATATATTCTATATAAGCGCAAGAAGCACTATATCGTTCAACGCAGCTTTTATTTGTGGTCATGGTACAAAGACTACGAATTTAGTTGGCTTTATTCACCTGTCTCCATGTCGAAGAATTGATACTTCTTTTGTTTCCCCCTTCTCTCTAAAGAAGTACATGCGCGATCCATTCTTGATCTGCAAGGCCATGTCATCATGCATCGTCTGAAAACAAACAAATCTGGTTATAAAGCATGTTTCTAGACTTTATGATTGTATATTGAAAATGACTTTCTTGGCGCATGCTGGGCAAAACGTCGCAGCGGCTGTCCCTCCACCAGTAGCACAACTTTTAAGTACATGACTATAGCAAAAACAAAGTCGCCCATCATTATATATGCCTATGGGGAATTGCACATAAGTCATAGAGTATATCACTGATAGATGCTAATCTTAGGTGAGTATGTTGACTGAACCTCTTATTATCTTGCAGACTTGTCTCATTTGCTCACTCTTCAGGCCCACGGAGGCAATCGAACTATGCATCTACATGATTCTTGTTCCAAAAAAATTACTATACCATTGCTACATTTGGTAGTACCGAGTGAGTAGCAGAGCTCTCTCTTTAGCGTGCGCCAGCACGAATTCATTCATACATCATCGTATCATCAGTCATCTTCTATATCATCATCGCTAATCACGAGTGACTGGACCGGCAGTTCCGCCACGACGCTTTCCTTGGTCTTTTGGCGAATCCCCAGAGTCTTCTTGCGTGGTGATCCGTCCTCGGCAGGTTTATCCGTGGCCCATGCCTCGCCGCTGGCTGCTCCGTTGACCTCATCGCCGTCACCGCCTTCTGCGATGGCCTCGTCATCTCCACCTCCTCCAATTCCAGAAAAGGAGACCACCTTTTCTAGTTCTTTCAGCCGGTAGTTGTTGGCAGCGCTTCGCTTCCGACGTACGATATGCGCCATGTATGGGAGACGCTCCAGCAAGAGTTCATTGCGTGCGGAGCTTCCAAGAGAGAGTAGTGGTGGTGCTGCAGGCTCCTGTGCTCTGGCGGTGTCCTTGCGCAAGGCGTTTGGCCGCTGTGGCCTCTGCTTGTCAAGCCAACTGCCCGAATCATCCGATTTCGGCTTTCTAAAAGCTGAAGCACCATTCATGACATCATGCATGCCGGCCTCCTCTTCGCCACGCATGAGTTTGGTGGCCCACAGATCGACGACGCTTCCGAGCTCTTCCTTCTCTCGCCAGAGCTTTAAACTCGTGGGGTAGAACATCTTGTGCGCATCCCCGCCGCCTCTGTGTGTAGACGTTCCTATCCTTTTCACGGGATGGGGAAGGGAGAGGAGCAAGCCTCGAGTAGCAACCTGAAAGGTGATCTCGTCTTGCCTGAGAACATGACTAGCAGAATCTCTGCCTCCAAAACCACCAGAACCAAACCCTCTGCCACCAAAGAAAATGTCCGATGACGGACATAACAAGTCACTATCTGAAAGATAGTCGAGGCAATCATTCATATAATCCACTGATGACGATAGGTCATCTGGCCCGGTAGGTGCACAAGAGAGTGGGTAGTTCTCATGAAGTGCCGATATGAATGTGTGAGTATCAGTTCCAGTTTCGTCTATCAAATTATCGACCGAGACTTCTGAGCGCTTCGGGCGAGAGTAATGAGCCATGAACGCCGGAAGCCTTTCCGCTCTGCCTTCATCGGTGTTACCTACAAGGGGAGTTTCCTCTCTCTTGTTGTACATGACTTTTCCCACTGCATGAAAAATGCCCAAGCTGGCTTCTCTTTGCGAGATTAGCTCGAGACTCTCTTCCTCGCCTTTTGTGAGGGCAACATTGCTCTTGATACTCCTTTTGGGCTTGGTAAATGTGATTTTGGAGCCCCAATCTGTATCACTGTCTCCTTTCAAACACAAGAACTCGAGTGATGATACTGCACTTCGGATGTCGCCTATCTCGCCCAGTCGTTTCAGCACAGTAGGACCAGGCGTTCGCTTCCGTCCAGATTTTCGAGCCTCTTTTTGGATAATGACTTCAAGCGCTGCAGCGAGGAGTGTGGGCGCTATCGAGTTGAATTCAATTACAGCCGTCCCAGGGTGTCTGGTGATTTCCGGGCCGAGTAAGCGATGCACAGTAAAGCTGTCTGCCAAGGCTGATGTAGTAGTCAAAAGAGTTTCTGAGATGACCATTACGACGGGAGTCACTGGTTCTCTCGAGGAAGGTTGTGTGAAGCTTGCAAGGGATGGCGTGTTCGAGGCTAGATATGACAAGACGGTATTTCGGAAAGACTGCAGAGCTGTCGAGGACTGGGTGAACGTATTGGGAAATTCTTCAATCAAGATGATCTTGCGGTCGTTTTCCTCAAAACCCGGGGTCTTGTTGACTGCCGTCGTTAAATTTGGCGATTCCGTATCGAGATCCAACTGACTAAACTTTCCGCTCCTACCCAAGAACTCCTCGAACTGGGCAGAGGCTGATTGAAAACCGAGACCGCCTACTGATGTTGGATTCCTCCACTCCAGCAGCTCACAACGCATGTCCTTGGCAAGAAGTTTCACCGTCGTAGTTTTTCCAGTCCCCGCAGCTCCTTTCAATATCAAAAGTCGTTGGCGTAGTCTTCCGGCGATCACATCCTCTAGCCATTTCCGCACATCAGTCACTTTTCGCTTATGCACCGCAAGCTCTTCGAGGCTGACGGGCCCAAAACGTTCAGACCATGGCCTTTGGTCGTTATCATGCACTACGGTACGTGTTGGTTTGGGTGGTCTCAAGAACTTCTGACTTGTCGCTAGTGGTCCGCCGCCCACGGGCGCCGCCGACTCCTTGAAGCGCTTCTGGGCATTCTTTGCAACGTGGCTGGCCATGGATGCCTTGTGATCTTGTACCCCATCGTCGTCGGAGATTGGATCGCTCAATATGTCGTCAATCTTGGTAGGGGAAGCAACGGGGGCCCGTTCGGCCTGCCTCGAGAACAGCGTCTTGAGGTCTGCCGTCTTGCCCTTCTCTTCGAGCTTTGCTCGTATGGACCGTGCTTTTGTCTTTTCGGGGCTTACACTCGTACTCTTTCTTGGTGCCCTGTTCTGCGCATTGCTTCTCAGTTGTAGATTCTTGACGGCAGGCTTCGGTGCCTGTCCATCGGTTGCGGCTGGTCTCGGGGCCTTGCGGGCAACTGGGCTCGGAGATTCCGTCAGAGGTCGTGCAGCATCAGGTGCAGAATTGCTTGGGCGATCGGGTGAAGAGAACAGGTAATTAGCCAATGTGTTTTGCTTTGGCTTGTGTTCTCCTTCGTCGTCTGATTGCACAACATTGCGCTTGCGGCGTTTGGCTGGAGGAGCCATGGCGAACCAAGAAATCGTCTAAAGACTGCATCTGCTGGTGACGCAATCGCTACAGCCAGTAATTCGGCAACGAATCTGATGTGGACATGGGAACAAGCAGTGGTGATTGTATCGCTGCTTTTGTGGAAAAAGACCTGCAACTTGGCAGCATCTGAAATAATCGATCCCGATTTTGCGGGTGAAAATGGAAAGATGTTCTGGGTAAGCGCGGACGACGCGTCTTGGGCGCAACTTTTGGAGGTGCGTTGTCAGGTGATAAGCCAGCTTCAATTAAACCACCCGATTTGGCCTCGCTCGTCATTATGATAATAAAACATATGGGCACCAAGAAGTTTATAAGTGGTGGATCAATTGCAATTCTTTAACGCAGATTCGTTTTTTTTCCCTTCCAGATAATTTATTTACTTGGTTATCTTTTCTCTCTTAGATGACAATATCTGTACGAGTTATACTTTCATGTCCGCCTGGTTCGTTCATTGGCCAATACTTACAGTCTGCACCAGCTCATACGTGCTGCTTGTAAATTCAAAATGCTATTTTTACACTCAATTCGTGCCGTATTTATATGCTCGCCTTAAAATGTCCAACCCTGAAAATCGTCCACAAATCTCACGGCCGACGCAAGATACCTATCATGGACGTCGCCCCAAGTTCTGGCTGCCTCCTTCATCGCACGCACCGCTAAGAATCGTCAGCTGCTGGCACAGAGATTTAGATTTTATATCAAAACTGACCTTTTACGAAATGGGCATCGGTAGAGTGTGGTCCATTGAGTGCCCTATCCACGACGTGGCTCCATCCTTTCCCACCCAGGTCTCCTGGCACCCAGTCGCGATCAATCTTTGGCCGCAACTCGGAGACATAGACTGCAATTGCCAGCAGCCACCATTCCCGTACTAGATTGATGTGGAACTTCTTTGGTATGATGGGTAAGAGTATCCTCACTGCATGGCTCGTCGTGAGTACATGGCATATGAAGAAATTATACGAGTGCGTCCCCGGGGCCACTGAGGCAACCAAGAAGGCAACCGCCGCCTCTTGCGAGTCTTGGAACTGTTTGACCGGATCCTCCAGTGACCACGCATTCCAGTACTCGAGCACGAGATCCTCGTGCTTTTCAAACAAGACATCCAAGTTACCCAGCGTTGGCTCCTTGAAAATACCGTCGAATCGGCTGTCGTTGGCTATCCTGTGGAATAGCTCAAGCGGCGATGTGGACTTGAACGAAGAGGCCTTGGTATAGGCTGGATCGTCCAGATACTTGTGCAAGAAGTTGTATTCGGTAGCCGCCAAGCCCAGCGCTTCCATGGCCACCACTTGGTTGTCCATTTCGAACGCATAGCCCAAATGAATGAGCGGGTGGCCGAGACCGCCAATGAGGCCGTTCACCAGCGGCTCGTCGCCCTCAAACATGAACTCCTCCACCACCCGCTTCCACTCATAATTGTGCCGCATGGCCAGCGCATCCTCGAAAAAGTCGACGTACGCCCGCTGATAGCGTCGATCGCCCAAAAAGTCCCTCCAGTCCACCATGGTGATCTCCTGCGGCGACGGCTTCCACGCCTCGAGCTCGCCGGCGGCTACATCGTAAATCTTGTGCAGCTGTTTGTCGTTGGCGCCTAGTAAGTAGGCCGAGGACAGCACGTGCGGCATGTGATTGTCATACTGCAAATCATGGTAGATGATGGAGTGGTTCACGTGGTTTGCTCGCAACAGGTGCTTCAGCGTCCTGGGCCGCTTCTCCGGATCTGTCTCCACATTGTGTGTCTCAACGGGCGGAATATCAATCCATTGCGTCGCGTTGCCGCCGACGAAGAGATTGACAACGGGGATATATGAGAGAAATGAGGCCATACTGAGAGAGTGATCTCACAGAGTACAGCTGAAGATGTGATTAAAATAATTTGAATACTGCAAACTCAACAAGCAGTCAATCAAATTCGATGATGAACTTGTTGAAAGCTCTCCCCAACATTGAAGCTTTGGGATATCCAGAAGTGGGGCCGTTTATGATGCAAAATGCGGGAGAGCTAGTACCGTTGGGGTCTAGCCTAGCACCGGACATTGATTTGAAAGGTCACCTTTCTTCCATCGTGTAGACTCAAATGAAGGTGCTGCCTCAACTAGGTACTCAAAATATCTCTCTTTCCTCTCCTTTTCTTTTCTTTCTTTCTTTCTTGTCAACAGGACGAAGTTGAAATACACATCAAAATGTCAGGACCTCCAAGGATAGTTCTCTATGCCGAGCTTCTCTCAAATATTCGCCAGGTCTCAGTGGGATGCTCACTTTCCTCCGCCTGCGCCACCACTACCGAGGCAAGTCTCTCGCCCGACGGCCAGCAGCTCACCGTCCGGCATGAAGGTGAAGAATGCGCGGTGCAGCTCCCGGGCAAAGTATCAGCTCCTACCAAGTTGCCAATGCAGACCCGGGACTCGCGGAACCTGTCCTGGCGTCTCCCGCTGGCCGGGGCAGCGCCGATGAGGTTCATACCGCCTTCGCAGCTGGACTCGCAGACGGTGGCCTGGTCCGCGTCTGAACTGCCAGTAGGAGGCATCATCAAGTGCCGAGATTGTCAAGCCATGGTGATTGGAGAGGGTACCATCAACGCGTGGAAAGACCTCCCTAGCGAGAACTGGGCAGAGATGATGGAGTTCTGGCACTGCCACAAGCCTGACAATGCCGACCACGACCACCTCCATGGTCAGACGGAGTCGGAAGAACATTTAGCTGGCAGAGGCTATGGTGCCAACTCTCGCATTGCTGGAAAAGCAGGGACCGGCTTCGTAGATCTCTCCTCGCTATTGTTTTTGGAGAAAGACTGCGCAAATTTGACGGTAAGCCGAACCTTGTTTCTTTCATTTTCTTCTCGCATACTAGATACTTCTCATCCGATTCATCATTGTATCATGTGAATGCTCTGGGTATATAGAAGGTGGCCAATCCAGTGGACTCATTCCGCAAGATATCAATGGCGTGGTCACCGATACTCATACCCTAGAATGACAAGATGGATTATTATTCATTTCCGACGGTACTCGGTCGCAGAACCCGGGTTCCCTTGGGAACCATGGGTTTAGCCTCTGGGTTGCCTGTTGCGGCTTGATCTCTGTTTTTAGTTTGGTAAATCGAGTCTTTCTTTGGATGTGGAAGTCTTGAATCGAGCAGAGGTACATTTCATTTGGTCACTACTTAGTCCGGACGTATCATTATTGTATACTGCAAATCACTTTAATATAACGCCGCGTCTGTCATCACATTGCTCTTGTGCTTTGACTCGAGAAAAAAGAAAATCAAACCAGCTGCTAATATGTAGAGTATACAGCCAACTGAGACCAACACCGCCTCCAAAGAGTCCAGCAGCTCGACAAAGCATGGCAGTCCGGTGACCTGTAGTAAATGCTCCTCCGAGATCGGGGCCATTCATGTTGAGACGTCATCCGTGACCCTGTACAAATGGCAGGTCACCATATCCTCTCCAGAATCTAAAGTCGACCTTCAACCTCAGCCAACCCTGGCAAATTGTGTAGCGTCCATGCTCGCCTCCACACTCTCGCGGTCTGGCTGTTCTAAGTCCATCATCCTCCCAATTGGTGCCTCTTCGTCGTCATTGAGCCAGTCGGGCGAGTCGCTGCTACATATCTGGCTCTTTAATGGGAATATTTCCTTCACCTCATCAGTCGTCGAAAGCAAAAAACCTATCCCTGCAGTCAAGGTCTTGTACCGGTTCGTGACCAAGGCCGAGGCTGATCGTCTAAGCGATTCCATCACTTCCGATGTCCAGGAGATCACATTGCCAATTCCAGCGGTGCGGGGCTTGAGGCATTTGCTCGAAAGAAGCAATCAATGGTTGCCATCCGGTGATAGATTATTCAGAGAATGGACCGTCGGTTTGCTGGAAAAATGGAACGCATGACGGGAGCTATCAAGTTCGTTACGTCTCGGTTTCTGTATATATGTACGGGTATACCTGCGACAGATCAGTAGGTCTATAAATAGTGAGCGATATACTACCTTCAAAAGGACCATGCTTGTTTCCGTTGGCCGTTGTATACGCGATCACATGTGCTATTTCGGCGAAGAAGTGCAGTTTATGAAGTTTTGTTTTGACTAATGCACAAGTGTTATTTCACACGGGTTGGTTGACAAAGGGAAACTCGTTCTCTACTGCGCGTCGCGGGAGTATCTCTCTGTAACCACTATCTCCACCGTCTATCGAGTCTCGAAAACAGAACAAGTCGCTTATTGGGCCTTGGACGAAACGATTCCTATAAGTTCAATACATTAGTCATTATGCCGCGTGTATAATTGGAAGAAACAGATATTTGTTCTTCAGCTTCGGCGAATTTCCAGGAAACTGAAACTCACTCTCAACGTCAGCAACGCTCTGCTGCAGGATCTGCTGCAGAACCTTGGGGTTCTCGAGCTCCTTGGTGACCTTGGCGATGATGGACTCGGCGAGCTCCTTCTGCTGGCGCTGCTTGACCTGGCCCTCGTAGCGGACCCAGCTGTCAAGGACAGCCTTGGCCTCGGCGGCCAGAGCGGTGCTCTGCTCAAGCTCGTAAGCCTTGGCCTCGAGCTCGGCGGTCTCCTTGGAGACAGCAAAGAGAGCCTTGGTGGTCTCGACGACACCACCCATCTGCTCGACGTTGCCGATGCGCTCCTTGACGGCCTGGGTGTGGTCGGTGCGGGCAGCGTTCAGGATGTCCTTGATCTTCTTGTTCTGGGCATCGGCCCACTCGGCGTACATGGGACCTCCGAACTTGATGAGGGCACCCCAGACGGAGAGCAGACAGAAGGCGACAACGGACTCCTCGTTCACGACGTAGTACTCGTTGCTGATGGCGTAGGCGGACAGACCGGCGGCCGAGGACAGAATAGCCGACTTGGAGATCAGGGAGCTGCCAGGCAGGGCATCAATGATGCTCTGAGCCTTGGTCTTGGGGTCGGCCTTCTCGGGGACGTTGGACGAGGCATGGCGCTGGGCGCTGATGGAGGCGATGGCCGGGACAGATCGCTGGGACAGGGCCGGTCGGAGGCGGGCAGCCCCTGTACAAAATCACTTCGTGTGAGCCTCTGCAGGGCCAATTGGGCGGGAGGAGCGGCAGGCGCGCCATCTCGAGGTTCGTCTACTTACCGGCAGCAGTTCTTGCCAAGCGGGAGGCCATTGTGAGATGAGTGGTGATGGGGGGGATTGCGAATTGCAGGATTGTCGTAGCTCGGAACTGAGGTTATTTTCGTTGCGGGTCTTGCTATCCAAGGCTTTGGGAGTTCGGTTATTCGGCGCTACCAATTTTCCCGGGGAATGACGGTGCAAAGGTCGGGCGCTGTGCTCGCGACAAGGCAAAGATGGGTCCAACTGTCGGGCGGACACGGGTCGCTTTCTGCCACCTGGCAGCCAACCAAGTTCCCTGCAGCTTACATGTCAGGACGATGAATTCCGTACACAATAAAATCGTGATCAAGGCCCAAAATGCTACGTTTCCTAACTTGGTTTCATATCATGAATGGTCATACATTTGGGTTGCATAAAGGATATCAAGAATTGATTGATTGCACATATTGGCTCGTTTTTTTCTAGGCGGGAAGTCTTGATAACTCACGCACATAAACCGTTTCGCGAACGTGGCAAGCATAACTTATACAAGATCCTTTTTCTTTTCTATTTTCGAGTTCCTCTATTCATTCTTTCGTATGCTATTTCTCATGTTTCAATAATATTATTTACAGGGTATCGTTGCCCTTGAAGAACTGAGTGACTCCGGAACGCCCAATGGGTATCGTCTTATCCACCAATTTTGACCAAAAGGCAATGCAACATTGACATTACAGACCTGTGATGTTAGTGCTTAAAATCCAATGTAGTCCTTGGAAAGATCTAGTTCATCCGAATCGTCATTGCCAATGAATTCCTCCACCTCGTCAGAGTCTATATCATCAGGGGCAGCGCCCTCGTCCTCATCGCTGGACAGGTCGGCCATCTCCTCGTCATTGCTGCTAATGACTTTGTTGCGGAGTACGCTTGCCCGTTCTCGGTGAAGGAGCTTACAGCCCTTGCTCTTACAGACACCGGTGTTGCTGAAATCAGGGCACTCGAATACGTGGCGATCAGGGCACTTGGCTCCTCGCTCGCAATAGCCGTGGAAACCAAAGTCGCGGCAAACCGGATCAGTCTGGGAATGTTCAGCATGAACGTACGGACATGAGTCATTATGACATTTGCCATTGGCAAAATGCAAGCATAGTGGCGTGCGCTGTTCAGAATTCTCGTGGACAAGATCACAAGCATCGCCATTGGGGCAATCGTTCTTGAAAAGCCAGTCACGGCAGATGGCGACTTTGGATGGGTCATGAACGAATCGACAATTCGGACCCTTGATACATGAACCTGTGCCATAGTTAGTATCCGTCGGGAGTTTCTCTTACCACGCCAGTGCGAGAGATCCTGGCGATTTGTGTCATGAATCGTAGCTGGAGAAGACAATACCGGTCCAGGAGAAGGTCTTGCAAGGAATGTTGACCTTCTTAATTCCACCTGCCAATCTGCTCGTCGTTGTTAGAAGTGCGCTTTCTCCGGATCGGGGCACATACCGTTGTGCCTTGGCAATGCCGTGTCTGACGAGATTTCCATTCTTGGTTCGATAGAACTTGACACCACCGATCGTGGTGATTCTGGGAGTAGCGGAAGGAGGGTTCTTGTCGTCTGTGGTTTGCTAAGCATATCAAAGAACTTGACGGAAAAGGTAACAGAGGTGACTTACCAGGGGCGCGGACAAGTTTACTGCCCTGCTTGGTGATCTGAAAACGGATGCCTTCGACTGTGATTTCGTATTTGGATGCTGTCGGGGTAGAGTTAGAGGGCAAGGGTGGCATGCTGTTGCCGTTCTTCTGCACATAATTCAAGAATCGGTTCTTCTCCACCTGCTCCTTCTGCAAGCGCTTTTGCCGCTGCGTCTCCTCGATGGCAGAGGCTCGAGCCTGTGCGTCCTTCTCGAAAACAGAGCTGTTAATGAGTTGGAGATGTCGGTCGGTTCGGCTCACCCATGATCCGCTGGCGTTGGGAATCGCCGGCGAATCAGAGCGCGCCTGCCCCGACTGTCCATTCTGTCCATTCAAAACCAGCGTTCTGTTGCGATACGTCGGCGCATGGCCTCGCGATCCACGGTGAGTACCACGATGGTACGGGGAAGACCTATAGGTGCTTCTGGGGTAGGACGAGGTCGGGGTGGCGTGTTGTGCTTTGTGTCGACTGATGCGTCCTTCCAGCCGATTGATCTGAGCCAGAAGCTCTTGTTCCTCGGCAGTTGTCATGTTGTCGCAGTTGCGCAGAGGACTACGTAGATGACGAGGTTTGTGCAAGGAAAGTGGGAAAAGTTGTGAAATTTTGGGTTTGGTTTGTCGCAAGTTGCAACATTTGGTTGTGGAGAAACTGAAAGCAATCCAAGGCGCCCGCCGACTGGGATAAAAATGGCGGGGCGAATTTACGTACAGCACAAAGCAAGTTGACGCCACTATTACTAATAGTATGAGCCAGTATAATAGCAGCACAAGACTGCCCCATTGTCCCGCACTTGCAAGTAACAAGGTGTATTTCAATGCCAAGAACGCTGTTAGTATGCTTTACATGACCAAGAAGTGGCTACACGATGTTTTCATTTATTTGCTTCGATACAGCATCTACTGCAAAAGTTTGTAGTCGCCTCCCAAGGTCTGCCTGACGGTCATCACGTTTACCTTTTTTTTTTTTTTTTTTTTTTTTTTCAGAATTATTTAAAGAATCTATAGAATTCGAGTTATTATCATTAGAATTCGTATCTTACATGAATCCTTTTTCGTTTGCAAAAGCAATAACTTAACCAAATAAAGTGATTTTCTACCCCCAGAGATTTACCAAGTTGCATCTTTCTCGTCATTCAATGTACAACTTTCAGAAAGCTATGACATGTGTAGTAATAAATATCAGCATGACAGAGAGTTCGTATAACCCATTCATGATCCTAGACCCCTTTGCTCGCAATAAGCCAACAACTCCTCGTCTGCCTCAATGCGTGGATAACAACTCTCTTCGGCACTAAATGTGACCTCCATGCCCTCGTCAGGACGAGCACCCTTTTTGCCAACGCGGCTCGGCATCATGAAGAAGAAGCTCTCAAACGCCATCTGGGGCCAGCGGAAGCCAGTCGGCAGGCCAAAGCCATAGTCGTGCATGGTATAGGGCTTCATGTCGTGCCAGCCGATGCCCATGCAGTCAAGGCCGTGAACCCAGGGCATGTCGAGCTCGGTCCAGCGCTGGTCGGGGCTGCCGGCACCCCACGCCATCTGCTTCTGGATGTACTCTGGCGTCACTTGTTTGGTGACGCTGCGGATCGTCCGCGCCAACACCGGCAGCGTTGTCTCGCGAGAGCCCTCCAACACCTGGCCGACCGTCAGCGGATTCGACCGAGGGATCGCAACACTGCAGCCAATGTAGCGCGACGAGATGGGCTTCTCGACGCGAGTGCGCATGTTTACAGCGTGGATGGCGCTGGTGGAAGCCTGGTCGTCGAATTTGAGCCAGGGCTGTCGCGCCCGGAGCTGGACTCGCCACCACAGTGCAGCCACGGCGTCGTATGATGAGATGAAGTCAATACCATCCACGGGCAATCCAATACTGCACTCAGCCTTGAGCTTGGCCAGTTTGCTTTTTGGAAAGTGGAATACGCGCGTAGTGACGACGGGAGGTACAAAGTCGGCTGGTGGCGGTGGAAACGGCTTCAGGTTGTACTTCATGGTCGGGAACTTGCCTCGCAAGCTCTCCCATTCCTCTGATGTAGGCTTGTTCGCTGCGGTAAACAGGCTGTGTGGTAGAATCTCGGGCTCAAGGTTGGCTGATTGGCCTGTTGTAGCTTCCTTGGAGTAGGCTGCCCATGTAGTAGAAAAGGCATCAACGCCGAGCCCATCGCTAACTTGATGACTGATGGCTGTTCCTATAATTACACCGCCCTCGATAAAAGTCGCTTGGAATGCGGCAACCACGGGACCCGGCGTGTCCAAGTCTTCTGCAACCACCATGGGTAACGAGGCAGCCTCAGCTGGGATGAGCTTGGCAACCTCGAAGCGGTGTACAGGGTAGTCATGCTCATGATACCAGGCATAAGATGGGAGCTTGCCTTTCTCATCTGTAGCTTTCGTGGCATCTTTGATGTGCAATGCTGCTGTGGCCTCCTCAGGCTTCTTGATGATGATGCGCTTGGTGACGTTGTCGAAATGCATCGTCCCCATAAGTTCTGGGTGGTCACCAAGAGCACGCTCAAGACCTTTATTCAGATTGGAAATAATCTTATCTCGGTCTACTGAGTCTGGAAGCTCGAAAATATCGAGCAGCCAAATATACAGGCTCAGCATCTGGCCTCCAGTGTCGGAAAGTTGAAAGATTTCATCTCCATTGGGCAGCATCTGGCCTCGATGTGGCGTCACGATTTTCTGCGGCTTGACGCTCAAAACGCGTGATAAAGATTCGGTAGTTGTCATGGCAAACGATATTATTGATGATTTTATATATGTACCGAATAAACATAGGATAAAAGGTTGGATTCTGTCAACGACATGAAAAACAGACTAGGGCGAACTGTCCTTATATACCCCTCAACAACCTCTGCCAAACAACAGCCACGAAGCGGAGTTTCCCAAAAAGACAACGAATACTGCCCACCGATCTGCGGTCATGTTTCTGCAACAACTATAGAATTGCAGAACCTGGTAGATATATTCGTCGGGTCTAGCCTCCCGACATCCGTATACCCTAGCGGTATTCCCAGACGCCACAAGTTCATCACATCAAGCAAGTATCGTGATTATACAAATGAACAGGCGATGACCCACTCTGATTCGCCGTTTGCAACCCGTATTAGAACTCTCCCATGCAGGGGTCATCATCTTTACATCGTGAATGGCTGTCAGAGCCGGTGATTACCAGGAAATACCAGTACTGATGACTCTAACAATCCTGTGGGCATGGTCAAATAGGAAACTCCCGTCCCGCAGGCTACCAATAATATGTATGCATTCTAACAAGAAAGGACCCATTACGACCAACTCGCATTGCTGTGCCCCAATGCTTTTTGGGCCAGACTTCGCGGTCTTCTCTGAGCGCAACCAATTCATCAGTCTTTCATGATTCCAACGGCTCTCATTTTGCTCCATAGTGAATTTGTACAGCCTCTTACTTCATCACTCACAATAGATCTTCATCTCGAGTCCACTCTAGAAAGCGTATCCCCATCATCTCCACTTCCTTGTCTATTAATCTACGTGAATTAACAATAGCTGCCGCGGAAACCTTTTTGTCGAGATGGTCGAGTGCAATGAAATAGATCAGACCCGGGGAAATGCACCAAGCAACGACAGGCTTCTTGACACATCCCACGAAAATTACACAACCATCACAACGACACAAATCAACAAAGATGAGCCGATGTACCTACCAATGTCGCAATTGCTGCCCGTTTTCTTCGCAATGGCACTTGGTGTCTTCATATTGGGCCTCGCAAGTTTTTCTTCTTCTTTTTTCTTCTTTTTCCGTGATGATATGATATGCACCTGCTGATCAATGTTACCCTACCAGGACAACACCATAATAGGAACCGCAACCCCGACTATCACGAATGAATTCAATTCGTTGACAGACATTGGTTGGTATGGCTCTGCGTGTAAGTGAAAAGGGGACCCTTGCATGCACCGTCCGAGCACAAGGCTAAGCTAAACATGGACCGGCAGACCGACTTACAACGTGCTCGACACAAATATTCTTTGGCAAGGTGTATGAAGAATTCCGTGTCAAATGGGTTCTACTCATGGCCGTCGGTATCCTCGAGGTCGGGTCGATTGTGTCGGCTGCGGCGTCTAGTTCAGCTGCTTTCATTATTGGGCGAGCCATCGCCGGCTGTGGCGCATCGGGAATCTTGACTGGCGTTTTAATGTACGTTGCAAGAGCCTCTCCTGAGCACCCAGGTTACACGAACACTTTATATACTCACTTGGAGACTCTCTGATTAGTGCAATTTCTACTTCCGTACCACCTCGCTGGAGGCCGATATGCAACAGCACAATCGGAGGCATCGAAACAATTGCCATGGTTGTAGCACCAGTCATTGGCGGTACCTTGACCACAAGAATCAGCTGGAGATGGTGGTGAGTAGCTCATAGTTTTACATGCATGGAAACTCAATGGTACTGATCACTCGTATGTAATAGCTTCTGGATCAATCTGCCACTGGGCGGCTTCACCATGATTGTGATCATGGCCTTATTTCGAAACCCGGCACACCAAAAGGTTTCTGAAGATTCGTTTCTCTCCAAAATCAAGAAACTCCATGTGTCTCATCTCATTATTTTTACTGCAAGCATTGTGTGTCTTTTATTGGCTCTGGAGTGGGGCGGTGTGAGCTTGGCCTGGACTGACATTAAAGTCATTGCTTTGCTGGTTATATTCGGTAGTACTTTTGGAGTCTTTGTGGCCTTGGAAATGCTACAGAAGGGACGCGGCACCATTCCAAGATCTGTGCTGTTTGATAGGACAGCAGGTCTATGCTTGTTGTATGCATTTTGTGCTGCGGCGGCGTTCAATGTCACAGACTACTTTGTAAGCATCGCCCCATTCCTCGAGCAGCCCGTCCATCATGAGGGTCATAACTAACACACAGCTTCTCAAAGTTGCCCATATGGTTTCAAGCCATCAAAGGAGCCACGGCAGAGCAGTCGGGCCAAATGCTACTCCCTTCAATCGTCGGCCTGTCTATTGCTGCAATCAGCTCCGGATTCATATTGTCCTATGTGGCGTACTATACGCCTCTTATGTTATGCGGATCAGTTTGCATGATCATTGGCTTCTCCTTTCTAACAGACTTCACCCCAGATACTGGACATGCTGCCTGGATCGGATGGCAAGTCATGTTCAGTGTAGGCCTCGGTCTGGCATTTCCGCAATCATGGTCCGCTACCCAAGCTGCGCTCAAACCCAACGATATACCTGCTGGCATGGCTGCTGTTGGATTCTCCATTAGTATTGGCGGTGCTCTTTTCATTTCCATTTCACAAAATATCTTTGCAAACCTCCTCCAAAAAGGCTTATCTTCAGTGCCTGGTTTGGATGTAGACGGGATTATTTCCCGCGGAGCAACAAGTTTTCTAGAAATTGTGCCCGCACCGAAGAGAGATCAGGTGCTTGGGATCTATAACCATGCAATCACCATGACCTTTTGGGCGTCTGTGGCAGTGGCTTGCCTTGGCCTGGTGGCCGCGTTGTGTATGGAATGGAAATCGATCAAACCCGTCAATGAGATAATTGATGGTGAGGAAGAAAGGATTTAAGGCAATGATAACCCCCCCTTCCCCACTGATGCTCCTAGTCGCGTTTTTTTTTTTTTTTTTTTTTTTTTTTGGTGAGATAGATGATCATCCTCTTGAGAAAACTGCGACTGATTGGGGACTTCTGTGTGACTCTCGGACATTTCTCGTGGGTTAAACGCTATTGGAGGACATGGACCTTGGAATGATCTTGTCAAGGCTTGTGTAAATGTTATCTAGTTGATCTGACTGAGTAAACATATACGCACATATTGGCAGAATACAAAAGGGGAGACAAACATGCTCGTGTATGTTAAAAGTTGCTATGCGTCGATGATAATTTGCGTGTCTACGTATCGACTTCGGATCGTCAACGCAAGCAATGTCGGCTGTGCCTGAGTCGTTGATTTACTCTATGGATCTGGGTTCCATTCAAAGAGCTATACTTGAATCATGGGCTACTATTGGCTGCTTAGTGTACAACTCTACAGCGCTGATCATAGCAGTGATTAGCCCTGGGGGCCTCGAAGCTCGCAGGCAGTACCGGCGCTAACTAATCTCCGTGTGGGGAGATTTTAGATCATGACGGCCTTGGAAGCCCAGGTATTATATATACTTCCGGGGCCGTAGGTTGAACAGAAACCATGTGCCAATACCGAGACTATTCATACTTGGCTGGGCCAGCTACGACAGTATCATTTCCGAGAATCTTAAAAAGAGGAGAGAATCAATTGGAAAGTCTGGGCAAATCAGAGACTCGTCAGACTGGGTGGTACCATACGTACCGCAAGTAACTCATAACCCCCTGGACTGTTTCTAAGGACCCTGGAGCAGCATTTCGTAAAGACATGAGGGGCTCAGCCACCCCTAAGCGCCCCTCCAAAGGCAACCGCAGCCAAAGAAGCTGGCTGGCTGCTTGCGTGCGCGAGGGCCGCAGTCTGGATTGCATGTATGAGCTGGAAAATGGGTTTGGCTGGGCAGGATCATGACAACACGGAACGGCTCCCCCATAAACTATGTCAGCTCATCATCCTTTGCGTCTCTTTCTCTCCTCTGGCATTCTTGCCCTTTCTTTGTGTATTATACTCGAATCTGAGCATTCGCCCGATTAATTAGCGCCCGCGCCAGATCTCTCGGCCTACTTTTAGAACCCCTTTCAGGTACGGTACAAACCCGACACGACAGACCACCTCGTATTCCCGGAAGACGAGACTAGAAGCTCGCAACATTCGCTCGTACAATACGACAATACGATAACCCCCAGACGAAGGGGGGGAATCCAGGTTCAGAATGGGTCTCCGCGATATGCTCAAGAAGAAAGACCGGGTCGACCACGAATACTCGCCGGATCAGCATGCAGCAGTCGACAGGCTTGCGGGCCCTGAATTCACCTTCATACGCTCCGACACGCACACCCAGGAGGTCATCTACCCGCCCCCGTCTCCGGGCGTTCGCGATGACCCCGACCAGTACCTGAGCGCCAAGGACAGCAGCAGCGCCGGCGCTAGCAAGACGCGCCGGAGCCTCGACGTATTCAAGCCCCGGTCGCGGGGCAGCAGCCTCTCTTCGTCCAAGAGCAGTGAATTCGCCGCCGCCAAGAAGGAGGGCAACGTGACGCGGCGTCTGAGCCATCGCCTGCACCTGTCCAGGGCGTTGAGTACTTCCGAGTACGTGCCCGAGAACCTACCGACGATCAAGATTGGCGACGGAGACGGCGATGGTGACGCCGATGGCGCTCCGGACAAGGACGCGCGTGAAAGAGAATGGGAAAAGAGAGCCACTATACTGGCGCAGCGCAACGAGCAGACGCTCAATCGGTCTGCCTCTATATCACCATCCCCAGGCAGGGAGCAAACAGACCCGTTTGATATGCAAGCCGTTAGCAGAAGCTTGCAGGCTCATAGTACTTCGGATGGGGTAGTCTCTAGCAAAGCTCTGGACGATGACATTCAGGAGGCCATCAGGTTGCACGAGGAAGGGCAGCTTCAGCAGTCAACAGCAATATTTGGGAGACTTGCAGACCCTCATGGCGACAATAATCCATTGAGCCAGGTCCTCTACGGGCTTGCTCTCAGGTACGTTAAACAGCCGGATCAAACAATGGAGATTTCAAGGTTGGAATCGAGAAGACGTGCAAAATTGTTTTGCATATATCACTATGGAGAGACGCCCGTGGCTAATACGGGTCTGCAGGCATGGCTGGGGATGTGAACCAGATGTGGCTAAAGCCGTCTCATATTTATCAATCGCAGCAGCAAACGCCGCCGAGGTTGAGAATCTAGCCCTCAAAGCTGGGCTGAAGAAGGGCGGCGCTGCCAAAGGAGAGCTTGTCCTGGCCATGTTTGAACTGGCGAATTGCTTCCGTCAGGGATGGGGAGTGCCCAAGGATCCGGTCGCAGCAAAGAATGTCGGTTGTCCTATGCCATGGAAACACACCGGGTCTCATGTTTGCTTACTTATCCATAGTATTACGAAACCGCTGCCAATCTTGGTGACTCCGGTAAGTGGCACAGCTGAGTCGCGCCTCAACATTACAGTTGTACTATACCTGGATCGATGTGCTAATACACTTTTTCTTAGATGCCATGAACGAGGTGGCTTGGTGCTATCTTGAAGGTTTTGGATGTAAAAAAGACAAGGTATGTTGGGCAGTAACCATCTCATCCCGTCACATATCACCTCATGTGGGCAAGTCACTGGAGCGAGACCGGAGCTCCAAAGCTTCGTCATGAGTACGACACGGGAAGACTTGATCGTGATCATCAGCCTCCTTGCCTCGTCATGGAGGCTGTTTGCGGAAGTCATGTATTTCAATCCGGGAGCTTGACCTCGCATACCTCATGTGTCATGATATGTTGGGCAGCAACTTGGGAGGGAGATGCACTAATCACAACGCCCTGCTGCGCCCTTTTTGGCAACGTTGAGCCATACTTTTAGATATGGTGCTGACCTCTCTATTCTCCTAGTTCCTTGCAGCAAAGTATTACCGGCTAGCTGAAAAGGCCGGCAACAAGACTCTAGGAAATACATGGTAAGCTTCCTCTTCACTACTGCATACAAACATAGCCCTCATCGGCTTCCTTCTCCAACTCTACCTATTCCTTGTTGGTACCCGCGCACAATTCCTTGGTAGACATACATGCATGGCCGGCTGTCGCATAATCCGGCCAGCCAGGCGCTTTCATAGGCTCTCAGTGCACGTCGTTCGAATGTTGCAATCTCGCCTCGTTTCTGCGGTCTAGACTCCAGGCCTCTTTCTTGTCTCACCCTGGGTCACAAAACGGTGCACGTTGGTTACCAAAACGGTGACACGGTTGGGGGCCAAATGAGACGGCTGAGAAAAGATGGCGTCCCTCCCTCGGCCTAGTTGAAGTTCTGGCACACCTTGTGTTACCTCTAATAGCTCTCCAACCCTCCCTTCTTCCACGGCCGTGGCTGATTGACGCAATGTCCTGCCACCCACCCGCTCTCATCTAAGCCATACCTACCTGGTCTGCGATAAGCGAGCTCACTGACGATTGCTCAAACACAGGATATGGAAGGAAAAGTACGATCCGGATAAAGCGCGCAAGAAATAGATGGTGCGCTGCTTTTATTTGCATCATTTTAGTGGTCGTACCTTGACACACAGTGTTTATTTACAGAACTTGTACTGAGATGCTGCTCTCGGATAGCCTGGGCGTTCTAGCTCATCGGGCACATTTTGTGTGCGCCATATTGCAGTGGCTTGTTATTGTTGTTGTTGGCTTAGCATCGGGTTGGATACTTGGAAGTAGGTCATGGGCGAATTAGCGAGACAGAGAGATGGGGGTTTTATCAAAACAAATCAAAAGTAGGCCTATGAGCAAACCTGCTGATGACGATGCCAATTTGCACCGAATTGATCATGAGGAGTCCATCTGCTGCCAAAAGACCTAGAACACCAGGGCGGACGATCGTTTTTTCATGCAGGCTGTCTAACGATTGGAATCTGAGCTTACAGAAACGCATCTGTTATGCATACATTCTTTGCATACGCAGAGGAGGAGACTGCCACTGCCTGTGGGGGATTTTGTGCTTGCGCAGAAGGGATTGGATATATGACCACAGGGGGAGGGTCGCACTCGACTGCTTGCTGCAGCAGAGAGGTACACTGGGCTTACTTGCATTGCATGTAGCCTATCGGAAAATCTATGCGCAATGCCGAACCATTTCAGCAAAAATTTGAGGCAGGCAGAGAAATGAATAAATAGATGATACATGTTCTGACTTGCTGCCTTGAAGACATGTTATCTTGATTTGTATATAAACCCGTCATGAAAGCTCAGCCTTGAATCAGGCACCATTAATTCATTAGACATGGCTATTACTTGTCAAACTCAAAAAATAAGTATAATACTTGTCATGTATGCGAACGGGTGCTTGATGAGCCAACCATGACGCAAAAACGTAAAGTATCGGTCATAGCAAAATCCCAAGCTTTTCTTCTGCTTTGATTGCGGCGACGTCAAACGTCTCTGGTAGCTCTGCAGGTCTCTGGCTAAACTTGCGCCCGCGGCATAAACAGAGCCCGGAATATATGTATATCTTCTCTTGAATAAAAACAAAAGCTCCGTCATAAGTCGACGTTTACTAGTCTCCGCATTCGGCGCTGTGTAATTTATGGAACGAGGAATTTTGACTTCCAATATGCATTTAAATGGGGGGAAATAGTAAAATGCATGTCCCATCCCCGGGACCGAAAGCCTGTATTACCAAGCTAGCATATAATTCTCAGCCTTTTTCAATTTCACATATAATGGATTGCCCATCTTGGTTCGTGGAGATGGCGATTCTACATTTCAACCAAAAGACGGATATAGGATTATGCGAAGAAGGGTATGACAACTGCTAGCAAGAGACTTTTTTAGAATTACCACCATTAAGAAAACATCGGCCGCAAGAATTTTAGAATAATATATGACCCGACCAGAGTCTGTCTCCACCTTGGATACCCCAGCGGCAGGGCAAAGGGTTGTGATATCATACATATCTTTTCAAGGGTATACCATGATCCCGCGCCGAAGAGTGCGAGAAGAAGAAAAAGAAGCGATTGTGGCATAAGCAGCGAATGGATCATGGTGGAGGGGTTTCGAGTCCCTTTCTCCGATCGGGCCGTATTGCTAATTTTGTAACGTTTGGCAAGAAAGCGGGAAGACAAAATGTTTCTTCTTCTTGTGCTTCAATATCTTCGAGTACACATGGCAACACACACACATACGCACACACGATATTGCATAATCCCGCCTCCTCCCCTCCTCCCCTTCGGCTCCGGAGCATTCCGGATCGTCGTACGTAGAATTCAAAAAAGACGAAAGTTGTTGCACGTTGTACGCGGCAGGGCGCGTAGAAGAGGTGAACTATGTTTTCCCCTTCCCTCCCCCTCTTTTTCTCGCTCTCTTTAATTGGGATTTCTGGGCCCCGAAAATAATGGTGTAGTGAAACAGGGGGTGACAAATGGGAGGCTAAGCGTCTGATCTCGCAAGTCATTTCGAGAGTTATATAGAAGCTCACGCAGGTAACCGTGACGAATCTATATGTAATATCGTAGAACAGTCGCGGCATTAGTCAAGGAAAAGTCACGAAAAGGGCCGGAGGGACTAAATGTATTACTTTCAGTCAACATGTGAGAAGTAATGGTGTTGTAGATATATCGTTTGCCCAGCCCCCTCCCTCCCTCTGGGCGTGGCACATGGCGTTGGGCAACTTATTTCTCGTGTACAAAAGACGAGACTAACACTATTGCTTTCCTTTTCTGCTTTGTCGGTTTCATTATTAAATATATGAAAAGGGTTGGCAGTAAGAAACATTGGCCTGGGGGCGATTCCCGGGCATTGTTATACCGTATGTAAAACCTGGTGCGAGATGATGAGATGGTTGGACGCGCCACACATGGTATCACCGTGACACTGGGTGGGATAGAAAGGATGCACAGATAATTTGAGATGGCGGGGAAATGGAGGGTTTGACAAAGGAATCTTTTTTTTTTTATACAATCTCATCTTTATGCAGTCCAACTATGACTCGAGACGGTTCCAACGACGCACAAAGACAAAAACAGTGAGAGTTTCTTCGAGGCTCGTTCCTAGGGCTCATTCCTTCCTTGCTGGCCCACCACAGGCGGCGCCAGGCAGGTAGGTAGGTACATATCAAATGGAAGCAAATCTGCTCTAGTCTTTATTCATACTTGTTTATTTTGGGAATCTTTTGACATGTATTCTCGTAAACAAGAATAAATCACATTCGCTGCCCAAGCAAATCGGCGCGATAAAAGTCAGGCATCGTTTTCCTTCCCTCTTCCTGGCACCGTACCCGAGATCAAGTGACTTGAGTTACCTGTATCCGTGAGGCGCGGCGGCAGGCTACCGAACAACCCTGCTACGAAAAGATGGGCAGCGCAGCCAAAAGGAAAGAATCAGATGTCCTGTTTTATTTGGGGCAAAGATAATCGAGATATGCAAGAATGTTGGCGCCCGCAAAGATTTGATTGGTTTATTGCGGCGAAAAAAAAAAGCAGGTCTCTTGGTCAGCTCAAAAGAATGACGGCTAATACCTGTTGTTGTGGCGCCCCGTTCCTGGAGTGCATTGGGAATAAAGGTGGGAGGGGGCGTTGATACTAGTAGATGACCATTTTCTTCCGCGTTTCGAATAATCAAGGAATCAGAGAAGAGAAGAAAGAGAGGCTAATGATATGATGATGACTGCCCTTCCCTCTCTCTCTCATCTCAGCCCATTATACGAATGATGCCTAGGGGCTTGGATTCTTGCTACTATCTTTGGGGGGGGTCTCCACACACCGAGTCGGGGGTGGTGGTGTCAATAAAAAAAAAACGAGGGATTATGATTTGCTTGAAATATAGTCCCGACTATCTGGAATTGCCGGGACCGACCAAGCCCACCCACTTTCCATCCTTCTTTTCTTTCCCGTGAGCCTGTTCAACGGGATCACGGGGTTTCCCCCTTCATCCAATGTTGTTTTACCAACAAGGAAGCCGGGGCTGATCGACTGTACAAGGATACGAGTGTTGTTACGCACATGCGCGCGCACGGTAGTACACACACAATTACACGCATGCACATACACATACCCGCGATCTTGATCTTATTCATGATTCTAGCTCATTCACATCTCGAACATCTTGCCGTCGTCCTACCCGCGGCAAAAAGTGGCGAAGCACGAGTTATGGAACCCACATTCCCAGTCCCTCCCCTCTATTTCTTTTGAATAATCATTCCTAGGCTGTAATCCCATCCCAAGATCTAGTTTGCCTGCCCGCACTCCATATCCATTGTGGCCGTGTTCCCAAAAGGTCAAAAGAAAAGAAAAATGGGGCGCGTGCTAAAACGGAAGAGGCTCGGCTATCCTACCTATCTTATCCACTACACCATTTATATATCTTGCACCAAGTAGCTACTCGTCATCCGACATCTGACAGACAGACAGATCGGCATACAGTAAGTATTACCTAGTTTGTACATTTTAGTTCAGCAGCAGACGGGGCCCTGTAATGATAAAAAAGAGACTGGTAGGACAAAAACGGGTCTCCTTTCAGAGAGGGTGTGTATGTGTGCCAGAGCAAGTGAGCAAAGTCAATACAAGCGAGCTGCAAACCCCGCAAAAATCCATCCTCCTCAGGCCTTTCCTTTGAGGGGGGGTTAATGGATGGGTTGCCCGGCTCTGTTTGCAACAGAACACATGCACACCACAAGAAAACCTCAAGAAATCCTATAGGCTCCCCCCTCTCTTTACCTCTCCCCCCCAAAAAACCGTCCCAAATTCCTCGTACAGGATAGTAGTCCTCTCGGCGCCCCGCGGGTGACATGGAGACAACCACACCCCTTCTCCGTAGTGGTCATCTCTTGTCGTCTCGGCCTTCCTTGTCCTACTTGCACGTCCGAGACATGATCAGGCTCAGTCCCTTGTAACGTGCCCTGTGGCGATCTTGTCGGGTAATATTTTTGATTTTTATTCATTTTCTTATCTTTTTTTTTTTTTTTTTTTTTTCGCGATTGAATATTCGCTGGTTTTTCGGAGCAAAATAGCAAATGTCCAAGACTAAAGTGACCATCCATGTCCCCCCAATGATAGGCCCGGCCTGCCTGCCCTGCCCAGTATGACAAAAGCAGACTGTCTCAGCGAGTATCACTGTGGATTCTCAGTTCACTTTTCACCATACATGCATGAGTTGAGAAGAGTTCTTGAGGTGGAAAGAATAGAGGTCTGGTCATGCTCATTTGACAGTTGGAGGAGTGTTCTAGCTACATGAACCGCATTAGAAGGATCATTACATCAAGTAAACCCCGAAACGATGCCCTCCCATTCTGTGACTGCTGTTGATGGCGCTGTAATGCTGTTTCTGTTGTTCTGTTGACATTTGCTTCCAAGGAGACTGCTCATGTTTCTCGTGACCCAAAAGAAAAAAAAATATGTCGAAATCCACGAGGATGAAGCCACTGGGTCGAGCTTTTTATCCTTCATCGAGATGGTGTAATTTGTTTCCTCCTCTGCCTCAAGTGGGCCGACCGTTCCGTCTTTCCAACACAAAAGCCCAATGAGCTGTCGTAAGACATTACCAATCGTACTCCCTCCAAGAGTTCCCTCCTTCACCCCTCCATCTGTCCTTCGTCCACCATGAGACCCATGGAGGATCCCTGGGTGGTAGAAGACTGATGGTAAGACAGTCTTGTATTCCGGCCATGTTCCCAATCTTCTCCAAGAATCCAAAGAAACAGTTATACAAGAAGGAAAAGGTCTGGTCCGGACTAAGCCGGTACCACAAGGAAAATGATTGCCCATCATCCGTTTTCGCCATGCAAAATGACCCAAAGAAATTCCCCATCGATAAAGGTATATCGAGAGAGGGTTGACGCAAAGAAATCCAAATCAGTGTAAAAATCAAAGGTAAAATCAAATGCTGGCTCGCTTGCTAATCTCGACACAAGGATAAAAAAAAACAAAAAGTGACTGAAAATCCGCTAGACAAAGTAGACAAAAGGTGCTATCAGTTTGCACATTTGCGCGTGAGCTGCATTTGGATGTAGTTTGCGCGGTGAGCGGCGGAAAGTGTATGAACAGGAGAGGATTTGTTTTTGAGGAGGAAAAAACAAAAGAGATTTCGACAGATTGATGATGACCAAAGGAAAGAAACCACGCTGTGTCGTAAAAGTCCGGGAGAACGAGTTCACGTTGAATCATCGTCTTTAATCATTAATTCGTAATAATCATGTCATCGCCTCGTTGCCGGATTGGTGCTCCTTGTGAGCATTGGCCTCGGCCACCATTTTAGCAAAGTTTCTGACAACGTCGCGAGGGATCTGGTCCCACAAAAGAGATCTAGTGTAGACTTCGGCGGCGGACTGTTTGTCGTTGTTGCGCATCGCCGCCAGGGATTGGGCAAGGTTGCGGCGGCCCTGGCTTGTTGATGGGGGAGGTACATTTTGGAGAAAGTCTTGAGAGGTGACTCCGTTGTATTGCGCAGGTGTCATGGAGAAGAGCTGCTCCTTGGTCTGCTCCTGCGTGGGCCTGGTGAGGGAGTCGCTGAGATCGCCTAGGACGGAGGGGGCAATGCCGTTCATGTTGACACCGTGCATCGGAGTTGGTGTAGCCATGGCCCAGCTAGCTCCCGAGGGCTGAGGTGCTTGAGCGGACATGATAGCGCCAGGTGCCTGCGCAACGCCAGCGTCCTTGAAGATGTTTTCGAGGAGGGTAGCGGAAGCCTCGCGGACATCTTCAGAGACGCGAGGAATACTTGGAGTGGCCGAGCGGTTAGACATGACGAAGGCGCCGACAAGGAAGAGCATGAAGAGAAGTCCACCCTGAGTAGAGTGCTTGTCGCCATCGGAAGGAAGCGAAATCTCGGTCTTCTTGGTTGACATGATCTGGACTTCCTGCTTGACGTCCTGCTCCATGGGCTGGTATTCGCCCATAAAGCCCATGTTCTCCCAAGAGGAGGGATCCATGGTCATATCCATCTCGTTGAAGGCGTTGGAGTAACCGACATTGCTGGGCATGTTGGCGGTCTCGAGGCTCTTGACGTGCTCGCTGAGGACGCTGACCTTCTTGCGCAGCTCGCCGGTCTCCATGGTGTGGTTGCCAATGAGCTCCTCCTTCTCCATCATGAGGCACTCGGCGCGGTTCTGGAAAAACTCCTTCTCGCGCATCAAGTGTTCGAGCTTCATGTTCAGCTCAGTAATCATGTCCTCCTGCTCCGAGATGACGGCGGTGTATTGCTTCTTCTCATCTTCGAGGCGCTCAGTGTGCAGCTTCTTCCTCTGTCTCGAGTCGAGAGCTGCCTGGCGATTTCGCAGAAGACGCTTTTGCTGCTTCAGCTCCTTGATCTCCTGGTCGTCATTCGACTGCGAGATCAACTGATCAATGTTGTTCAGGTTGCGCTCAGCAGGAATGTCGAATCTGGCGTTCTTTTTCCTGATGCCATCGCCCCGGCGCAGCTCATTGTGCGACCTGATGGGCGGGCTATCGGGTTGCATGCGCTTGGCCATGGACTGGTGATTCTTGGGGTCCTGGCCCATCCAGCCCTTCATGGGTTGCGCAGGTATCGAGTGACCGTTGGGACCAACGTTCTGGAACAAGGGGACCTGGCCGGTGGGGTTTGTGAAGGGAGTCTGGGTGGGCATGGCCTGTTGAAACACGGGAGCACCGCCGTCATACTCGGTAGCGAGACCATCGTACTGCTGCAGAGGCGTACAGGTGCCGGAACCGTGGTTCATATTCCACTGACCCTGCGGGGCATAGGCGGCGGCTTGCGACTGATCCATGCGCATAAAAGGGTTGTTACTTTGGGGTTCCAAGAAGGGATTATTCGAGGGCACGGATTGCATGTCCACGGATTGCCAGTCCTCTGTCTTGGGCGAGAATAATGTCGATGAGACAGCAAAAGAATCTCTGCGGCTACCCGCCATGGGCGGTGACATCTCGAGTCCCGAGTCGAGACTTCCGTTGTGGTCTAGAAGACTGTCGTCGAGCAGACTGCTATCCTCTTCCTCAAAGTACTTTTGAGCTTGCGATGTGTCGACACTCAGTGGGTTGGGCCTAAAGTAAGCCGGCATCTGATATGTTGAGACCATTGCAAGGTCGGTTTGTCTGTTGCTGTTGTTGTAGTGTGTATAATCGGTGGTGAGACCGAAAATGTTGTTGTGAAATCTACACAAATGTCGAAGAGTTCAATGCGAACTAGCAAGTTGCCCGTATTAGTGCTCTGAAGCGGTGAGGAGCTTAAAAAAAAATAAAGGCGGGCGACTATGTGTGAGGATTATATGCTCGACACTGTATGAATGCTTGTTGCAGTGCGGCGAGAAAGGAAAAAAAAAATTCTGCTTCTCCTGTCCCCAAAGAGAATTCTCTGATCTTTTTTCTCGTTGCAAATATGGTCGTGACTCGTGTTGGGAAATAATGTGCATGTGTGTAGAGGTGCAGGCAGGTATTGAATAATAATACTGCGAGACAATTGGGAGGGGAAAGGTCTCAGACTAGAGGGGAGATAGTGAAGTGCAGAGGGAGAGATAGAGAATAGTGGTCAGAGGTTGGTGACTGTGTGGGGAGACGGGAGGAAGCGGGAAAGGTTTTAAACAGCAGGTGGGAAGATAGTCGGTCGACTCACTCTCTCCAAAAGGTCTTGCTTCTTGTCTGGGAAATCTCACTCTCTAACCTGTTATACAGAGAGCGCTTCGCGAATTTTTTTTGTCAGACTGTGAAACTGAAGATTCGCGGGTGGGAAAGAGGGCACAAAAAAAGAATCAAATAATAAAGAAGAAGAAGACGATTGTGCTTTGCGTTGACGACGTAAGTTGTTGTTGTTGTTGGGATTCTGGATTTTCTATCGTGAAATGGGGGCGGCATACCAGAGGGCAGCGGCCGGGTCTTGTACTCAGCGATGATGTGCGGGCCTGACCCAAGTCTGGCTCCCAGGGTCCTGCTCTTGGGGCATTACGGGAAACGGGGGGGGGGGGGGGGGGGAGTACAAGAGCCAAGTCGCTATTTAGGTGGGGATGGGGGGGAGAGCAGATGCCCGCGAGACCATGGACTGACGAACGGGAAGTTTTCTTCTGGCCTAGCGGGTGGGCAGCTGGCTTGGTGTGGGAGGAGGCATGTATGTTGGACGTGGGTATCGATTGGCTTGACCATACCCAGAGTACGTAGGTACTTTACTTTGCTTTGGTGTGTGATGGGAAACGAAGAAGAGAAAATACACACAGTAGAAAAAGAGAGAGAGAGAGAGAGAGCCCATAGTTCCCGGCCCTGCTAGTGTACAATCTTTCTTGCTGGGGACAGGACAAGTACGGAATATGGAGAGGCAGAGTCACAGTTACAGACCTTCTACGCACTCTCTTCTCTCTCCGTTTCTTCGTCACTTCCTCTTTTTCTCATCGGCTCCGTTCAGAATAATACTCTGCAACTGACATTTTGCGTGGCTTACGAGAAACCCGTAATACTATAGACGGTCATACCCCGTTGCAGACCTCCATAATCTGGTCTTCCAATGATAGTTGGGCGGCCTTTGATAGACACTGCACAGTATATTCATCACAGTCGCCCATCAAGGTACTAGACTATTGGCTCTTGTCCTCAAACTTGCGGCCAGACAGGGCTGCTGATACAGCCAGTCTAGGGCAGGCTTGACATTGGCATTGGTACGGACAAAATAGTGTAGAGCACGCACAAAAGAGGGAAAGAGAGAAAGAGGGAAAAAACGGACGAGCCCTTCGGCTTGCATCTCTATTCCGCGCATGAATATGACTGGTGGGACTAGAGGGGCCAGACCGTGTGTCTACAGATGCGTACAAAATCGTGATGGGCAGCAAGCAGCAAGAGCAGCAGCAAGCAGAAAAGAAAACGGATGTGGGCATGAGAAGAGAACGGAGGTCGGATCAGTATCGTATCGTAGCGTATTGTGACGGGATGCCCCATTAAACTGGCCAGATCCAGGTCTCGGATAGGCTGAAAAAACCCCGATGAGGGTAAGCAGGGGCTGCAGTATTAAGCCGTTGGTACACTAGAAAGTAGAAAGTACGTAGAAAATGGCCCATGAACCAGCCAGTCAGCCAGCCAGCTTTGGAGAAAGAAAAAACGGCAGCCCTGTTGACGTTGGGCATCAACGAGAGAAACCATGTTGCTCAGAGTCAGGGTGCAGTCGTCGCTACCTGATGTCCTGGGGGAGGAGCACATCCATGGCACCATTAGTACCAGAAATGCACACGAGTGCTCCTCTTCGGCATCCACTGACAGCCACTAGAAGCCATCTGGAAGATCCTATTGCTCAGCCAGCTGGGTGGAGATGGTGTAGAGGAATGACTGCTGAGCAACTGGCTGAGAGCGTTTCGCACGGTGAGGTAAGCCTGTCGCGGGAGCCCAGAGGAGGTCGCTTGACGGGCGTGATAGCGCTCCCATGCTGCCGCTTCAGTGGTCACTGGCAGCCCCTTGAGGCCTTACCGTCAAAGGTGTGCGCGCCTGAATGTGACAGGACAGAGGTGATGAGCACAGTGCTCGGGCGTAGAGACGCTTTTGAGGGCTAGTAGTTGACGCAAAAGAAGGTCGATAGTGGTTTAGTATTGGCAACTGCCCTGCCTGCCTGCCTGCCCGTACATGAGACGACCGACGTACGTACAGTACATACCTTTCCTGGGAGCTGGCTTGGCTTGGCTTGTTTGTCAAGTTCCTCCCTGACCAGGTACTATAGGCAGGTATAAGCCCAGTTCTGGAGCTTCACATAGCTAACCAGACCACCTATGGACTATACATGGCAAACCTCTGACCTACCTATAATGTACACTACCTAACGAGGGGCTGAGAGCCTCCCGGGATGAATGCCGGAGCGAGCGGCCTGACAGCGACAGCCCCACGCCTTGCTTGGTTTGACATTCCAATCCGATGAGCAAGTTTTCCCAACAGGTCGAGACGTTGCTGTTGTTGAGCAGCAGGAGCAGTAGTAGCAGCAGCCAGCAGCAGCAGCCAGCAAGTATCTTGTTTTCTCAGGTGAGGAGACCGGCATCTTTCACAGTTGCGAATTTTGGAACATGGCCAAGCGCCCACCCGAGAGTGAACGAGCGAACAAGCAAACCAGATAATCATCAAGTCAGCAGTCACGTTATCGACCTTTTAAAAGCTGTTCTGTAAATAGAAGGTTTAATAGTGCCACTTGCTAGAGGGACAGATAGCACCTCTTCTGCCACCTCCCCCGCAGCAAAGTGTGGCGCCAAACGCCCGGCTGGTTTTATTCAGCAGACCCAAAACTACCATCTGTGACCTATGTAAGCTGCAGTAGTCAGAACGTTAGAGCAGTAAGCAGGCTCCTTTGAGACTTCATGCTATACCTTTTGGCATCCCAATTTGGACGTGCTATCAAGCAGTATAGCGCTACCTACACTACTCAACCAACATCCATAAGCTGCTACTCATTAGCTACTTGTTACTACTATACCCCGCGCCGTATATATTTTGTTTCGTGTTATTTGTGGGCAACGGTTTTAGTCTATGGAGTCGCATGGCGCAAGCTCTCGTTGTTCGTCGCACGTTGATCGCTTTGATCTGATACAAACACCTTTTTTTTCGGTAGAACAAGTGGTTTTTACTGGTGAATACAGGGCTTGAGGGGATCCGCAATTCCGTGATCTGACGAATCTAGTGTAGCGTAGCCGTAGCCCGGTAAGGACGGGAGCTTGGGGGGTGCAAGCTTAGGGGGAGAGCCCATCACTCTTTTTTTTTTTGGTCTGTGTTGCAAGCGAGACCCAGGAGTGAGCCTTGAGAAGATCCCTCCTCCACTGTGTTTTCGAACAACTCCATTCTTCTGGAAGCGTCCTCTCAGCTTGGACTGATCGCCTACCGCTAGGTGAAGATCAAGCTAGCAGGAACATCAAGACTGGAGCAAGGAGCCTCTTTGGCGCAATGCACGCATGCATCGTAGCGGAGGAAGGCCCTCAACATCCAGCGAATATCAGAGCAAGAGAGCTCCGTTCCCAGAGCAACAACGTCCAAGGGGTCCCCAACATCAGCCGGTTTTTCGCGGCCAAAGGCGTGAATTGGCAAGGTGGTGATGGACTCTGCTGCTGCTGTTCGTTGATGCTACTCTTGCCTTCTCCATCACGTCTGTATACTGTGCAGAGCTGGGACGCACGAAACCCACTGGAATTATTCCGTATGTAGAGAATATCCGCTAGAAGCTTACTAGAAGAGAGCATTTTAGAGTCGAAGCACAGGCAGCGGAGATCGGGACTGATCCCTCTGACAGCTCCAGCAGGCCCATCCTGGACAAGGGCAGCTCCAAGGGACGCAGGGTGCGGACGGGCCTCTATGTACACCATGAGTCTCAAAGAGGCAGAAAAACTTTTCGTGGTAAGCTTGTCGTCGGAATATTTTTTGTTTTGGCGCAATCATGGAATGGGACGATGGGGAAAACTTTTGGGTATCAAGGTCAATCCCGACACGGCCAATCTAGACCGCAAAGGCTTTTCAGCAAGAGAATCAAGGCACAACCCAGCCGGGTGCTTTAATAGCAGACATGATTATATTATGACGTATAGCTCGTAGTCATGGGCTCAACACAAACAGCCTTGACAGCCAGCCGGTAGACGGCCTGATGTGGGAGATAGAGAATCTCTCCTGTTGTACATAATCTGTACATACATGCCTCCCGGCCCAGATGCCCGGAACCGAAGAGAACCTCCAATTGACAGCAACGACTTGGGGGTTTGATACGTAGAGATCCGAACAGTGGATCAAAGCGGCTTTGTCGCCGAGCTCGCGATAGGTAAGCAGGCAGCGCACCCGGGGCACTGTGACTGAGCGGCAAAGAGGCTCCTGGGGACTTGAGTCACGACTACCTAGCCTACCTGGCGCAGAGACGCGTTCCGTAATCGCTCCTCCAGAAGCGATAGGTTATACTCGATTGATCGTCAAAACACACAAGGGCCACCATTTACTGGACCACCCGCGCGCGCGCGTGTAAATACTCCCCAAGCCAAGCCCAGCACTTGCACGGCGGCGCGAATGGGAAAAGCGTAGCCGATTCTCGAGATATGGAGCCTTTGGTCCTGCGACAAGTGCCTGCCCGTACCACAGTGTGAAAACATCGAGCAGAAGAGCACTCGGCGACATTCGCAACTATACTGCCAATCGGGGCGTCGGCCGCTGCGCTTCCCACGCGACATTGGCGGCTGCGACATACATATCCAGCATGGTCGGCACGTTGGGCAGAATCCATCTTCCCATCCACGGCCTGATATGAACAAATAGGAACTCTGATGAACCCTCTCGTTCGCATATCTCTCCGGGCCTAAGCAATGTAGGAAGGGTCTGAAAGAGACAAGCCTGCGCAAGCGCAAAGGTCGGCGCATTACTCGTGGGTATGCACATTAGAACTCCATGATGGCCAAATACGGGAAGCCCTTGGTAATTTTTTTTTTCTTCTGGTCCTTCCTCCCTTCCCCTGCTGTTCTTGTCGTGAGAAGCCTGGCCCGCCTCAAAAGTTACTGATTGGTCCTCAAGAGGCTATGGAGCACCGGCGCACTCGCGCGGGAAGAAGCATTGATCAGGAGACTAGCTGGGCTTCGGGAGACGTGCATTCGTGAAACCTCTGTATTCCCACAGCATGAGAGAGATCCCCGCATAGTCTTGAAGCTAAGTAGGTAATACTCGGACGTAATTCGCAAGGCATAGAACCTGGTTATGCCTTCATTCCATGACGCATTTCAAGGCAGAGAACAGACCGCAAGGCCATATACAGATCCTCGCCCGACTTCAAGGAGGAGAGGAGGGGGGGCCCAGTACTATACTATAGTACCGGCCGCTGGGCTCCATTTCATCGAACGGGGAACTTGTGCTGTGGCCCCCGGGTGGGACACAAGGCTAGGAAAGGCAGAAAACAAAAAGAGAGAGACACAGAGAAAGAAATACAGGTGTACACCGACATGGCTAATCATTCCGTGGTGCCGAATTAAGAAGTTAGGTCTGTCTTGTGTGTGTTTGGTTTATTGACCTCGCTTGGTCGTTTGCTCAGGTAAAAGAAGGGTCGACCTATTTCGACGGCGTTGGGCACGAACCAGAGGGAGAGGATTGGTGTGCGTCGAGCCAGTCAAAAGGAAGAGATGCTGGCGGGCGACCTTTTATGCGGCCGGGTGTCACCACCAAAACCCACCACGAGGATGTGATTGAGCCCGGACCAGGTAGTGATCAGAGAGACCTCTGCGAGATGGGTGTCTCCTCCGACGGCAATCGGAGATCTGAAATACGCAAATCGGTGGCATAGCGTTTCTAGGGCTGGACACAAATGGGAGTTGTCTGGGCTGAGTGGAACTGCTTTACGGTTTATGATCTTTTTGAGTCAGGCCCCCTGGTAACCTAAGGTCAGAGAATGATAGCAAGCAGGCAAGAGAGCCACGCCCACAAGAGCGGTGAGCATGCAGCATCTGAATCTCCCCCAACATACCCTGGTTGACAAGTTCGCACTGTCGAGGAGCCATACTGATTCTCCCCCAGAACAACTGTATACGTACAGTAGGCAAAATGGTGGTTCGTAAACCTGGCGAGTCGTAGAATCTCATGCCTCGGTCGATAAAGACACGGAAGAGAACGAAATGCTGTGACAAGATCGCCGCATGCGTGGCTCGATGGCAGTAACACCTGATGATGACGATGATGGATCATCTTGACAGTCTGTTTGATCACGTCCCCATAGCATTCGGTCCTCTTTTTTGTTTTCCCCCTTCAGAATTGCTTCCTTTGTGGCACTTGCCGTCGTAGCTGGAGATCCCATCGCGGAACAAGGCCAACCAGGACATTTCTTTCGTCCTCAGATTTGTGCTCACCTACGGCCACCTGCAGGGCTGCTGGTGTGCCTGCATAGATACGTAAGGTACTCGCGGATCTTTTTACTGCTGACACCAGTGCCACAAGAGCTATTTTTGTGATATTGTCCTTCTCGAGTAAAGTGAGTTTGAATATTACCAATGATCAATGGCCATCTCTTATCTCGAATGTGGCTGGGAATCAAGGGAATCCGTTTGGCTATTATCGACGATGCGGTCGCCATTGGTTCCCATGCCCGTGGCTTGGGTCCATCAAGAAGTCGATCTCTGTCGACCAAAGGGAGGAGCCCAAGCCTCAGCGCTCCTATGGGATCAAGCCCAATAGTCTGGAATTCGATCTGCTGCAAGCCGAGAGCAAAATTGCTCTCAGGGTTGCAAATCTGTTTCCTATGCTGGTACTCCGGTGTGAACAAGTCATGTATAGTAGTTGCAAGTATACCTTGCAGTCCTGAAACACGGTCAATTCTTGCCCAACATTGATTGCCTCCTGGCATGAATCGAAGCCGACTTGTTACGCGTGAGTTTCCACAGCCACGAACTATTCAAGGGCGAGAATTGAGATCCTTCGGAGGTCGTACCCTAGGACTTCCAAGAACGAGCGAGTCGGCGTTGACGACGGGTGTTTGTAACCGCCGCAAGCTCTCGTTGGTGGTTGTTGAAGGCCTTGAAAGAATTCTTCGCAGCCCAAAGCCTGGGCTGTTCTACACTGCAGCCAGTCATTTTCAAACTATACTAATTGTGAATGCATACATACCATGCCTGTTAGCGAACAACGCACAGCACAAGCCCAATCAATTTGCATACGCTCTTACCGCTTACACGTGATTGACAAGATGTTTGACTCATCCAAAGCGACGATTCCATAACGATCATCATCTCGCAGCTTGATAGCGGGACCAGGCAATATCACAGCCTAAACGTGGACGACCCAATAGCCTTCCACATCATAGTCACGGATGTCAAGTTGCAGTCAGAGTGGAAACGGTCAACGGGCAAAGCCGACTGACTATGCAAGCACGGAATAATGGGCAAGCCAGTTTCGCACATTTCCCTAAAAGTAGAAATTGGGATACAGAGTAACATGGGTAGTCGGCAAATCATTGCGACTCATTTGGTATTCGCTGGTTTTTGTCTATTGATGCATACGGTTGCTACTCAAAGTTCCACAGCTTGGTGAGAAGGTTGTCCTCTACTCCCGACGCCGCGTCGTGAGGGAGGAAAACTCGTTTGGGTATCATGAACTCCACAACTGGCGGCTTCTTGATTTGTTTCAATAGCTCGGCGTCCAACAAGCTGCTGTAAGAATGGTCGAGGAAATCCTCGGTGTTGTATGTCTGCTTGGTGAATTGCTCCGATATGATCTTTGCAATTGTCGCCACATTCGGGTGATAGTGTGATTGTAGTTGAACAAGTTCCCAAACACAACTATCGATCGCTCGCGTCTCCATTGGATCCTCCTCGTTGGCGTTGAAGGGGTCATCAAGGCCATTTGTCTTGATCATTTGTTTTTCCTCCTCCGACCTTGATTCTCGGTGCATCATAAAAGTACATAATGGATGCTTTTTGAAAAGGTTGTATATCCAAGGAACTGTCGCCACTACTGCAGCTGGTGGCGCATTGAGACAGAGCCTCGAAAGCCTCTTGATGAAGCTGGCCACCAGCACTGCCGGCAAATGTGTAGATGCAAGAAAAGTGTCAAGTAATCTGAGGAATCTTGAACGATGCTTTGAGTGTAGTATACCGGAATCCAGTAGTGAGTACAGCTTGCGGTAGAAGGATGGGTAGTCCAGGTTTCTGTGCTGGATCAAGAAGAAGACGCCCGACAAGGCAAGCAGCGAGATGGAACCGCCTTCATTGTATGAGTCTGTGAGGAAGTCGGCCAATAGCTCTGGCTGCGTGAACCAAGGGGCGATCGATTGGGTCATAATCTCCAACACTTGTTTGCGCTGATCTCTGTTTGGTCCTGTGCGCAAAAGGGCTACCCAAGCTTCCTGGCCCTGCTTCTTTTGTTGGTTTAAGGATGACACAGGATGGTTCTTCTTTTTTGGCGGCGCAGTGTAAAATTCACCCAGGTCCTCAGCGGAGTCGGGTACATCCTCGAAAAATGATAGTATGTCGAAAGCATTGCCGAAAAGGGTATCTGATGTGATGCCGGCCGATTCCTCAGCCAGGATAGTCTTCAGCGCCTTGAAGGTGTAGAAGCGAACGTCGCAAAACTCTCCCAGGAACTTTTCACAGAATTCCTGCCTAACGTCTTCTGATGCTTCCTTGACCAATGCTGAAACAATGTCCTTGAGGAATTCTCGAGGAAAGTTGTACTCCTCCTTGCTGCTGAGGTACTGGCCTTCAGCCTTCAAGATGCGCATCGCCAATGTCAGAGCAGTCGAGGCAGTTGCCTCATTGCGAAGCGCGGTCAAGACGACCTGCTTGTAGTCGGCAAGCCGTCCTTTGAGCCATTGGATAACAACAATATCTTTTTCCGATTGGCCGGGATTTCTTGTCAGGTTGCCGGCGGCTAGCAATCGTATGAAAACTCGACATAGGGAAACCGTAGCGAGCACAGCTGTCTCTTCATCACCCTGGGCAGATGCGAGTTCCAGCAGCTTGGAAATGTTGTTGTAATTTTTCTTTGACTCGAGAATCGCATTTTCTAAGAGCAGGATGTCGGCTTCGGGGCTCTCATCTTCGCTGTCGCTGCCGCTGCTACTCTCTGGCTTTGCTCGCTTCTTTGGCTTCGCAGCCCCGTCAGATCGTTTGCGCTTCAGAGGAGGCTCTGCTACTTTGGCAGGCATCGTGAAAAGCCCTGGTCGTTGCGCCGTTGTGCTATTTCAATGCTTGCACTGATTCCAGAAATTTTGTCTTCTGAGGTTGTTGCGATAAGATAAGTCTTTCCAAAAAGTTTTGGCGACTGGCGCACAGCTGCTGCGATAAGAGGAGCGATAAAGAAGTCTAGCCCCGCTCAGGTACGTACCTGGAAGCTCGAACTCCCCCAGGTGCCAGTGCCCATCATGAACTTTGAACTTGAACACGCCCTGTAACTTGACCTGTGCTTCTCCCAGGCAGACGGCTCAATACAGCCACGTGATTTGAAGACCTTACGTAATCCACCGTGACGTCGGCATTCCAGCAAACGCAACCAGCAAAGTCAGCGACAGAGCTCATTGATTTCTTTATTCCGAGCATCCTGGCGGCAACTTTGACCGCACGGTATATTAATAACCTTCTTTTCTCCACGATCACCGACCGGGCACGTCAACGCAGAGATTAGATTTGTGCGACGTACCATCAATTGAAGCGACCCCAGTTTGTCACCATGGCGGCCGTTAAGAGCGAGCCTGGCGTCAAGCTGGAGCCTGGTATCAAACCGGATCCTGGCATGGAGATGGACACAGATGATTTGAAGCCCTCGCCCGGTGGATTTGTAGACGACGAGCTTTACGAGGACGCCGGAGATCTAGAATTCTACGATGCGACCCAGCCGCAAGACCCCCAGGGGAACGCATTTTTGGCACACCTTCCAAAGTACCTTTACGACCAGTGGGCACAGCTGGGCGACGATGAAGAGCTCGTAGTTGGAAAGGTGCGGACTTGGACAGAATTGGATAAGACTGGACAGCAAGTACAGAAGTTCGCGATCCTCGCCGACCCGAGCAACCCCGCCCACCAGAATGTCCCGAAAGAGTACACATTGGAGATGAGAGACCCGAATCTTCTCAACACATTCATGTTTACGGAGCAAGACCTACCGGGCTTCAAGAACAAGTACCCAGGCGGACCGAATAATGACATCCCGGCTCATCTACGTCCCAGACCTCCCCAGCCCAAGGAGAACGGAAAGACAGAGGGCGGCGGCGGCGGTGGTGGCGGCGGTGGACGAAACCGAAGAAGAGAGCCGTATTACCGCAAGGCTATACCCAAGAAGACTGTTTTGGCTGCCAGATTTCGCAGGGAGGTGAATGCTCAGCCTGTCATGACTCCCGAGACCAAGCACATCCTGGCCATGAGAGCGAGCGACGCACTCAAACCCAAGGCAACCACTAGCATCATGTCGGGCACAAGAAACCCAGTGGGTATCATTCACGCTGGCACAGCTATGGGCAATGCCAAGATGAGCGGCTTTGTGGTGAGTACCCCTCATTATTGCTCTGGGTGGATAGATGCTAATAGCCACGATAGCGCACCGTCGATCCCAAAGCCAACAACAAAAAGGCGAAGAAAGAGGAAAAGGCCGCACGTATGGAGCAGTCTGCCCTGCTGGATGCAATTTTTGCCTGCTATACCGATACCAAGTATGATTACTGGAGTATGAAGGCATTCAAGAACAGACTAAAGCAGCCCGAAGCATGGCTGCGTGAGAACCTGGAGCAAGTGGCCGTACTACACAAGACCGGTAGATTTGCCAATTACTGGGAACTCAAGCCGGAATATCAGAAGCGAAAGCCCAACGCCGAGACTGCAGCCGAGGTGGCTGACTTTGATGACGAAGATGATGAAGATGACAACGTTGAGATGGAAGACGTTGTATAGTATGCGCGTCAAGGTGCATTTGCATTGAATTGTGTGGCATGAGTGCAAAGCTTTTGGGAAATCATTTGGCGTTTCATGGCTTCCATCATCGGCCAGGAGTTGACTTTGCAGAAAGAAAGCGCACAAAACATTATATAAATTAGAAATACCCAAGGACTGGACAGTGAGTGATTTAGGAGATTGCACGGTCCAGGTAAGATCAGTGCAAATGGGAATTGTTTAGGCGTGTCGCCGACGAGCAGGCATCATTTGTTTAGTCAACAAATTCTAAGGGGAAAAAAGAAGAATAAGGAATATTCTTGACCCAATTTACTTGGACAGATGTGAATATGGTGTAAACCCCATGCTTTTGCATACGTACTAGGTACCTATACTACTAGGTAGATACAGACAAGTGCAAATGAGCTTACCTACTACTTGTTTCAAGTGCCCGAATCTCTCCGCAGCACGAATCGCCGCCCGTCAATCCCCTTGATTCCCCTTCCGCTTCCGGCAATCCACCGTCCCCGCAATCCCACATTTTGACTCGGCTCGGGGGGGAGCTGCAAGCCCGCTTCTACTTTCTAGACTTCTGACAATCCGTTCCCCAACTCCCCTCAATACGTCATATCCCTCCAGTACATGCCTAGTCCTTGTTTTTGCATGTAAGTAGTCGTCGTTGTCGCTCAAATTTTTGTTGGCAGACAAGTCTGGGGGCGGAGCGGTCAATTGAGCAAATGGTGCGAAGTGGGAGATAGAGAGAGAGAGTCCCCCTCCCCTCCCCTTCTGTGAAGGACGGCATTCGTGAGCAACGCATTCCACCCTCCTCATCATGTCCATATTCCTCGACTTTGACGGTACAATAACCGTTCGCGACACCATTGGCGACCTCGCCAAGGCTGCCCTGCGCATTCAGTCTGATCGTGGCGTCGATCTTGACAAGGAATGGGACGAGGTCGTCCAGTCATACGTAAGTCACAGCAACGACTCAAAATTCAAGGGGAGGGGAAAGGGTGATCTGGCTATCTTTCATGTCCAGTCAGGAGAAACCAATTTGTGCTTTTCATAAAACCCAGCAATTCCCTCACTTTTGAACGACTGAAATTGAAGTCTGCAAGCCATGATACCTGCCAGCTACTTCCCACTTGTGGCCGAGATATCCGCCCAAAAAAAAGCTAATTCATCTTTGGTCACCAGATACAAGATTATGAAAATCATGTGGAGGAGTACCACATCAAGGAGGAAGACCGACAGCAGGCCGCCGCGGAGGTGGAGTTCCTGCGAGCAATGAAGACGGTCGAGCTCAAGTCGCTCGACCGGATCAACGCGTGCGCCATCTTCAAGGGCATCAGCGAGGAGGACCTGCGCGAGGCCGGCCGCGCGGCCGTGGCCGACGGCACAGTCCAGATTCGGCCGGGCTTCAAAAAGTTTGTGCACAAGCGGATCAGGGAGGGCTGGCGGATATGGGTCATTAGCGTCAACTGGTCCACGGCCTTTATCGAGGGCGTGCTGGACTGCCCCGACGAGATCCACGTCATTGCCAACCGCATCAGCGGCGACGACGGTACCGTCCTCGGCCCCGAGATGCTCGGCAGCATCGGCGGGCGCGACACGTGCCCCGAGGACCCGCAAAACCTGACCAACTCGAGCGACAAGCTGGACGTGATGAAGGGGGTTCTGCACCGTGACGGCGTCGACAAGGCCCCTAGCTTCTACTTTGGCGACTCCATCACAGACTTGGAATGTCTGCTGCATGCCATGTACGGCGTGGTGATTGCAGACGGACAGGGCGAGAAGTCAAAATTGCTGCAGACACTGCGGAGAATCGGCAAAGCCGTACCCAGAACTCGAGAGTCTGAATCGCTCATCCATGGTCTCACCTGGGCAGAGGACTTTGAAGAGGTGGATAACTTTGTCAGCTTCGGCGTAGGAGGAGGATAGGGCAGTAGTAAGCGTCAATGACTGCCACAAACTCTTTGGTAGTTTACACCGAAGACAATCGGAGCGTACAATTCTTTTCTTTCCGCCCTGGGGATTGCCCAGAGGACAAAGCCTGCGTAGGTCACGTAGACAATGGGCGAGTTCGTTAACAAGGATTGTCTCAAGGCAACATCACGTCAAAGCCGCCAGCATCTTCTTTATGGGCGAGGGACTATTAATTATGTGGTCTTTTCGGGTCTATGGACTACGATCGTGATCCAACTTCTCTCAAGCAAGCAAATCCGCATTCTTGTCCACTTATTTCCTCCCCACGTAGGCACAAACAGGACCCAAGATCACCGCTCCAGTCCTCTGCAAATCCACCACAGAACCCTGTCTCACGGCGAAACCACAAAAAGAACAACGCGCCAATCACAGGTACTGGGACTTGCTGAAAATATTTGATCACCATGTGTGTGTACAAGCGTGTACTGTACGAATTATGCAACCACTCACGATACTCTGCCAAGGTGGAACGAAAGTGTGACGAGCAAAAGGCGTTTGACAAGGGCGAGGGAGCGGAGGTGTGCAAAAAGGTATCGAGCCACCCGCTGGCCACGCTCAAGGTCGCGGGACAATGCCCGCGGTGCGACGGCTCGCAGAAAACCGTCACCCAAAAGCTGCAAAAGGCCAAGGACATGATATCGCAGAGCAAGAAGACGCTAGCTAGTACCGATGCGCGGTGCAGAGCCATTCTGGAGGACGTTGGCATTGACATGAGTGTGAGTGGCAGCAGCAGCGACGACAATGATGATGTGGAAAAGCTCAAGGGGGAAATGAATGAACTTGATGGCAAGGAGGGATCTGGCAAGGATAATGCCGCGGCCGAGGAGTTTTTGAAGAAACGAAAGGAGAGCGACAGTGCAAAACTGTACATGTAGATGGCGAGGTCTCCTATGCTCACCACCAGGTGATGATGACTAGCACAATACATGTCACTGCAGGGTCAAGTGCAATCGGTCCTGGCACAACTGGGAGCTCTGACGCAGATTGAACGGATTTCTTAGAACGGGAATTTGGAATGGAAGTGCAGCACAAACAAATTGACACATCATTTGGAATCTAGACATATTGCGCGAACAAGAATTTTTTGTTCACGATATTAAATTGGCAAGCCACTAGTATAGCAAGGGGAATCTCATTCTGGGTGGTAATAATATTACGATATCACGAGAACTGAAAACCATCCATCACGAAGCTTTGTACCTAGGCGTTGAGTCGACTCTTCCAACGCGGTTCACTTCTAGTGTGCTGATATCGATCAAGTGTGCGTTCGTATAATTATTTCTGTCTTTCAGCAGCGCAAATCCAAAACTTCGCCGTCTCATCCCGCTTGTTTCGTTCGATTCGACTCACTTTGCATCATATCTGGAGTATTTTGATATCTAAGCCATAGAGCGCAACCAACTCAGGTGAGACAAGTATCAAATAACAGTCAAGCAGGTAAACTACTCGCACACGATCGACTTCTCTGCACTATGAAGCCTGGAAGATAGATATATGCGTTTGGACCAGTCGGAATCCGCGCATTGTCGAAGGAATGGAGCTTTTCCATCATCCGTGGAACCGACTTGATCAAGATCATGGCAATTGACATGACAGCAACTGAACATGAAGTCACGGACTACTGCAACCCCCCAATATTCACTAGGCTTGGGGAAATTGAGCAATGAGAAAAGAATTTCTTGATCTGCGTGCCGGTGGAATTGTGTTCCGTCGTGTGTTGCTCTGTGTGTTGCTGTGCATTCGCCAAGATCAAAGTTCACTGGGCTGATAGATCAATGATCAATTGTAGCAGTATCCTGATACTAAACCCTACAGCTCAGCTCAATGTTCGATATCTTGCCTTTGTACTCTGGGGATATGAAATATCGTGTTCGTCTATGGAAAATGTCCTCAAGCTAAGCTCGTGCGATGGCACCATCATGATGTTCGGACAACAAATCACGGATCTTGAATTTTCCCTTCCCCTCCATATTCACTCGGAAGTCTTGGTAGACACAGAAATTATAAATCCGAGACTTTTCCACCTTGGGTAATTTTACATCCCGAGACCATGTTGATTTCATATGATGCTGTAGGTCCGCAAAATACCTCTACTACGGTGAAGTCAAATGGAGAGTCTTGGCTTGTTACTTCCTGAATCGGTAGACCTCTGTACCTGATATCATGTACACTATAGTCATGGAACAAAGTCTGCAAAGCTGCAAACCAGCTCTGTATCCTATACATGATTAAGAAAGACAATAGGGGGAGCCCACAACCAGCGGGCAGATGCGGTGGCACATGGAAAAAAGTGTTTCACAAAACGTTTTGATATAATCTTGACATCACAAATGGCCTCGGAGAAGCTGCACCCTGGAAGTTCTAATTAGGTCATCATGTAGCTCTGCTTGGGACTACCGCATAAAGTTGGTCAGTAAATACATCTCTAGTAGCTTTAGCAAACGAAAGATGTGCAACCAGATGGGAATTGAGGGGTAAGTCGAGGTCATGATACTTTTTGGTCCAACTTTCCCACGTGTCGGGAAGTAATGTCAGGGCACAGGGAAAGGGGAACAAACTACTCAAACGCTTGGGGGGGAAAAAAACCGTCATGTAAGAGAGAGAAAACCGCCACTTGGAAAAGAAAAAAAAAAAAGTACCAAAGACAATTCCAACGTCGGGACGTGCTGCGACTCAAGTGCTGGAGCAAAGTTTATATGTCCCTAACACCCCGTGTGAAAGTAGCTCTGGTGTCTGGGGTATGGCGATACTTGGATACATAATCTTACCAAACCTTCAATGAGGTACAAGGGTACTTGGGCAATGTATATGCATACTCTGTTGGGCCAATATGAGTCTCGTTTATTGCCAAATCTGGCGTTGTCCATTTTTATATAAATGTACATATGTACATATCTACGTAAAGATAACATGGTCCGACTATTACTCACTATATGATATGCTGTTGCTGATTTGTAAAAGAGCCGTAAGCGTAACATTTCCATTTTTAATCATCACATAAGAAGTATCAAGACACATCTCTAGCTCATGTCATTGATATTTAAAAAAAAAAATTACTCGGCCGAGGTAAGAATTCGCGATCGCAGGGGGAAAAAAGGTAAGCAAGAGAGGCCCTTGGCGCCGTTTCAATGCACGTAGATGACGGAGCCAGCGGCGAGCGGACAACAGGTACCCAAATGCAAAATAAACATTTCATCAATGATGATATCAGAATTGGTTTTTTTCTGGGGCCGATTGGACATCAACTGCCCGGGCAGCAAGAGACTGAATAGACGCAGCTCCTAGGCTGGAGTCAGGTAGCGTAGTCGTTTGAGAATATTCCAGCACCTTTCATACATCATGAAGATGCATTGTTCGAACCCTATGTTTGCATTTTCTCTTTCCCTTTCGCTTGAACTGTATAGTTTTTCGTCCCCAATTCAGCCCAGGGGAATAGAGAGGGGCCCAGGCCCAGGCCCTTGTTCTTTTCCTTCTTGTCTCAGTTGGGGGGGGGGCTGAGTCAGACAGATGAGCCCAGACAAAAGCTTGGGTTTTCTAAAGTGCATTTGCCTTGCCTAGGTTAGGTAGATACTAGATAGCACACAGCACGGGCTCGGGTGTGGCGTCATGGTTTCTTCCCCTTCCCTTTCTTTTCTTGTAAAAGTAGTGAACGGATGCGGGCTGTTTGGAGCCGGAGACTTTTTTATTATTATTTTGGTTGCTGCTGCTAACTGCTACCTTTGCTGCAGGAGACCGAAAGCGTTCAAGAAAAAGAAGACTAAAAACTGCTGCTCAGGGCTGACGCGTTCGTCCCAACCTCTTGGGAGGGGAAAAAACTGCCTAAGAAGAAAAAAGAGCGTTCGCCGCCAACCATTTGAATTTAATAATTATGCATGGCGTAAACAGAACTTGTCCCTGTTTTCGAAAGCTAACAAGTACTTACGGAAGACGGCAATGTATCTTCGGCTCTTGTCATCCATGGCCTTTATCCATGCGGTTTGTCTCATGCCATTTTGGGTAATTGCTATATGGCAATTTCTCAATAAAGCGTCTCTGCACTAATAGAGGCCCATTAAATATCATGATGGAATATAATCTAAGTCTTCCCTATTGTCCCCCCGGGGCATTGGAAGCCTGATAAGCCAAAGCATGATCAGATGAAGGATTCCATTTGTCATACACCCATGTGAACTCACCTTTTCCCTACAGCGGCGGCGGCGGCGCGACCTGACGGATCGATCAGCTTATGAGAGTGACTTGGAAAGGCAAGGGACAAAAAGCTCGCTTGCGAGGCACGCATGTTAGTTTGCGGGTATTACATTAGTGTAGGAGCAGAATGTTTTCAGGTAATGTCAGTTGGTTTGACTTTTGACTCTGCTAAAGGCTGAGACATGCATGCCTTGGGCTCTAAAAGACGATGAAAAATCTAGCGAGTGGCGTCTACCTTGTCTAGCCGTTCGTTAGGGGACCATCATGTCGGAGCTGATGCCATTGTTGTTGTTGTTCTTGTTCTTGTTTGTAACCATGTGAGCCAAAGCATGTTACAGGTATCATAAGGAGGCATCAGAATCGTCAAGCAAGGAGGAGACCGACCATTGGGAACTTATTGGATCATCAAAAAGGTTGCATCCGGCACCAACTTGCTCGATGAGTGGAGCTTTCAATTCCGACTATGAATGAAGAAGACACAAAAGTTTAATTCCGGGCCAAACTGCCAAGTGCAATCGGCTACTCTGAAAGAAAGGACTCGCGCGAACAACTGTCCAACCGACAGAAAATGTGTTTGTCCGACCCAAATATGCAAATTTCCCAGCCCTCATCGGACAACCTAATCTTCCGCTCATGATTTCGTCACAAGGGACTAGTATGGGGTATATCCGATTGTTGTATTCCTCCTATTCACCTAACAAAAAGCCCAAAAAGCCGCCTATCGTTCTGAATGCGGTTGAAAGCACGCGGGGGATATGAAAAAAAAAATTAACAAAGAAAGAAAAGAAAATGACACTATCAAGAGAAAAACAAGGTATCTTTCCAGGTACCAGACATGAGACAGAACTCCTCCAATGCTGCCGGAATGCGCACCGCGATTTCCGTGGTCCATCTCACTCTGACTCAGACGACAAGGCTAGGTAAGGTTGGTTTGGCAACGAATAGCAACTCATTGGCTCGATGCAGTGCACCAGATAGTCATTGCCTCGGGTGTTTAGTGGCGACTTGGCAGCACGAAAACATCGAGGGTACCACAGTGTATCGTTGAGCATGCAGCTGACCTCAGACATCGAAGCTACAGCATCGAGCCAGAAGGATCGTACCCTTTGAGCTTGAACGGCATGGAAGGTTTTCTGTATATGAATGTTGCGGATTCAAATCATTAATTATTATTTCGAGAATAACATGCAACCTTGTCCTGATGTTGCCGAGCGACAATCGTCAGCGTTAAAGATATGAGTCGCGATCCAATAACCCTTCCTCACGCCGACATGTGAGCGGTAGACGGGATCGTAGAACGAGTGTCCGAGAAGGATCAGTGACGATAAAGAAGAATCCACAATGGTATCAAGTTGTATATGCAATGCCGGCCAAACTCGAATCGTTTATAGAATGTGCAAGGAAAATTGGTTGGAGATTCCAGTTTGGCCGCTTTCGCGGTTTTCGGTGTGCTCAAAACATGGACTCTCTATTATTCGAGAGTGCCTGTTCATATGTGTATCAGTCATGCAAAGCAGGAACCGATGTAAACTCCTCTATGAGTCTGAACAAGACCAGCAATGCATGAGACCGATATTGCTCCTCCAAAGCCTCTTGATGGACATCACTTGCCGGCATTTTGTGCCTGCGGCCATGATTTTAATGACGGCAGACGCCGCACCCAGGAGCGCCAGAAACCTCCCTTGGGCAACCGAGTTCTGAATTCGACTTCATAATGGCTGAGATCATTGTGGCTGGTTTGCCCACCAATTTCCACCAGCCGGTGTTTGCTGGTTAGACCAGCCTTGAGTCACAGCTGGTGAACCACCTGGGTTTTGGGGCATGAACTGCCTGGGGGTTTGCTCAGGTGGATACATGCCTTGGCTGGGGGTACCATAACTGCTCATACCGGGCATTCCAGGATACTGCATGGCGCCCTGTTGCATTTGCGGTGTACCGCCAGAGGGATGGCGAAGCTGTGGTGCAGGTGACTGTTGCGGGTGAGGTGATTGCTGAGGCTGGGTAGTATAGCCTGAGTAGTGCTGAGGAGTCTGAGGAGTCTGAGGATGATTCCACATGGCATTTTGGTTATAGTTGTATGTTTGTGCACCCTGAGCCAGGTTGCCTGAAGGGCCGGAGAGACTTGGCGGGCGCGTTTGCTTCTGGGCAGGGGCTTGAGGCATGCCTCTCATGGGCGCTTGGCTGATCGGTTGCTGCGCGTGGATTGATTGAGAATACGGGGCAGCTGTCATCAACATCTGAGGACTCTGATTGGGGACCATCGACGGCTGTTGGAGACTAGCTGTAGCTGCATGCGGCGATTGTCCTGGTCTGGTTGTTGCCGCAATCGTTGTGTCGCCTCCGACAGATGGAGCAGAGGGCTGCTCATGAGGCCTCCGCCACATGTTTTGCATGTATTCATTGCGCACCTCTCGCCCCTGGTTGATGGAGCGGTTGAATTCGGCTGCATGGTGTGCCTGGGCATGGATTTCAGCCAGCGGGGTTGGCTGAGTCCGGTCTTGATAGGCAGGGCCGGAAATCTCCTGACGAGGGCCACCCTTCATGAAGTTGTAGTCTGGCCGGCGGTCGTTCAGATCTGTTGATGGAGCGGTTATCATGGGCATTCTCATCGGGCTTCCTGTTGGTGCTCCAATCATACCTGGTTGAACTAGCTGGGGCTGCGGGGGAGCACCAAATTGGCCGGGAGTATTCGCATAAACTATTTCGCCATGTGGACCGCCAACCAAAGGAGGAGGATTGTTGGCAGCAGCCGCGGCTGCGGCTTCTTCACGGGCCTTGGATGCACCAGGTCTTTTCTCACCAGCCAAATCTGCCTCAGTAAATCCCTGCTTGCGGGCCTTGCCCTCCCAATAGTCATCTCGCACTCTTCGTCCATTGACAATGACTCTACTGCCAAACTGACGGAACATGGACCGTGCAGTTACTATGGCGATTTGTCGAGATCGGTACGAGAATGGTAAAATCTCCTGGGCTACCAAATCGTCCTTTTCGACCTGGTTTGCAATAATCTTGAAGAGGGACCTGTTCTTGTTGAATAGTAGATAAGAGTCTCGATAGCCCAAGACCCTGGCGCATTCCGTGGCGAGCATAAAAAGCTTATCTCCGCGGTTGGGAACCAAAAATGTCCGACATCTGTACTCGCGGCTTCCGGTAAGTTGGCCATTCGCCATTACCTTCTTCTCACCAGCCTCGTCCGTTTCGCGCGGTAGATATTCATCGCCGCCCGGACCAAGTTGATCTGTGGTGTGGTCGCGTACGGTGGGCAGGGCCTTGAGCGTGGTTTTCGTAGGTGTTGTCTTGGGTGGAGGTGAGGTTTGGGGTTGAGCAGGTGTATACGCCGCTTGCACAGGCAGAGGCACACTCTGGGACTGGGGCGTCTGTGGTGGCAGTGTTTGCTGGTGACCCATGCTGGGCATGGTTGTGCCTACATGAGGCGACTGTCTTGATTGTTCTGGCATGCCTCCGGAGGATCGAGGTTTCATAATAGGCCTTCCACGTTTTCTGGGGTTGTCTGTAATGCGAGTGACAAGTTAGCAACACAATCTTTCAACGCCGACGGTTGTTGATCTTTGTACACGCGATGTATGACGCTGTGCAGCAACCAGTGGTGGTACAGCACGAAGCTTAATCGCAACGTCGGAATATTAGGAAACGCGACGCGGCCGGACTAAGATGCGGCTGTGCGCTACACATGTATACGTTTGAACTTAGGTAAGGCTTACCATCGTCTCCCGGTGCCCCGGTAGCTTGAAGATCTTGATATTCTGGCGATCGGCTCCGTTTGAGCCCACGCGCATTCGCGCTTAGTAATTCTGTAGGGTTAGACGCGAGGTCAGTCAAGTGAGCAATAGAAGGCAATTGCATCATGATGAGACTGCCTCATCATCCACATTCATCCGACGACAGAAACATTGAACGAAGATCTGCTGAATGAAGAAACAGCCATGGCCATGTGTGCAGGATCGAAAACAGTAGTGCAATTATGAGATGATGCGGTATTTCTTTTTGGACGTTGTTTGTGGCTGTCGCGACAGAATCTTCCAGCTGGGGAATGGAGCTTCCGGCGATGACGCCAACGACCGCGACCGCGAAACTATCGTCGCGGCAAGGGCACACAGGATATGCGCGGCGCGGCGCATGGAGTAGCGGCGGGGTTCCACTGAGAACCAAGATTGCAGATAGCAGGTAACTCTCGCTGCTTGATATCTCGGGTCGCAGCAAAGGCCGCGAATATAAGAAAGGAAGTTGAGGCGCAAGCAATGAACTTACCAGAATTGAGCGCAGCAGGGTTGATGGTCGCGGGATTGATGGTCGCACCCTCAGCGCCGTTTGGCTGGGTGGAATGATACATTCGGGGCGGGAGGCGAGGCGACAACGGCCAACGTCAACCTACTCCAGGTGTTGACCTTGTCGGGGTCTATCCAGTCGGTCGGTCGTGCTGCTGCTGTGCTGTACGTGCTTGCGTAAGTAGGTGCGATGCCCGATGCGTGTGGCGGGTATTTGGCGGGCAGAATGGGTAGTAGGCAAGCAGGCAGGCAGGACGGGCACGACGGGCGCGAATATTTGGTGCCTGCAGCAAACGACGTGTCTTGATATAGTTGGATCCCTAAAATTGACAGAAGATGGAATGACGCGCTTCAGCGGATTGAGGCGACAACGTTGATCTTGCCGGCTTCGAAGGGAGGAACGGAACTGCAGGTTGGCTCTGCATATGGTTGGTTAAGATGGCGCAAGTCCCAAGGCTGAGTTTGACTTCGTGGAGGGGAGGGGTCGAATAATAATAGGGAAAGAAAAGCACCCCCGGGAAGGGAAATGGGATCTCTCTTTCTTCAAAAGACGACAGGCGACAGGAGCCAGGACCCAAAGCCTTTAGTGTAAGGAATTACTGGGGACGGACTGACTGGCCTTCCTATGGAACCTGGGTGTGATGATGTAGAGGCAAGGTAGGCGGCTTGGCTTTGGGCTTTGGGACAGATACCTTTGGAGCTAAGCAGGCTGGTATTTTAGTTCGGTAGGAGCCCACTCTTTTTTTTCCCTTTGCTGGTGGACCCGCGACTAATACAGTCGTTGCTGTACCTGATCTTTTTTCTTTTTTTTTTGTATTTCCTCACTCTTTCCCTGGTCGTTCAGCTCGGAGTCCGGGGTAATCGTTCTTCTAACTTTGTGGAAATTTTTGACGTAGATCTCTTGGTTATTATATCAATAACTCTGTTGACTTTCCCAAAGAAGCTGCCGAGTGCACTCTGTTGACTGTACGCGCATGTATGTATGTGTGGATGTATGTACGCAGGCATGTACGTAAGTCGGTCTCTCATCTGTCTGGCGCAGCAAGAGAAAAGAGAAGCGGGACAGAAGTAGCAAGCAGCAAGCAGCAAGCAAGCAGGGAGGCAGGGAAGCAGGGAAACAGGGCAAGGCGAGAAAAGTAGAAGAAAGTGGGATGAGTTCTGAGACACTGCGCGCCAACCAGAGGCGGAGGCCAGGATTGGTGGGATTCGGACCAGGCTGGTTGAGCAGGTGAATACCACTTGTTTTTTTTTCTTTCCCTTCGACGAGGAGACTCGTGCCCGTTCTGACTGGCCAAGAGCGAGCGAGGGGATGAAGCAGGCAGATAGATCAAATTGTGTGTAAGAAGCCCCCCAAAAAGGTTGTAGGTTAGAGTGGCAGCAATCAGAACAGAGGACAGGCAGAACAACGACAAGACAAAAACCGGACGCAGTTCTGCACCGAGTGAGTCGCACTAGGCAGGGTCAAGGTCAAGCTGCGAGCTAAGATCTGGGGTGTGCCAGTAAGAGCCGGCAGCGGATTGCAGCAGAACAAACAGAAAGCGCAGCTTTGACTGGACAGCCGCTTGGTTTGATGCGATGGGGAATGTGAGGGATGGGATGTGCAACGGCAGCTTCGTAGTGGGTGTGTGGATGGATCGACGGGTAGACCAAAGGTGATGGAGAGAGAGGGCCTGTCGAAAAGAGCTACCGCGGCGGGCCACCTATGTAGTGTGTATAGTTGCCTCTAAAATGCTACCTATTTTCGACGTCGGGCGACTTGTGACTTAATTAGCATCTCAAGTGGAAAAGATGATAGCGCTGAAATGCAACAAGGCCGGTCCGATGGGTCTGTCGTTTTGCGCCTCCGTCCGTTGGTTGAGTGAACGGGCTAGTTTGGCGATCGATGTTCCAAGTAACGATACAGTGATAATAGTATCAGTAGCAGATGATAGTCGCCCAAAAAATAAAATACAGAAAAAAACAAGAGGCAGGCTGCCTTGGGTCTTCCTTCACAAGACAGCGCGATTGGCACTTCCTTTGGGGAATAATGGTCAGTAAAGCCCGAGGTCCAAGGGAGGTCCAAGGCTGTGCCGCTCGTGATATATGCCGCCGCTTGCTGCTTCCTTGTTACAAGGGCATTGAATCGTGTATGGTTTGAAATGATGCATGCAAGTGTATCCGAGGAAAGCTCTCCGTGCCAGTGCGTTTTTTTTTCTCTTCTCACGTTTGCGCTTGTACCCAACCGAGCCCGCAACTCATCAAACTTTTCGCGATCTGCACTGCGCTTTGTGCCCACAGGGCAGGAGACTACAGCGGCAGTAGAGGACAAGATATTTTAGAATTGACAAGAACAGACGTGTTGTCGTTATCTTCACCACGGGAGAGAATGGGTAAGAAGAAAAAAAAGAGCCCCGCAACAGCCAGGGGTGTGCTTGGGCCGGAGTCTTGGTAATAGCAGCAGCAGCGGCGATGATGATGATGCTGATGATTATGATGATGGCTAGGACGAGGAACAGTCGGAAAACGCGCTGACTGGGTGGATTGGGGAGCTTGACAAGCGATGCGACAAGAGGAAATCAACGATGCCGCCGGGAGGGCCGCCGGCTGAGCCAAGGGATCTTGACCGGGGTCTCAACAAGCCCAAACGTAACCTGAGGTACTTGAACGGCAAGGGGCCAAGAACAAAGACTGTGAGAACAGAGTCAGGAAGAGCAGGGGGGGACGCCTCGGGAATGTCAAGCACTAGTGGTCAGTAATAGGTGAAGACATTCCGTAGGCCGTACTGTAGATCCCAAGGTGCAGGAGTAGTAGTGAGAGCAACAAGCAATGCTCCTAGTTCTGAAGCTACCAATTCGGCAATGACAGCTTAGATAGCCGTGGATATGGGGATTTGTAAACGAAGCGCAAAGGAATGAGGTCTTTTCGACTAGATCCCGAGGTCACAAACTGTCTTATGAGCAAGTGAGCTGCGTGCGCTGCCGTTGCAAAAAGAGGCCCGACCGGTCAGCACAAAGATCAGTCGTAGTGGCGAAACAAGAAAACTATTGATGACTGGACTCCAATGCCTGGGCAACTCTTTTTTTGGTCTCCCATTCAGATCGAGCTGTGTGCCTATCTACCGACACCACCGGGTGGCTGCTCGGGTTTTCCTCAGCAGCAATGGGCGACTACGAAACTAGTATCATTAGACTCACCTGGAAGCCTGTCCGCGCCGTGGCTGGGTATATTGGGCGAAGTGAATTTCTTGTTCTCGTAGTGTATAGTACTTGCAAAGAGCAGTATGGGATACGTACCGCGAATACGAAGATTGAAATGGAAAACAAGTACTTCCGTAAGAGGGCTCTGGACTATGTAGGTATGCATTCCGTACCCCAGCGGGCGATAATAGCGATGATGACTACCTAGTAGGCTGACGCCTGAACGAACGGCCAGGGGCCCCGAGGACTTTGGCAGGCTTTCGTGAAGTTCACCTGAGCTTTCCAGGGTGTTCGCTCGATGTCATTAGTCAGAGGAGGGAAACGAAGGTATTAGCGGATGCAACAGTACATCATGGCAATGATGCGCATTCGCAAAGTGATATGGCGCAGCAAGTATTGGCCGAGGGTCAAGGATACATGTCAGCTATCCTTAGCAGCGGCAGCCCGAGCTTGCCGAGTAACCTAGATTAGCCTTTTGGGGTCAGCAAGTAATAAAGTGGACAAGTGGGAGAAGGGCGAGAGAGAGAGAAAGAAAAAAAAAGTGGCCGATTGATCCTAGGCCGGGCACCCAGAGGAATCCTGCCTGTCCATCTTCTCAAAAAGTAACCAAGCGAGGTATCAAATGCAAGTCGTTGTATCGGCCGAATATAGCAGTATACGCTAGTCTGCAACAGGTAGGACGTTGATCAGACGATGCAGCCGAAAGCTTAAGGAAATGACCGTTCATTGGACCGCAAACCTGAGTAGTGCTCACGAAGTTATAAGTATATATGCACGATGCGCTTGGGTCTCTTAAACTTTGACCATGAGCCATCTAGAATAGTATGCTGCTCTATGACCATGACCCCTTTGGAGAGCCATAGGAGCACGCAGAACCACAGACACGGACGCCGTTCACGGGCCAGAGTTGAGAACAGACGTTTCCTGGCCCGGTCGCACGATTTAGACTGATGG